GACCTCATCGCTGAGGGAGGGCGGGCGGGCGGGCGGGCGGGACGACCTCTGTGGGGTCACAGAGTTGCGAGCACGCTCCTCTCCAAGTTTGCAGCGGGGTCGGGGATGGGGGGGGGGCTGTGAACAGCAGAGATTGACGAGGTGATGCCTTGCAAAGGGGAACCAGAGATGCGTGGGTTGCAGCAACAACAGCCAAGACCGAACGCTACATCCCTATCTAACCGGATCAAGATGCCGCCGCGGCTGAAACTGCTGGTGCCGGTTAGACAAACCGAGAGCTTGCCCTACTCGGAAAAAAACAGCTACTTGTACACACGGCCTCTCACGGACCAAACCAGACAACAACAGACCAAGCCCTCACGTTAAACATTAAAACCGCTTCTTGTTGTTGTGATCGATGGGTCGTCCGATTGGCACGGTTGGCTTCGTGCAGCGCAAATTGAAGTTCAACACAAACATCAGAAACGGGTCCCGCATTCGATTTTTACCCCCCCCCACCAAACCAATGAGCCAAAGGAGCCACCAGCCACCCCCAGAGTCCTCTCGCTAACCCCCACCAGCAGCCGCACAGCACCAGCCCGCCGCGCACTCGCCCTGACCCCCCAAACCACACGCCCTGACCCCCCAAACCACACGTCCGTGGCGCTTTGCGAGCCCTCTTCTCATTTTGCGTTTCGCTTTCAAGTTCTGCACCGTGCAAGCCGCACTCACAGCCCACTGCTAAGGAGTCAGACGCGGCGTGCGGTGCGCAGGAGTTGTATGGAGTGCGATGGGGGGGTTGGTGGGGGGGTGAGCATTGATGAACCTCTTTCGTGCCCGTACGTGGCTGATCGCAGCTGCGGGGTTAAGGACAACAAACGAAAAACGCACGCACACAACAAGAGCAGCTGCGTGTAGGGCGAGTGTAGCGAGGTGCGAGGGATGTGGGGTGTGCAGTGTGTGAGTGGTGAGTGTGGTGAGTGTGTGAGTGGTGAGTGTGTTAGTGTGGTGAGTGTGTTAGTGGTGAGTGTGTGAGTGGTGAGTGTGTTAGTGTGGTGAGTGTGTTAGTGGTGAGTGTGTGAGTACAGTGTGGTGAGTGTGTGGGTACAGTGTGGTGAGTGTGTGAGTGGTGAGTGTAATGAGTGTGTGAGTGGTGAGTGGTGAGTGTGGTGAGTGGTTAGTGTGTGAAGGTGAGAATAGTGTGGTGAGTGTGAGTACAGTGTGATGAGTGTGTGAGTGGTGAATGTGTTAGTGGTGAGTGGATGAGTGTGGTGAGTGTGTGAGTGGTGAGTGTGTGAGTGGTGAGTGTGTGAGTGTGGTGAGTGTGTGAGTAGTGTGTGAGTGGTGAGTGTGTTAGTGTGGTGAGTACAGTGTGGTGATTGTGAGAGTGGTGAGTGTGTGAGTGGTGAGTGTGGTGAGTGTGGTGAGTGTGTGAGTAGTGTGTGAGTGGTGAGTGTGTTAGTGTGGTGAGTACAGTGTGGTGAGTGTGTGAGTGGTGAGTGTGGTGAGTGTGGTGTGTGAGTAGTGTGTGAGTGGTGAGTGTGTTAGTGTGGTGAGTACAGTGTGGTGAGTGTGTGAGTGGTGAGTGTGGTGAGTGTAGGGGAATGTGGAATGTCGGCGATGGAGCGCGTGGGGGGGGAGTGGTGCCGAGCGAGGAGCGGCCAGGGGCGTGGATGAGGTCAGGAGGGAGGCTCAGGCCCGCGTCCCTCACTCCCGCGGGGCCGCAACTCTCCTCGGCCTCCCCCCCCCCCCACCTCTCTCTCTCTCTCGCGGCCCAGGGCCTTCCTCACGAGGCCCTCTCGTCGGAGGGCCGAGGTGGTGGCAGGGAGTGCCCCCCCCCCTCGTAGCCCCCCCCCCACCTCTGTAGCGCATCCATCCATGATGACGGTGACGGGGCGAAGGGGAGAGAGGGGGGAGCGGGCAGAGGGGGGGGTGCAGGGGGGGAGCAGAGGGGGGAGCAGAGGGGGGGGTGCAGGATTGCGAGCGGCAGAGGGGGGAGCAAGGGGAACTGGACATGCGGTTCAGGGGAGGGGGCGGTGAGGGGGCGGTGAGGGAGGGAGAAAGGGGAGGGAGGGAGGTGAGGGAGGGGAGGGGAGGGGGCGGTGAGGGGGGGAGGAAAGGGAGGGGGCGGTGAGGGGGCGGTGAGGGAGGGAGAAAGGGGAGGGGAGGGAGGTGAGGGAGGGGAGGGGAGGGGGCGGTGAGGGGGGGGAGGAGAGGGAGGGGGCGGTGAGGGAGGGAGAAAGGGGAGGGGAGGGAGGGAGGTGAGGGAGGGGAGGGGGCGGTGAGGGGGGGAGGAGAGGGAGGGGGCGGTGAGGGGGCGGTGAGGGAGGGAGAAGGGGAGGGGAGGGGAGGGAGGGAGGGAGGAGAGGGAGGGGGCGGTGAGGGGGCGGTGAGGGAGGGAGAAAGGGGAGGGGAGGGAGGTGAGGGAGGGGAGGGGGGCGGTGAGGGGGGGAGGAGAGGGAGGGGGCGGTGAGGGGGCGGTGAGGGAGGGAGAAAGGGGAGGGGAGGGGAGGGAGGGAGGTGAGGGAGGGGAGGGGAGGGGGCGGTGAGGGGGGGAGGAGAGGGAGGGGCGGTGAGGGAGGGAGAAAGGGGAGGGGAGGGGAGGGGAGGAGAGGGGAGGGAGGGGAGGTGAGGGAGGGGAGGGGGCGGTGAGGGGGGGAGGAGAGGGAGGGGAGGTGAGGGAGGGGAGGTGAGGGAGGGGAGGGGGGGAGAGGGAGGGGGGGAGAGGGAGGGGGGGAGAGGGAGGGAGGGAGGGGAGTGAGGGGAGGGGAGGTGAGGAGAGGAGAGTGAGGGGAGTGAGGGGAGGGGAGGTGAGGGAGGGGAGGGGAGGGAGGAGAGGTGAGGGAGGGGAGAGGAGGGGGGGGAGGGGAGGGGAGGGGGGGGAGGGGAGGGGAGGGGGGGGAGGTGAGGGGAGTGAGGGGAGGGGAGGTGAGGGAGGGGATGTGAGGGGAGTGAGGGGAGGTGAGGAAGGGGAGGGGAATGGGGGGGGTGGGTGAGGGGGGAGGGGAGGTGAGGGACGAATGAGCAACAGAATCGGATCGTGGCATCAGGGCGGATCAGAGAGGGATCGGGGGCCTTGAGAGATACCGGGTGGGAAAACGGAGGGATCAAGGAATCGGGACATGGGATCGGAGGGGGGCGGTATCAATGGGGAAGGATCAAGAGGGGATCAGGACCTAGGATCATGTTGGGGGGGTGATCAGGGGGAGGTGATCAGAGGGAATGGGGATCAAGGGGGTGGGGATCAAGGGTGGGTGGGGGATCAGGACCTGGGATCAAGGGGTGGGGATCAGGGGGGTGGGGGATCAGGGGGGTGGGGGATCAGGACCTGGGATCAGGGGGGTGGGGGATCAGGGGGGTGGGGGATCAGGGGGGAGGGGATCAGGGGGTGGGGGATCAGGACCTGGGATCAGGGGCTGGTTGTTGCTGCTCGCCGCCGCCGCCGCCGCCGCCTCCGCCGCTGTCTCCGAACGGAAGCGAGGCCCGGGGCCGAGGCCGCGACAACTTCCGCCACTCGAGGGGGGCGCGCGGATGGCCCCGCCCCGCCACGCCCCGCGTGACGTCATCGCTCGCGCATCCAATTCAAGGGACGACGGAACCGACTTTATGACGTCATCGGCGCGTAGCGGAGATCATGACGATGACGCAAGGGTACCGCCGTGACGTCATCGCGCCATAGACGGCGAATTCTTCAGTTTTCAGTTAATTTCGTTTTTCAGTTTTCATTTCATTTATTTTGTATAGCCCTGTGAGCCATTCTGCTCACGTGACGTGCACATTTTCGGGCGTGTGAGCAAATTAAACATTTTCCTGCTGTGGTTTTCCCACCTGATAATGATGGTGGTTTGTGTTGCAATCGAAACGTCGTGATTCATTTTATTTCACACCTACGTGACTTTACCGAAAGAACCAAAGAGTCGAGTGTAGAGGGTTTGATTTCCCGCTGCGTGACGTCGAAAGCGACGTGACGCGCGATGGCAACGCGCGTGACGTCACACGGTATTTGAAACCGGCACGCGCTGGCGGCCACGTGCTATCTTAAAAAAAAGGCTCACTGCCCGAAACGTCGCCTATTATAGTTTTCCTTTCAAGGCCAAGACTCGCCATTGGCCCACTAAGTGACGGTGACGTCACCACGGCGCCTGTGCCAGGCCAGGTGCACTTTGAGGCCACAGCGAAGCGTCGAAGGCTCGCTGCTGGCAAGAGGTCACGTAGGACAGACCCAGGTGGTACCATGGGTTGACTGAGATGACTGGCAGATGAACAGAGCTGTTACCCCCCTACTGTGCCAACCATTAAAGCCACAGACACACACACACACGTGGTGTATTGTTTGTGCGTCAGTGCCAACGCAGCAGCAGCATCAGAAACAGGGAAACTTCTCTTTGGTTATTTCGGTAAAGTCACGTGGGTATAAAATAAAATGAAGCACGACGTTTCGGGCACAACACAAGCGTCCGTCACCAGGTGGGAAAGCGTGGCCTGCTGCTGAGGCAGACTGTTGTAAAAGGTTTGAAATGGGTGTAGCTCAAGGGTTATAAAGAAGTGGCCGGGGCTAGTGATGTTAATGTGAGAAATTACCATGTAACTGTAAGATATGACCCTTGGGCTACACCCATTTCAAACCTTTTACTGGTAGTAACCTCCTGGTTACACCAGCCCACAGGGGATTATTGTATCCGTCCGTCGTGCAGGGAGGGGCTGGGATACAGTAAATTTAGCTGTGACGATCCCACCTGATGACGGAGACTTGTGTTGCCTCCGAAACGTCGTGAATTATTTTTTTTTATCATTTTTATTATTTATTTTTATTTTTACCTACGTGACTTTACCGAAAAAACCTAAGAGCTTGCCATAACGTCAGGGACCATGGCCAATTACAGCCAACGTCAGTTGACCGTGGACAATTAGACCCAAGCCGAAACATAACATATAAAAAAGAATGTTTAAAAATATTTTTACAAATATTTTTAATGATAGAATATAGTATTGTCATCAGTATGTTGATGCCACATTGGGAAGTGTGTTAAAATTGAGTTACAAGATTTGAGGATACAACGACAACAACAGACAGTGAGTTAAATAAAAGCGTGTCAAAAATAGTCATTGTGGGTTCCGACTCAAATGAGCATTGAGGCTTTACTGGTGCACATCCGTTTACAGTCCTTACAGAACAGGTGAAGGTAATTCCACATTCCTATGGCAGAGGCGGGGGGGGGGTTAATAGGACAAGCGCTTTTGACTTTCCAACAAAGCGGTACCTATTTTATCGACCGCAGAGGACGGTCACTGCATTGCGTGCTTTCGGATGCGCTTCTGCGGCCGTCTGGAACGCTCTCCTTTCTATATGAGAAAACCACTGAAGCTGTGAACTTTTCAATCAATATTGGAAACTCATTGCTTTAGAACTGCCTTTAGTCTTTAGTTTGTTGTCCTTCCCCCGCGCCTCCGATTAGCACGGTTGTCTACGTACGGTGGCGCAAAAGAAGCTCAACACGCGTACATACAAGCTTTGAACTCTCGAGATTCAACTTGGGGGGTCAGCCCACCTGGATGAATACGTGACGACGACACCGTTACGTGCTGGAGACGAAGTGTTTAATGAATGGCGTGCATCCAACCAAGCCGCGACGACACATTTACACGTGTGCTTTGCACACACAATGTGGGTTGGTAGGCACTGCCCCAAAACCCTGCCTGGCACGGAAATTAAAGTTGCATTACCATTGAACCCCCGCTGGTCCGCACGCCTGAACGATGGGTTTGCGTGCAAAATATATTCCAAAACTAGCTGACCATTGTCTAAATTACACTTATTTGTGATTGAGAGGTGATTTCTTTAAACAAAAGGAAGGAGCAGCAATAGGCTCTCCTTTGTATCCTGCTGTTGCGAATCTGTACATGGGAAACTTTGAATCAAGAGCAGATGCTTCAAGTATATTGAAACCATATTTTTTGTTTACTTGTGTGGATGACATTTTGTTTGTGTGGCCACATGGTAAAGATGCACTTAATGAATTGCTCAATCATCTCAATTCGCAAAACCCGGCCATCCAGTTCACCATGGAAATGGAGATGAATAACATGCTCCCATTCCTGGATATTTTGCTCGGACGCGGCCTAAATGGTAAAATAACAGACAGCGTTTACCGAAAGGGAACGCACACTGATGCCTATCTGAATGCAGATTCGCATCATCACCCCGCACAGAAATCCTCTCTCATCAAGACGCTCATACATCGGGCTAAACAGTGTCAGATGGTGAAAGTCTAAGGAGAGAGATGAAACATGTTAAAGAAGCACTACGAGGAAATGGCTAAAATAACGCTCAAATTAACAGAGCATTGGATGCTAAACCAAGATCGAACAGCAATACTGCTGAAAGCGATCACGTTATTAAAAAAAATACATCGGGCTAAACAGTGTCAGATGGTGAAAGTCTAAGGAGAGAGATGAAACATGTTAAAGAAGCACTACGAGGAAATGGCTAAAATAACGCTCAAATTAACAGAGCATTGGATGCCAAGATCGAACAGCAATACTGCTGAAAGCGATCACGTTATTAAAAAAAAAATACCAGAGACTGTGGGAGTAACTGACAAATTCGTTTTGGAAAAACCAAAAAAATCTAAGTAAGGTTTGGAACGCTACACTAAATAAATAAATAAACTTGTATCTTGTGTTAAAGCTTTCGTGACTGCAAGAATTAATATTCTTTGAGTCTTTCGGTAAAGTCATGTAGATAGGTAAAAAAAAAAACACTACGACGTTTTTAAAACCTATCTACGTAACTTTACTCAAAGACCCAAATAATATAGTATCTTGTGCTAAAGATGAATTGCCTAAGTTATCACCAGAAGATGTGTATCAGATTAATTGCGTATGTGGCAGATGCTATATTGGTCAGACAGGACGTACCATTAGCATAAGACTAAAAGAACAAAGAAATATTAAATACTCTCAAACACAACTGTCGGCATTTGCAGAATATACTTTCCAACAAGGACACTCAATTGATGTTGATACCGTTGAAGTGTTGTGTAAAACTAATTATTACTGGCCGAGACTAATTCTAGAATCCATTGAAATTGAGAGAAATACAAATAACTTTAACCGCTCTGACAACTGCAGGCTTAGTGCAGCCTGGAAGCGTTTTATTAAGCAATACATCTTACAACTGCACTCCTTATAGAGGAAACACATGTTAATTAACTGATTACTAATCTATTATATAATTGTAATACCCCCCTCCCTCCGCCTCTGATCTCTGCACCGGATGGGTTCAGTGATGACGTCGTCCTGCTGCTGCTGCTCCATTTAAGACCGGAAGCAGGTGGATTGCTTCACTATTCTGGCAAATCGCCCGATGATGCTGAATGTAATTACCAGCGAAAGGTATTGTACATGTTGTCGATTTACTCTCCAACACACCGGTTTGCTGAAGTAGTAACTAATTGGCGCGTTGTTTACGTGACAAACCTTCCTTGCTGTGTCGGGTGGTGGAGGGCTTACGACACATTTATACTTAAGCGATCTAACCCAAAAACCTTTATTATGCATGCAACCTTCTCGCGCGCAACTAAATCGATCAATCGCGCAGCTTGACAGCCTGATTGCTTCCAAACGAATCACACGGACTCTCGCCCGTGCCGTTCAGTGGCCGATCCAGCCTTCGTTTCCCCCCTCCCCACTCTCCATTGGTCGCGATTGCTCATTATGACAGCAGACGGCCATCAGCCCCCACCCCCGGCCCTCAACTCCCACAGTGGCCGTGCGTGTGCGGGTTTTGTTTCATTTACTGGGTCCCGCGTGGTGCTGTGGAGCGGTCGAGCAAATGCACTGCTCTATGTTACAAGCCGGCCACGCTGACAACAACAAAAAGTAGAACTTTAAAGTGGAAGCCATAATAAAGGGGTTTTTTTGGGGTTAGATCGCATAAATATGAATCTGTTAAACCCGCCACCACCCGTCACGTAGAACAGAACGTGGCCAATCCATTTCTAGTACAGCACACCGGTCTGTCGAAGAGCAAATCCACAACATTTACAATCTTGAGTAAGACGTTTCGCCAGTAATTACAACCAGCATCATCAGGCGGACAGCTTGATTGCTGTATAGGCACCGAAGTGGCATGTTCTGTATCCGTTTGTTCTTTCGGTAAAGTCACGTAGGTATAAAATAAAATTAATTAAATCACGACATTTCAATTGCAACACAAGCAATCATCATCAGGTGAGAAAACCACAGGGCCTGCAATCGCCCTCCCTCTACCCCACACCCCCACCCCCACCCCTCCCTCTCCCCCTTGCTCCTCCCCCTTCCTTGCCTATGTAATGTGAGGTTATATCCGGGTCGTTGACGGATTACAACTCGTCACGACGATTGGCTCTGCCGGTCCTGGTTCATAGCCAATGGGGGGAAGCCTAGGGGCGTGGCCCTGACGTAATGGAAAGGTGACAGCTGGTTGTAGAGGATTGGTTCTGCTGGCTTTAGCCACAGCCAATGGGGAGACGAGTCAGGGGCGTGGTCCCGGGAGCCTCTGGAATATTCCATAGAGACTAACCAGGATTGGTGGAAACGTACCACGTGACCCGGGTATTAAATAGGGGTGGAGACGGACGACACGTGGTCAGAACGGGAACGAACGGAGGAAAGGGGCCACGCGAGAGCGGGGCTCCGGGTTGCCACGTGGCAGTGCGTCTCTATCTATCCCTCTCACGCTGCCTGTCAGCAGCGTGAAGGAAAGCTGTAATACAAGTTGAATAAAATACCAGATTCCATAAGTCGCCTCAACGACCTTTATTACACCTATATAAGCTCTTAGCACGGCAACCAACTCTTCCACTTCAGCAAAAAAGCATTCTTGCTGTGGTTTTCCCACCTGATGATGGTTGCTTGTGTTGCAATCGAAACGTCGTGATTTAACTCATTTTATTTTCTACCTACGTGACTTTACCGAAAGAACTAACGAGTATGGATCCCTGCGGTCACGAAAACTTCAAATCTAGATTGGCACGTTCTGTTTATGTGACAAACCTTACTAATTGGCCGTGTCACATGGTGGCGGGTTTAACGACACATTTATTTTCGCGATCTAACCCAAAAAAAACTGCATTGTGGATGATTTTGGTCGTGAAAGCCTACTCCGTGTTAAAAGTAGAACTTAAAATGTTTCTATAAGAATTTTGCCTTCCAGTGAACAACGCGCTGCTTTCTGCAGGGAAATCCCTTTCAGCGGCGCAAACACTGCATTGTACTCTTACAGTATATTTCTTACAATCCCGTAACGCCGTAAAAAAACACAGCTTCTCACGTAACAATACAAGGCATCCCGTGCATCACACACGACGTATACTGCTTGTGATCCACCAATGTGGAGGCAGCAGCGAGGGTTGTGGATTACCGCACACACAGATGTTGTTGTTGTGAAACTCCCTTCTAACCGAGGGTGTTGGGGAGGTGCCATTCCGTGGCTCACCAGCAGAAGGCGGTACAGCAAAGTGTGGACGAATCTCCATCTGTTCCCATCTGTATGGGGATACAGCGTTGCCCCCTCGCCGCGCAAGGCATGCGCTTTTTCTCCAGGGGCTCCGGTTTCTTGCCATGCACTGTATAATAAACACATTCATTGGCTGCAAACATCTTAAAGACCCAATCAAGCATTGCTTTTCCTGAGACTGAGATCCTACGACTCAGCGTGGCTTTCCAGGATAAAAAAGAAAATAACAATATATATAAAACTGGGGGGGACTTTTCCTTTGATCGGTCATCGCACAAACACTTGACGTGTCCCAGGCCAAGCCTCCGATGCCTCCACGGCAGGCGGCGACGGTTCGGCTCCAGCGGCCACCCGTCGATGAACAGCGCGGTGTGCGAATGAACCTGAACCATCCCACGCGCGGTCACCGCTCCGCTCACAGTGGTGGAAGATCCCCCCGACGCCATTTGCAAGAAGTCGGGCTGCCATTGCCAAATTCGAAAATAACACCACACATTACACAATTGGCGATGAAACACACACACACAGCAACAACAGCAGCGATCATTGCCACCCCCGACTACCGGCAGCAGACCGATGCCCCAGTTCTCTGAGACTCATGTATCATGATATCTCTAGATCCCACCTGATTCAAACAAACCAAAATCAACTTGAACTTGACAACTCTTCGCGGAGGCAAAGGCCTGGGTGACAGGGGAGAACGTAGGTCTGGTGGTGGTGCTGATGGTGTTGATGATGATGATGACGCTGTACGTCTGTGGGAAGGTTACTTCGTGCCGATGCTGCAGGCCCAGGTGGTGTGGCCGCCATCCGGCGGTGGCGGTGATGACGATGCTGTACGTCTCACGGTGAGGACGTAGGTCTGGTGGTGAGGTCGCTTCGTGGCGATGCCACAGGCCCAACAATGAGGCCGCGCTCCGGCGGCGGCAGCGGTGACGATGATGATGACGCGGTACGTCTGGTGGTGAGGTTACTCCGTGGCGATGCTGCAAGCCCAGCGGTGAGGCCGCCCTCTGGCGGCGGTGACGATGGTGGTGATGACGACGATGACGCTGCAGGCCTGGTGGTGACGCTGCGGCTCACGGCAGCCAGGCTGCACATGCCGGGCTGTCTCACAGCTCCGTGGTGACGCTGAAGGCCTCGGCTGTGAGCACGGAGCTGAGCGTGTCGGTGGAGGCCGTGTCCTCGCGGGGACCGCCCAGCCCCGTGCCGGCACCCTTTTTGTTGTCGGCGGCGGCGGCGGCGGCGGCGGCGTCGCCCTCCTCCTCCGGCGGCGGTGGCGGCGGCGCCATCGCCTCGTCGCCGGCGCCCCCCGGCTTGCTCGCGATGAGGCTGACGGCGCAGTCCTCCGCCTGATCCCGCTTGCGGCTCTTCCGCGCGAACGTCACCAAGGATTGGAAGGACGAGCGCTTGCCGTTCGCGCCCCGACTCTGCTCCGCAATGTCCGACGCTTCCTCCGCGGGCGGCTCCTGTCGCCGACCAGCGGTACGGACGTGAGCGCGCGTGAGACTGTGAGCGTGACGATATCGCGCGTCTGCCGCTTGTTGCGGAGCTTCGCGGTTCAGGTCACGCGCACGTCCTGGTTAATACTATGGCGTGGGTGGGGGGGGTGTTATGTTTAATCACAGGTGGCATGCGCCGTCTGCTTCACGGTGGAAGGAATGATCCCGTGCCGGTGGTCCCCAGCCCCCCGGAATTTGAAAAATAACCCCCAAAGATTACTGGGTTGGAAATCCCACGGCAAGGCGGCCGCTGCCCTCGTACGCAGATCACAATCACACACAGCCACCACACACAGCCTGCCACACACAGCCTGCCACACACAGCCACCACACACAGCCACCACACAGCCACCCACACACAGCCACACACAGCCTGCCACACACAGCCACACACACACAGCCACACACACAGCCACACACACAGCCTGCCACACACAGCCTGCCACACACAGCCACACACACACAGCCACACACACAGCCACACACACACAGCCACACACACAGCCACCCACACACAGCCTGCCACACACAGCCACACACACAGCCTGCCACACACAGCCTGCCACACACAGCCTGCCACACACAGCCACCCACACACAGCCTGCCACACACAGCCACCACACACAGCCACCCACACACAGCCTCCCACACACAGCCACCACACACAGCCTGCCACACACAGCCTGCCACACACAGCCTGCCACACACAACCACCCACACACAGCCTGCCACACACAGCCACACGCACAGCCTGCCACACACAGCCACACACACAGCCTGCCACACACAGCCACACACACAGCCTGCCACACACAGCCACCACACACAGCCACCACACACACAGCCACCACACACAGCCACCCACACACAGCCACACACACACAGCCACACACAGCCTGCCACACACAGCCTGCCACACACAGCCTGCCACACACAGCCACACACACACAGCCACACACACACAGCCACCACACACAGCCACCCACACACAGCCACACACACACAGCCACACACACAGCCTGCCACACACAGCCACACACACATCCTGCTACACACAGCCACACACACACAGCCTGCCACACACAGCCTGCCACACACACAGCCTGCCACAAACAGCCACCACACACAGCCTGCCACACACAGCCACACACACACAGCCTGCCACACACAGCCTGCTACACACAGACACACACACATAGCCACACACACACAGCCACCCACACACAGCCAGCCACACACAGCCTGCCACACACAGCCTGCCACACACAGCCTTCCACACACAGCCACACACACACAGCCTGCCACACACAGCCACACACAGCCTGCCACACACAGCCACACACACAGCCACACACACACAGCCACACACACACACAGCCTGCCACACACAGCCACACACACAGCCTGCCACACACAGCCTGCCACACACAGCCACACACACACAGCCTGCCACACATAGCCACACACACACAGCTTGACACACAAAGCCACCACACACACAGCCTGCCACACACAGCCTTCCACACACAGCCACACACACACAGCTTGCCACACACAGCCACACACAGCCACACACAGCCTGCCACACACAGCCACACACACAGCCACACACACACAGCCACACACACACAGCCTGCCACACACAGCCACACACACAGCCTGCCACACACAGCCTGCCACACACAGCCACACACACACAGCCTGCCACACATAGCCACACACACACAGCTTGACACACAAAGCCACCACACACACAGCCACCACACACAGCCACACACACACAGCCACCCACACACAGCCAGCCACACACAGCCTGCCACACACAGCCTGCCACACACAGCCTTCCACACACAGCCACACACACACAGCCTGCCACACACAGCCACACACAGCCACACACACACAGCCTGTCACACACACAGCCACACACAGCCTGCCACACACAGCCTGCCACACACAGCCTGCCACACACAGCCTGCCACACACAGCCACACACAGCCACACACAGCCTGCCACACACAGCCCCTCCAACGCGGTGTCTCGGCACGGCGCGGGGGATCGTGTGCCCTTGGTGCTTTTCTAACGGTGCCTCACCGCTGCCGCTCCGGGCGCCGTTGCGTCTCCGTCCTGGTGGTTGACATCCTGACCACGGGCGCGCACCCAGACACAGAGATCGCACGCTTAGCAGACCGCCGGGGCGAGCGCCGTCAGCGAATAGCCCATGAAGGCTGCCGCGGATAAAACCCGAACTCGCTCGCCCTCACATTCTTGTCACGCGACCTCAAACTCCACTCGCTCACCCACTCGCTCGCGCATTCAACGACTCGCTCGCCGATCCATTCATTCACCCTTCTCCTTTCAGGAGGGTCTTCGCGGCATTGGGTTCCTGTTTAAATGTGTTTTCGGCCAATTCACGATCAACGTTTATTACACGGAACACCCGTAAGAAATTGCACGGGCGCTCGAGGGGGCAACGCTCTATCCCCGTACAGACGGAAACAGATGGCGATGAGTCCACGTGCCCTGCCTCCACAGTGCTGGATTACAGGCAGCTACGTCCAGCAGCAGCGTAGCCACCCCCCTGTGATGGGGGCAGGCTGTGGTTGGATCCGGCTCTAACTCCGATGAGCACGGGTTGGCTGCGTATGGTGCGAGAGAAGTTCGACACGCATACAACTACCCTGCTGAGCTGGTGATCTAGATAAGGCTGGGGAGCATTTGTGCGTGCAACCTGGACGCCGCGTAAGGATGTGCGCACGCGAGGCGACGAGCCGGGGGGACCTGCCCTGCCGTTATGGGGCTGTGGAAGACCCAACGCCGAAGATCCCTGCGGTATGATCGACCACGAAGCTCATGCTCTACCCTAAATCGCATCATCCACTGCACAAACCATGGCAGCAGCAGCAGCAGACGCGGATACCCGATGCACACATGGAAACTTAAAAACTCTGCGGCAGCGTGCCACCGCGGTCATCCAGAACAGAGCGTGCAACGTACATGACGACGCAACGCCCCGAGACCCACGAATACGGCGATGATGCATTACCCCGCTACGGCTCCCGCCGACGCGATTGTCTGGCTCAACCGCCTGATCTGCATCTACATCGCTCCCCCCCCGGCTCACCTGCGTGTCGGCCTGCAGCAGCAAGTCCGGGCCGAACTCGCCGTCCACCTGGACGTAGGTGTTGGGCCGCGGCGCGGGCCCTGCCCAGGCATTGTTGCCCTTCTCCCGCCCCATCCGTGGCATCTCGGCGCCGGACAGGTTGGCCGAGCCGCACTTCTGCCGATTGCGGCGGCGCACGTAGACGACGATGCAGACGATCGCCAGCAGCACGGCCATCACGATCACCACGACCTTCCACGTCTCCACCGTCGCCTGTGCCGTGACATGGACATGTGTCACTACGGAGCGTGGCGTGGGTTGCTGGCAGCGAAGGGGATCTGCAGTTGCAGCAGCCCTGTCTGTCAGCAGGTCACGTGACAAGTCAGAGAGAGGGATGTAGGGAAAAGTTGATGGGAGGATAAAAGGGCACCCCTAGCGAGTGGCATCCCGTCGTGCTGCTGGAAGTCTTCGTCCTACTCCTAGTGTCTCTGAGTCAGCCACTACACCTGCACCCAATCGCCTCGGTCACCTGCGGGGAGTGCGACGCTCCTCCGGCGGTGGCGGTGGCGGTGGTGGTCGCTGTCGGAGGAGGAGCGGCGGTGGCAGCGGGCGGAGGGACGGCGTGGGTCGTGGCTTCGGAGGAGGCCGCGCCCGCGGTTGTAATCGGGGCGGCCGTCGTTTGCTTGGCCGGGATCGGGGTGGCCGTGCCCGGCTCGGTTGCGGCTGTCGCTGCTGTGGTTTCATTGGCTATGGCCGGGGCAGCCAAGGTCCCACCACCGTTTGTAGCTGCAGATGTCACTGCTGGAGTGGTTGCTGTGGGAGCGGCTGTGGTTGTGGCGACTGTGGTTGACGCGACTGTGGTGGGGGCGACTGTGGTGGGGGCAACTTTGGTTGATGCGACTGTGGTGGGGGCGGCTGTGGTGGGGGCGACTGTGGTGGGGGCAACTTTGGTTGATGCAACTGTGGTTGGTGCGACTGTGGTTGATGCGACTGTGGTGGGGGCAACGTTGGTTGATGCCACTGTGGTGGGGGCGACTGCGGTTGGTGTTGCTACAATTGATGCGACTGTGGTGGGGGCAACTTGGTCCAGGATGGGCACAGGCAGCGACATTGTGGGCACTCGACTGCTGGGAATGGAGACCTGGAAAACAGGACAGGGAGCAACAGAAATGCTGACACGTCCGTCCACGAGCACAGGAGGCCTCCGGCCCTGCCATTAGTGATTATTGACAATGGTTCCAACAGAGCCACCCTCGTTACATTCGCTGACACTCACCGGCAGCTCCTAAGAACGTGCGGACACACGGCGCGATAGCGACGTCACTTGAGGACCGTGCCTGGGACACGTCTGTCGTGACCCTGCTGCGGTGTTCACTCAATCTGTCGGGGCCACGTGGAAGCTCCTGGACCTATAATACCCCCAGGACCTCGCACGCGCTCGGCATTTGTGCCCAACACTCGTTCGTTTTTGGGACGCGTGCCCTCGCCTGTCGTCACAGCCGGGAGGCTCCGGCCCTTCGGACATGTCGCCCGGCTAAGGCACGCTGGCGGTGATTGGAGGGGGGGGGGGGTGCATACCGAGGCCGTTACATAGACGCGTATGGTTGAGGCCCGATATTGGGCATCGTAAACTCGACGGCGGAGGACAGGCTTCTCCGGCGACGTGGGGACCGCTAGGCCTCCGGCCTAGGCCTGTTTTGACGACGAGGCGAAGGGTGACCCTTGACGTCCACATTTTCGCTAATTTGCAGAGGGGGGCCACTCTTGCCGATACGATATTATCAGTGTGAGGGCCGCCACACGTTTGAGACCACTGGGATTTGGTGGGACACGGTGGGGTGCGTCTGGGATTCGCGCGAGAGGCCACCAGAGGCCGCCAGTGGCCCGCGGGCCTTGCAATGAAGAACACTGCCCTAGACTGTGGTTTGTTTTATCGGATGAAGGTGTCGTCCTGTGACCCCCTCACAGAAAGAACAGTTTCTTCTCCGACTGCGTGCGGTTTCACCCGCAGTGACCCTCAAAGAAGGATGGACGCGTGACGACCCCCCCCCCCAACCCCGGCCAGGCGAGGGGGGCCACCCCAGTGGAGCGAGCCTCACCGGCACGGACGATGTCAAGGACGTCCCAGACGTGGACGCAAGGAGTGTGCAGATCACCACCACGTGGTACATGGCCATGGCAGCACCTGCACAGTACACGGGGGGGGGGGGGGTAAGCAACAGGCACAACAAACAAACTGTTTAACACGCAGGAGGCTGTCGCGACCAATATCATCCATAAGAGATTTTTTTGGGTTACATCGTGTAAATATATAAACGTGTCGTTAAATTCGCCAATTAGTAAGGTTTGTCACAGAAACAGAACGTGGCTATTTCGTCACTAGTACAGCACACCGGTGTGTTGGAGAGCCAAGCCACAACATTTACAAGTTTCGCCAGTAATTGCAACTAGCTGCATCAGGCGACAGCCAGATGAAACTAGCTGTAACTGTTGTGGATTTGCTCTCCAACACACCGGTGTGCTGTACCAGTAACGAAATGGCCACGTTCTGTTTACGTGACAAACCTTACTAATTGGCTGTGCCGGGTGGTGGCGGGCTTAACGACACATTTATATATTTACGTGATCTAACCCCAATAAAAATCCTGTATTTTGTAAGCGAACTATGACTTAAAGATGTTTTATTTCCCCACGTGGGGTCCCACTGAGCTCTTTAGCTGTGACGTGGCGATCAAAAATCAAGTTCAAGTCCATTTATTTATTTATTTCAAGTTCATTTATTAGGTATAGCCATGTGAGCCATTCGGCTCTTGAATCGGGTGCAACCGCAACAAACAAAAAACTAAAACATGAACAAAAAACATCTTAAAGTGAATCTGTGACTGAGTGCAAACAGAAAATCCAATAGATAAAACTTGAACACAAATGTCAGCCAAGACGCTGTTGGAATAGCCTTCCATTGCCTCTACCCATGTTACAACAACGTTGCATGCACCCTCAAGCATGAGTTATAACTGTGGTTTGGGCACTGTGGTCACCGGTGTCTTACAAATGGTGCTGCTACTCGCTAACGGCACTTGGCCCGACAGTCTGTTAAGGCTACACGGGGGATCTTTGTCTTGGTGGTGGAGCTGTGTGCGGTGTGGCTGTGTGCGGTGTGGCTGTGTGCGGTGTGGCTGTGTGCGGTGTGGCTGTGTGCGGGCTGCCTGTTGCGTGTGAGCGCGGTGCGAGCGCGTCACTCCGGAGGAAACGTCTGGAGCCCACGTCCCGTGTCCAAAGCCACAACTTCCAACTCGTGGGTTCCACTGAAGCCCCCCCACCACCACCACCCCCCCATCATCATCATCACTGTGGCTATGAGATGTTAACTACCTCGCCTGGTATACAGGAGGTCGTGGGTTCGATCTAGACCCTGACGCCTGCTGCTGCTGCTGTATATTTGGAGTTTGCGTCCCTCTCATCATCATGGTCTGGGACTGTTGTTATTGTCTTGGTGTGGTCAGGGACTGTTGTTGTTGTTGTCTTGGTGTGGTCTGGGACTGTTGTTGTTGTTTTGCTGCCTTGCCCCAAGCTCGCATTGAGTGTTGAAAGATCGGCAGGAAGTTGAGGCACTTGTGCAATTTGCACTTTTATATTTATTTTAATATAAAAAATAATATTACCCAGTGGCTTGTTTTACTTGCTTACCTTTTATTTACTTTGCACTCCCATCGGGTTTATTATTGCCACAATTATTGCATCACTTTTATGATTATATGTCATTGTAACCCGCTGACACCCCCCCCCCCCTTCTCCTGGACACGTGTGAACAAGAGCTTTATAGCTCATCGGATTCCTCCAGGACAAGATCGAGATTCTCATCGTGAACCACAGAAGGAGTGGAGTGTAGTGGCGGATCCACGAGGTGGGAGGGGGTGGGGGGAGAGGGTGGGAGGAGAGGGTGGGGGGTGGTGGGAGGGAGGGAGGTGGGGGGGAGGGACGGGGGGGAGGAACGTGGGGGGGGGAGGTGGGGGAAGATGGGGGGGAGGGAGATGGGGGGGTGGGGGGACGTGGGGGGGAGGGACGTGGGGGGAGGTGGGGGGAGGTGGGGGGGAGGGAGGTGGGGGGGAGGGACTCGGGGTAGGGACATGGGGGGGGAGGTGGGGGGTGGTGGGAGGGAGGGAGGTGGGGGAGGTGGGGGGGGGGAGGGACGGGGGGGAGGAACGTGGGGGGGGGAGGTGGGGGGAGGTGGGAGGGAGGGAGGTGGGGGGGAGGGACGGGGGGGAGGGACGTGGGGGGAAGTGGAGGGAGGGGTTGGGGGAGGTGGGGGGGAGAAGGGAGGTGGGGGGGGGAGGGACGGGGGGGAGGGACGTGGGGGGGGGAGGGACGTGGGGGGGAGGGAGGTGGGGGGAGTTGGGGGGGAGGGAGGTGGGGGGGTGGGGGGACGTGGGGGGGGAGGGACGTGGGGGGGGGGGCGTGGGGGGGGGGACGTGGGGGGGGGGGGGAGACGTGGGGGGGGAGGTGGGGGGCAGAGGGAAGATGTTGGGAGGCTGGGGGGGGGCATTGGGGCATAGACTCAGAATGTGTGTTTAGGCTGCAGGAGTGAATCTGGTGAGCTGTGAAGCTCTTTTGCACCGATGTCCAGTCCGGCCACGGGGTCGGCGGAGGTGCAACAGCAAACAACGTCAACAACAAATCGAGAAGAATGCAGGCAAGTGACTAAATATAAATGTACCAAAGAAAAAAACCGCATTCATTATAAATGTCCGATTTACAAAGGTTTGGGGCAAAGCAGCAAAACCAACAACATCAACAGATGCAGCCCACACCATCGTGGCAAATCGCTTGACACCCACCAACCCACCCACGTCCCCACTTGAGGCCACGACAATTTGTGTTTTTTTTCTCGATGTTCATTGATTGAGAGGGGTACCGGGGAACCCGACACGCGTATAAGGGAGGGTGGGTGAAACACGTGGATTTTTTTGTTGTCGTTTTTTGTTTCCTTTAAGGAAGGATCTTGAACCATTTCACGGAACGGACTCTGGACGTAGCGACGCGATGAACAGTCCGCGAGAAGACGAACGGCGCCAGCTGCGGAAACTCCGTGCGAATCGCGCGATGAGAAATCAAACAAAGAGAGAGAGTGGGAGGGAGAGGGGTGAGGTGAGCAGAGCGTGAAATCTTTCATTTAAAAAATGGGGGGAGGGTTTACATAAAGCAGAGCATTAAAAAAACAGAAATGATGAACGAAGCAAGGTGCCGACTACACCGAGAATCTTCTTGCTTCCTTTGATCAGAAAATAAAAAAAGAGAGAGACACGAATGTGGGCCTGAAACTTGGGGAGGCCGTCGTTCCAGGTCGCGCGGCAAAGAGGGGGGCACGGGTGGAGGAGTCGGCGAATGTTTTGAGTTTCCTGTGAGCGACGTGAACTCCTCGACGCGACTGGGAGGAGGATCTCACGCAAAACAAGTTCTGGAGTCGCCATCACGGAACAGGGCTAAGTTGAAGATGTCGTAGTTGGCAGGAGTTGGGCTTTCGCGACCAATATCATCCATAATAGAGGTGGGTTTTTGTTGGGTTAGATGTGTCGTCAAACCCGCCACCGCCCGACACGGTCAATTAGTAAACCATCTCCGCACAGATGGTTTCAGTGATTCGACTGCTGTACTTAACGTCCATCTCCTGGCTACATAGCAGCTACAGACCCCAAATCTCTGGCACCTAAAACTAAACTCAAAGATTTTTATTTTACCAGGTGAGGCCCACTGGGCCATCCTCTACAGCTCTTCTTCAGAAGCCACCTGGCTGCCACAAATGAGAGCCCAATGGCTTATCGACGTGTGGGAATGTATAGCAGGAGCCAAATACTCTCAACGCGTCATGTTGATTCTAAATGTGGAGGAGGACCCGGAGAGAGACACGCAAACTTCAAATATACAGCAGCAGGCGCCAGGGTCTGGATCGAACCCACAAACTCCTGCATACCAGGCGAGGAAGTTAACATCTCCAGGCCACCGTGATGATGATGAGAGAGACACGCAAACTCCACCTGCAGCAGCAGGCATTATCAGGGTCTGGATTGAACCCACGACCTCCTGCATACCAGGCGAGGTAGTTCACATCTGCTGGCCACCGTGGCGCGCTGGTAGCGTATTCGCCGCTCGCTAGAGAGGTGACATGGTTGAGACCTGGCAGGCCGCCCTGGTTAATACCGCGATGTGGGTGTATTCAACCTCGTCGCGACCACGTGGCGTCCGCTTCGCTCACAGCGGACGTTGAAGATTCCCCTCCCTCCCCCGCGACGTCGTTCGGGGAGACGAGGGTAGCGCCATCGTGTGCCTGGCGGTAACGGTCCGAATTTGTTTGCACAAATTTGAAATTCTCAAACCGCAAAGGAAGTCGCTTCTCAATCGGCATGACGCGCAGCAACGTCGCCACCACAACCCGCCGTAGCTGTGAAACCACTGCGATCCGTGTCTGCGAAACGCAGCGATAGCAGGAGCAGCAACAGCGTCAGCTCCTTCCGCCGCGACTGCTAAACGTGCCACGCCACGATTAGCATCACCACCACCACCAACCACCATTTACCCAGCGCCGGATGATCCTCGTAGGACAAGTAGCTACTAGTAGCTACTACTAGTAGCTACTAGTAGCTGCTACATGTGTGTAGTAGCTACGGGCCCCGCACTTTCAAGGGACCCGCGCTAAATGCTGCCAAGCTATCAATTCCGGTTCGGTGATTCTGCACTTGCTCTATTACTATAGTACTATACCGCCTTCAACTTTTACGAGCGAACCGGGTGTTTAAGGTTAGAGATTTGTCGTATTATCTGACTGTATGGCAAATGAAAAAATGCAATTACTTTACTGTGCAAGTAAAAAAAATATGTTTTAATATTTAAGCGTTTTTTTCTACATTTAGGGCCCCTTTATAACATAAAGCTGCAGGCCCCGCAGTAGCTTCATCGGGCACTGCCACCACCACCACCATCTCCACCACCACCACTATCACCACTATCACGATCATCACCACCACCACCATCTCCACTACCACCACTATCACGATCATCACCACCACCACCACCATCTCCAACATCACCACCATCACGATCATCACCACCACCACTATCACGATCATCACCACCACCATCACGATCATCACCACGACCACTATCACCATCACCACCACATCTCCACCATCACCACCATCACGATCATCACCACCACTATCACGATCATCACCACCACCACCGTCGTCAATTTTATGAAACGATTCTCGGCACGGGGCTGGTGTTTTGGCTCGGCGCGTTTGCAAACCGCGAACGTGAAGGTCGATCCCGATTAGCCTCTTTCCTCGCACGGCGTGGAGGCGTGAGGCTCCGTTCATTCATTTCTTGGGGAGCCAGGGGGGAGGGGAGGGTGGGGGTGGGGAGGGAGTGGAGGGAGTGGAGGGAGGGAGTGGAGGGAGTGGAGGGAGGGAGTGGAGGGAGTGGAGGGAGGGAGCGAGGGACGGAGTGGAGGGAGTGGAGGGAGGGAGCGAGGGACGGAGTGGAGGGAGTGGAGGGAGGAAGTGGAGGGAGGGAGTGGAGGGAGGGAGTGAGTGGAGGGAGTGGAGGGAGGGAGTGGAGGGAGTGGAGCGAGGGAGTGGAGGGAGTGGAGGAAGTGGAGGGAGTGAGTGGAGGGAGTGGAGGAAGTGGAGGGAGTGGAGGGAGTGGAGGGAGGGAGTGGAGGGAGTGGAGGGAGGGAGTGAGTGGAGGGAGTGGAGGGAGGGAGTGGAGGGAGTGGAGGGAGGGAGTGGAGGGAGTGGAGGGAGTGAGTGGAGGGAGTGGAGGGAGGGAGGGAGTGGAGGGAGTGGAGGGAGGGAGGGAGTGGAGGGAGTGGAGGGAGGGAGTGGAGGGAGTGGAGGGAGGGAGGGAGTGGAGGGAGTGGAGGGAGTGGAGGGAGGGAGTGGAGGGAGTGGAGGGAGGGAGTGGAGGGAGTGGAGGGAGGGAGGGAGTGGAGGGAGTGGAGGGAGGGAGTGGAGGGAGTGGAGGGAGGGAGTGAGTGGAGGGAGTGGAGGGAGGGAGTGAGTGGAGGGAGTGGAGGGAGGGAGTGAGTGGAGGGAGTGGAGGGAGGGAGTGGAGGGAGTGGAGGGAAGGAGTGGAGGGAGTGAGTGGAGGGAGGGAGTGGATGGAGTGGAGGGAGGGAGTGGAGGGAGTGGAGGGTGTAAACACGTGCGACGCCCAGCCAGGTGATTTCCATCGCTCCACACGCACGAAGTCGGCTTCCGACCTCAAATCTCGCCTGGTGGAAAATGCCGCGCGGCTCTATGGGTCCCCACATTGATCTCTATGGGTCTCTATGCATCTCTATGGGTCTCTATGTATCTCTATGGGTCTATATGCATCTCTATAGGTCTCTATGGGTCTCTATGCATCTCTATGGGTCTCTATGTATCTCTATGGATCTCTATGCATCTCTATGGGTCTCTATGCATCAGCTGAGTCGGGTTGCGCGCGTTCAAGAGGAGGGGGGCAGAAAGCGCTTCGATGTGGGGGGAAGGGGGGGGGGGTCCCCAGGGGAGGGTGGGTCCCCAAGGGGGGGGGGAAGTACCCAACGCCACCCACGCAAGGAGTTGCACCATCGACACAAACTCACGTGGAGAGTTTTGGAATCAGCCACCGGAGGCGAAGTGCCCAGACCCCAAGCACGGTGGGCTAGGAGATGTTAACTACCTCGCCTGGTGTGCAGGAGGTCGTGGATTCGATCCCAACACTGACGACGCCTGCTGCTGCTGCTGTATATGTGGAGACTCGCGTAGGCACATCGGGACACATCTAGACCCACAGAGATACAGCTGCAAAGAAGTGTCACTCTGACGATGCAACCCAACGTCGTGGGCCGTAGCTTTTCGTAATCCGTCAACGGTGAAGCAACGGCGACGCCGACTCTCTCCGTGTCTCTCTCTGTGCTGCTGCTACTGCAGCTGCTGCTGCTGCTACTGCAGCTGCTGCTGCTGCAGCTGCTGCTGCTGCAGCTACTGCTGCTGCAGCTACTACTGCTGCTGCTGCTGTTGCCATGATTGTGCACGAGGAGAAGGAGGGCGAACGAGGACAAGGAACGCGAAGGAGGCGAAGAAGAACGCGTCTCCTTACCTGTGCAGGAACGACACCGCGCAGGCGGGGAGGGGAGACGGGTCGTCTTCATGGCACACGGACAACGAGCGGGGCTCGTCTTCACTCCCCTCCTTCCTTGCGTCGTCCTTAGACTCGCTCGACAGCTCCCTCGCTCGATCGCTCGTTCGATTGATCGCCAAGAGGAGGAGCCGTCGCCGCCGCTGCCACGGAGGAAGGAGGTTCAGCGGTCTGGAGTCCTCCACTGGTCCCGCTCGGGACCCAAAAGGGCTCCAGGAAAACCACAACCACGCCCAGGCAGGCGCTCGCTAAAGGATCGATCCCCACCCCCCCTCTCCACCCTCGCCGTGTAGCCCATGAGAAACTCTTTTTTTCCTGGCCAACTTGGTCTCCCCAGTGCTGATATTCATGCAACGCATCAGGTGCTCATTTAAGGCTGAGTCGACCTGGGGGGGGCAGGATATTCGCCGCCGATGTTGGTGGCCGTGAGCCGGAATCGAACGCGGGTTGCCGGGGGTTCGTAGCGCATTGCGGCGCGAACCGCTGCGCCACCGCTCCCCGCGACTCACAACAACAACATTCGCCACGAAGTGTCGGTGACGTCACCACGACGCTTGTGCCAGGCCATGTGCACCTTGAGGCCACGTGAAACGCCCGCTGGCAGGAGGTCACGGGGCAGACCCAGCAGGTGCCACAGGTCGACTGACTGAGATGACCGAGATGACTGGCTGATGCACCACCTGTGCCCCCTACTGTGCCAACTTGCTGCGCTTTAGCCACCCGGCGCTCCGCTCGTTGTTGTGAGCGTCGCTCCTCCGTCCTCCGTTGTTGTTGGAGGGCGACTGCCTCCAACTGCCCAGTAGCGTCCTTCACGAGCCTCCTCCACAGAGGCCGATCTTGACACCACTGGTAACAGTCATCGGAAAGTCCACTCAGCTCCACGTCCTCCCGTACCACATCACTCCCTCGACTCACACACGCACACACCCTCCTTACTGTGGGAGTCTGACATTTGAGGACAGGACTCTGATAAAAACCATCGCTGGCGACCATCATTCAGGGAACCGACTCGCACACGGCGCATCGGCACCGGGCCGGCGATGGAAGAGGCGGCCGCCACTCGCGGGCAGCCTCAGCAGGCAACCAACAACAACAACAGCAACAGCAGAACTACGACAACAACAACAGCAGCAACAGCAGAACTACGACAACAACAACAACAGCAGAAGAAGAACAAGAAAGAACCACCACCAGGACCACCACAACGACGACACCCGCCGATTTCCCAACTCCCTTTCGCAACTGCACGAAGCGCTTAACCCGATTTGCACTTTCGCAAAATAAGAGGCGCGCGTCCGTGCGAGTGGGGGAGCGGTGGCGCAGCGGTTAGCACGCTGCACCCCCGATCCCGACGTCCCGAGTTCGATTCCCGCTCACGGCCACCGCAAACACCGGTGACGTTTATCTGAACCGATCCTGGGCCTCCCCCTGGGTCGACTCAAACCCGGTGGTGCCGTGGCAGCAAACATTGCCACGCGCGAGACGAAAGCGACACGGCGTGCCGTCGCTAACAGCACTTGCCCGACGGTCTATTAAGGCTACGATGGGGGGGGGGGCACCTTTGCCTTTGTGTCGACAGACGCGTGTGTTCCTGGAAGTGGCGACACGGGACGAGCTGCGTGGATTTCGGCGAAATTTGGCGGAGGAAAATCAAAGGGGGGAGGTTGAGACGCCACCGATCACAAACTGGGCAGTCACGGAGAGTTGGGATTGTCACTGGCGGTTGGGATTGACATGGACATCTGGGATTGTAACGGGCGGTTGGGATTGACGTGGTCATTTGGGATTGTAACGGATGGTTGGGATTGACGTGGACATTTGGGATTGTAACGGATGGTTGGGATTGACATGGACATCTGGGATTGTAACGGACGGTTGGGATTGACGTGGTCATTTGGGATTGTAACGGATGGTTGGGATTGACGTGGTCATTTGGGATTGTCACGGGCGGTTGGGATCGTCCCGACTGCCGAGACGCAACAGAACAGAACAGGGCCTGGACCGTCCCCACCGACCCCGACTCCTCCTCCCAAAGGGTCCTTCAAACCCCATCGCCCATCGAATTCCTGCCGTGGGGGGGTGGGGGGGGGGGGGCAGCTCCCCAAGGCGGCCTCTGCGGCTTGTGCCAGCCGCAAGGGTGCCCAGGTTCCAATCCGAATCAGGGGGCCCTGTCCGTCCGTCCAGGGGCCGAGCGACGGGAGGTCGCCAGCGGTTTGCCGCACGGACCGAGCGACCGAGCGACCGAGCGACCGAGCGACCGATCGACCGACCGAGCTCACCGCCGACCTCACCGCCGACCAACAGGCAACGTGGGGTTTGCGCGAGCGGGGAGCGGTGGCGCAGCGGTCATCCCTGGGCTCACGGCCAACGTCAGCGACGTGCATCTGAACTGGACCACGAACCTCCCTCTACATCGACTCGACCTTAAATGAGTACAGTACATGGCGCAGTAGCTGAAGAAGCAGCACCTGGTGCAGAGTAGAGACACTGGCGCTGGGGAGACAAAGGCGGCTGGGCGTGGTGCTGGCTACCCAAAAGATCCCCAGTCGAGCCTCAGCAGACTGTTGTGCAAGAGCAGTTCGCGCGAGTGCGTGTGAAACCTTGAGGCACAGTGCCCGAGCGCGCGTTGTGAAAGATGCCCGCGTGTGCGTGTGTGTGTGGGGAGCGGTGGTGCAGCAGTTAGCGTGCTGCGCTATGAACCCGGCGACACGAGTTCGTTTCCCATTCACGGCCAACACCCAGTGACGATTATCTCAACCGGTCCCGGGCCTCCCGTAGGTCGCAAATGAGTACCTGGTGCGGTGTGTAAACATTGCCACTAAGGAGACAAAGGCGGTCGGGCGTGGTGTTGGCCACCCACCCCCCCTCGTGTGCTGTACCGGCCCTTCATAGGTGCTCGCTAACAGCACTTGCCAACAGTCAAGGCGCCACGGGGGAACTCAGTTTTTTTTTGTGAGCGTGTGCTTGTGAAAGATGCCCGTGTGTGTGTGTGCATGTGCCTGCAGCTGTCAATCCCCGTTCCGCCTTTCAACCCAACCCAAAGCTTATCGCAAGCCAGCACGCGTTACCACACACACACAGAGTCAAGCCACACAATCCCCACCGTGGGAGGTGGGGTGGTGGTGGGAGCGCACTTTCGAGTGGGGACATTCAAACGAACGAAACCAAACTTGCAAAGTGTGGCAGGGCTCCACGGGCAGCTGCTTGCGCACGATGCGTTCTCCCGCCACGGGCGGGCAACGACCGCTCTCGTTCACCGCCCTCCCTCCGACTGGACAGCTCTGTGACAAAGGGAGCTTTATAGATCGTCGAATTCCTCCAGTATAAATGTTCAGATCCTTCCGATTATTATTTACGATGTCCACACGTTCACCTCGCCCAGAGTCTCATGTCCGTTTACTTGAGAGGGTAGATGGTGCGGAGGGGAAGGGGGGGTCATGATCGCAATGTCAAAGTCCAGATAATTACGGGGCCACAAAACGCCCAGAATCCCACGCGGTCCACGGAGCGGGCCCCGAATACCGCCTCCGGTGGGCCACCGAACTGTGTTCTATCCACCAGGCGAGGCCACCTCTTTTTCAGAAGCGGCCTTTTCTCGCGCCAATGATAGCTCAACAAAGAGGCTTATTATCATCATCAGGTAGAAATACGTAGCGGCACGCAAAATCCTCTGAAACGCGCGACGTTGTTCCTGAACGTGGAAGAGGTAAAAGCCGGAGGACCCGGAGAAAAAATCCTCGCGACCATGGGGAGAGAGAGACTCGAAAATTTGACGGGCCACTCACGATCCAGCTCCGCTCCATGGCAAACCGCCCCCTGCACTGGACAGCGACGCTGGCGAGACAGCAGAGGGAGGCGCGTGTGAACCTAGGCCGGTGGGTCGGCTAACTTTATTGAATGTTTTCCAGGAACAGAAACCGCGCAAAAAACACAACCCAACGAGAAACACGACGAAGTTTTCCCCCAAACCGTGGACCCATCATCCGCACAGAGGAGCTCGTGAGACGAGCGAGGGGCTTTGCTCGGTGGACGCTGGGAAATGCTGCCAGTGTCCACCACGGGGAGTGTCCACCACGGGCAGAGGGGAGCTTGGCGAACGCAACACGTCCGTTTGTTTATCGACGCGTTCACCATTTTATTTTCACAGACCGTTGGATGTTTGACATGGAACAGCCGTTTCAAACATTTCCCAAAAGGAAAAGTCTCCATGAAATGAAATGCCCCCCCTTCTTCGACGACTCATCTTACATTGATTTATTTGCTCGCCCTATTTTTCCCGAAACGTGGCCAACTATGTTTTCCTTTTAAGGCCGCGTACGCACGAACGCGTGCGCGCGCGTGCGGTTATTGACAAATGCGTTGTGTGCATTGTGCAGCATTGCCCGACGCACCAGCGGCACCACCCAATAACACTGGTCAACAAAAAAAAAAAAATTTCTGGCCTGGACTTTTGCAGCTGTTCTAGACTAATTTCAGGGTGCCGATTCCAAATCTGATCTCAGATTTGCTCTATCACATCTCATTTTTATGCTATCGTCATACCCCATTTTCATTGATTTTACCCGAAATTAACTCTGTCACTTATGATTGCAAGTTGTTGCGAGTCAGTGACTGCTTTAGTTTTAAAATATGGTGCTGTATTTTTAGGATAGTGTTTATAAAATCATTTTATGTAGATATCCACATTTATTTAATATTTTTCGTCTGCAGTTTTTATTGAAAATGCAATATTTGATATCTGAAAAACCTGATGTGATAGACAAAAACTGATGCCAGATTTGCAATCAGCACCCCAAAATTACCTTAAAACCGTTGGAATACCTTATGCCAGAAAAAGTGTGTTGACCAGTGTAATGTATAAATGTTTTTATTTACCTACAATGGTGTCCCCTGCCTCCCCCTTGCCATCAGGCACGTTTGTGATCTACGGATACAATTTTTTGTTGTAAATGTACCGCTTGCGCATGAGCCACCCTGGCTGACCACCGATAAGCCAGTTGATCGATGCGGCAGCAACCGCCGATGCTCACTTATGCGTTGTTCGGTGGAAGTTGCCGGGGGCCGTGCGGTCAAATCGCGCAATTCAGCCCATTCCGGCGAGCGGTGGAGTTTGCGGCGAGGCGTTTCTGACGCGTGGGGAGTCTTGTTGCTCCGTGCAGTTTCCGGGGAGCCCGTGGCAGATGGACCAAATTTGTGAGAATGTTAAAATTTGGGGGGGAATAAAGATAAAAAAAATCAGAACAGGAACAAGTATCAAGGCAGCTTCCACAACTTCCGAATCAACACCCCCCCGCTTTTTATTCTGGACCTTCCAGGATCTTGTCCTGGATGACGCTCGCCGCGGCTTCAAGCGAAACGTCCCACACATCCAAATCGCCGCTCGAATCCGGTCTACGAGAATCGGAGGCCTGTGCCGGGTGGCCCCCCCTGCCCCCCCTACCCCCCCCCCCCCCACCTCCGCCCACCTCCCCCCACTCCCGACACGCACGCGGCCTCACGGCTTCTTGGCCGCCTTGCGAGGCGCGCGCTGCAGCACGCTCCTGAGGCGGGCGTAGAGCCCCGTGGGCTGTCCGGACTCCTCCAGGTGGTGATTGAAATCCGTGATTCCCGCCGCAAACTTGGAGCTGTCCGGCACGCTGCGCTGCGCGTTCTTCACGCGCCACGGCACCGCCTCCGCCTCGTCGTCGTCGCTGCCCCCCCCGGCTCGAGCCTTCTCCTCCTCCGCCTCGTCGTCGTCGTCATCGGCGATGTCGAACACCATCCCCTCCATCTCCTCGTCGAGCGCGGGAGCTTTCGGCGGATCTCCGGCGGAGCTCGGCACGCCGCCGCCACCCTCGCCTCCCACCACCATCGGCGACGACTCCTCCGGCGTCTCCACCGGTGGCTCAGCCGACGGCTCAGCCGACGGCTCGGCCGACGGCTCGGCCGACGGTTCCCCCGTCGACGGCTCAGCCGACGGCTCTGCGTCCGCGGCCGAAGGCGAGCGTCCGCGTGGAGCTCGCCGACGTTCGGGACGGCCGCTCGGACCGCCCTCCCGCTCGACCTTGATCCGTGGACTTCTCCGCACACCCGCCGGCTCGTCGCGTTCCGCCGGGGCGGCCGGAGCGCTGGGAGCGGCGGGATGGATGCCGCCGGGCTCGGCGGTCCCCTCTGACTGCTCCAGCGCCGCCTGTATGAGGCGCTGCTGCTCCTCCAGGTCCTCCAGAGACAGCGCCTCCTCCTCCTCCTCCTGCTCCGGGGCGCCGGCCTCGACGCGCGAGCGCGCGCCTGCGAGGAGGCACGCACCGTCGCTCTCATCGCCGCTGCTCGGCACCGCCACGCGCCCACCAACAATCGCAACTGTCGATGCACGGAACTACGCGCAGACACCGCAGGCCCACGAGTGCTGTCCTCCCCACCACCGCCGCTCCCACCGAAAGTGATTTCCTGCTCAAACAATCACCGAGGAATCCGTGGCTCATCTTCCGTTCGAAACGGCTGGGGGGGGGGTAAATCTGCGAAGAACCAGCACGCCGCAAGAGGCGCGTGGGCGGCACCGCGCCCGGCCACCTTCGTCTCCCCGGCGCCAATACACACGCGCGTCCGCGTACGCGCGACGAGCGCCCAAAACCCACCTGGCGTGGCCGGCGAGGGGGGCGGCGTGTCCTTGGGCAGCGGGGGAGGCGTCACGTCGGGGGGCGGCGGCGGGGCCATGGGGGAACCGCCGTGGCCGCCCGTGCCGTGCGGCATGGGGGGCGTCGCCGGCGGGAGGGGGGCGCGGAACCCGGGAGAGGCCGGCAGCGGGGGCCACGCCGGCGCCTCGCGGGACGTCAGCTCTGCAAAGTCAACGACGACGTCAACGCCTTCGTGAGCGTCGCGAGTACCGATCCCAGCCGCCGCCGGCCGTCACCGCGTCGCACGACACACCGCCGCTTACCACACCGTGACCATAATCACCACACTATCAGCTTCATCTCCGCACCCCACACTAAAACTGCTCAGCACCGCACTGCCGCTTACCGCACTGCCGCTTACCGCACTATCAGCTTCAACAACCATCATCACCACACTGCCCCTTGCCACGTAATCAGCTTCATGACTGCACAACCGCTTTCGACACAATCACCATCACCCGCCACACCATCACCCGCCACACCAGCACCACCACCAGCACCACCAGCATCACCAGCACCACCAGCACCACTACCACCACCAGCATCACCAGCACCACCAGCACCACCAGCAGCACCAGCAGCACCAGCACCAGCAGCACCACCAGCACCAGCAGCAGCACCAGCACCACCAGCACCACCAGCACCACCCGCCACACCAGCACAACCAGCACCACCAGCACCACCAGCCCCACCACCACCACCAGCACCACCAGCACCACCAGCACCACCCGCCACACCAGCACAACCAGCACCACCAGCACCACCAGCACCACCAGCACCACCAGCACCACCCGCCACACCAGCACCACCAGCACCACCAGCACCAGCAGCACCACCACCAGCACCACCAGCACCACCACCACGAGGAGAAGGCGCAACACGTGCATCTCGTAATCCGGCAAGTCCTGCAGCAGCGGGATTCGGTACCGGAGTCCGTGTCCATGTCGCTGTTGTCGAAGGTGACGTCGTCGCTGGTGCGCGGGCGCGAGCGCTGTTTCTTCGTGGTGTGGGCGCCCTGTTCCGCTGGCGCTGTCCGCTTCATCTGCTGGAGGTGGGGGGGGGGGGGGACGACGACACGGAATGAGCGACGGATGAGCGGCGGTGGCGGCGGTTGCGGTGGGTTTGGCGATGGGTAAATGGTCGGGGTGTTTTCATTCGCTTTTGGCGATCGTGAGTTTTGGTCATGGGTCAAGTGTCCTTTGTTTAACGGTGGGATTACAGAACTCCGTTGAGAAGTGTGAAACACCACACGGCCCTCTCTTGCAGCTGTATCGAGATTTTAGCTCCACCATAATTTCTATCACTTTAAATAAAACAAAAACTACAAACGTTCATTCAATTTTGTTTTTACAATTTGAATAAACAAATGGCACAAGACCAAGGAGGCCAACGCTTGTGTCGTGAAACCCCCTCCCCCGCACCCCCCCCCCCCCAGCAGCTTCGTCGCAGCGCCTCCAGAAGGCAAACCCAAAAAGTCAGAACGAATCGACGACGACGAATCGCGTCACCGGAGGCCAAAACCGACGCGTTCATATCAACTGTGCGTTTGTGCCCGTGTGGGGAGCCGTAGCGCGACCAGTTAGCGCTCACGCTGCGCCACAAAGCCGGCGGCCCGAGTTCGATTCCCGCTCATGGCCAACACCAGTGATGATTATCTGAACCGGTCCTGGGCCTCCCCCTAGATCGACTCGGCCTCAAATGAGTACGCGGTGTGGAAACATCGCCACCGGGGAGAAAAAGGTTATCGGGCGTGGTGCTGGCCACCGACCCCCTCGTGTGCCGTGCCGGCCTTCATAGGTGCTCGCTCACACCACTTGCCCCTACAGTCTGAACAGGCTATATGGGGGGTCTTTGTGTGCGTGCATAGGGGAGGGTGTAGTGCGGCGGCGGTTAGTTCACAAAAGCGGCGAATATATCAACCGGTCCCAGCGCCTCCCCAGCGTTGAGTCAAGACTTCAAAACGAGGCACCTGCGGTGTGTGAAACATCACCCCCTGGAGAGACAAAGGCGACTTGGGCGTGCGTGGTGCCGGCCACACCATCCCCCCCCCCCCCCCCCCCCCGCTTCGTGTGCCATGCCGACCTTCGTAGGCGCTCGCTCACATCAACTTGACGCGACGGCCCAGGGTCGAGGGAATATTTAGTTTACCTTTGTGTGGGGGAGGAGTGTGTTGGGGGTGGGGGATGTGGGGGTGAATTCCCACCGCCGTTACCTTCTTGCTCGCCTCCTTCAAGCGGCGAATCATCGCCTCCTTCAACTGCTGCGGCTGCATGGGGCACGAATTGAACGTGCGCCAGTCCTGCACGCGGGGACACGGACGGCACGCACACGGACACGCGGGACGTTCGTGGTCTCCACGTGCTCACGGCGATGTGCCTCGTGTGTGTGTGCGCGCGCGCGATCACCGAACAGCACTTGCCCCAACGGTCTGTTAAGGCTATACGGGGGAGCTTTGTTTTGTATGCGAACACGTGGGGAGCGGTAGCGTAGCGGTTAACGCTACGAACCTGGCGAGCCGAATTATATTCCCGCTCAAGGCCAACACCAGTGACGATTATATGAACCGGTTCTGGGCCTCCCCTGGGTCGACTCAGCCTCAAATGAGTACCTGGTGTGGTGTGTCAAACATCACCACTCGGGAGACAAAGGCGGCCGGGCGTGGTGCCGGCCACCCACCCCCTCGTGTGCTGTGCCGGCCTTCATAGGTGCTCGCTAACAGCACTAGCCCAACAGTCTTAAGGCTACACGGGGGATCTTTGTCTCTTTGTTAGGGAGGAGCTGTGTGTGGTGAAGAGTATGTGTGTGTGTGTGGTGAGTGTGTGTGTGTGGTGAGTGTGTGTGATGAGTGTTTGTGTGTACAAATTCTGACACTGTTGACGGCTGGCGGTCCTTGTAGAAGAGCTCTTTAGCTCAACAGGTCTTACCAGTTGATGTTTACCCGTAGGTCCCGGTGTGTTTTTGTCCACGCGAGTGTGTATGCTCACGTCCAGCGTGTTTGCAGGCAGGGGCACGTTGAAGCCTGGGTAGGAGATCAGCTTCGTGGGGTTGAAGGCTTTCCGCTTCTGTTTCTCAATTTCCGCTTCCTCCGATTCGTCGATTTCTCCGTCGCTCAAGTCTGCACAAGGCACGGCGAGGGGCGACGCAGCGACTTACGCGACGGCGCTCGACAAGGTAGAGCGGTGGTGCAGCGGTCAGCGCCACGCCGCGCTACGAACCCGGCGACCCGCGTTCGATAATTCCCGCTCACGGCCAACACCGGTGACAATCATCCGAACAGGTCGTGGGGCTCCCTTAGGTCGACTCGGCCTCAAACGAGTACCGGGTGCGGTGTATGAACATCGCCACTGGGGTGACTTAAGGCGGCCGGGCGTAGTGCTGGCCACCCACCCCCTCGTGTGCCGTGCCGGCCTCCATAGGTGCAACTCGCTAACAGCGCTTGCCCCAACAGTCTGTTCAGGCTATACGGGGGATTTCACACGTAGGCTTTCGCGACCAATACTCTTCATGAGGTTTTTTTTTGCGTTAGATCGCGTATTTATAGAAATGTGTCGTTAAACCCACCACAGCCAACTAGTAAGGTTCGTCAAGTAAACAAAACGTGGCAATTCGTTACTAGTCCAGCACTACACCGGTGCGTTGGAGAGTGAATTGCAAAATGTTGCGGGTTTCCTCTCCAATGTAACTGTGTGCTGTACTAGTAACGCAGTGACCTAACCCCCTCTGGTGGATATACGAGGGATCTTTGTCTTTGTAAACGTCAGTAGTACGGGTGTCGGTGGCGGCGGTGGTGTCCTTGTGCCTGCGAGCATCGCGCCCCCACGTGCGATGTGGCAGGCGGTGGGGGCAGGTTTACCCCCGTGGATGGTGATGCCAGAGCCCTCCTGGCAGCTCTCGCGCAGCCAGCCCGGGGGGTAGTCCAGCTGGCGCATGCGGTAGATGTACGGGGGCAGCTGCCCAGGCGCCACCGCCAGGGCCAGACGGAGACCCTCACTTCACACGGGGCCACCCACGGACACGCAGACACCACAAAGACAAAGATCCTCCCTTCAGCATCGCCTTTGACAGACTGTTGGGGCAAGTGCTGCGAGTTGCGAGGGGGTGGGTGGCCAACGGCACATGCACAAAATACAAAGTGCTGTTAGCGAGCAGCAGCACCTATGAAGGCCGGCACTGTGGCACACGAGGGGGTGGGTGGCCAGCACCACGCCCGGCCGCCTTTGTCTCCCGAGTGACGATGTTTACACATCGCACCAGGTACTCATTTGAGGCCGAGTCGACCTAGGGGAGGCCCGGGACCGGTTCAGGTAATCGTCACCGGGTGTTGGCCATGAGCGGGAATCGAACCCGGGTGGCCAAGTTTATAGCGCAGCGTAGCGCTAACCGCTACACCACCGAGACACAGGCAGACACACACACACACCAGGGCTCGAACAGATCAGGACACACACAGGGGCAGACAGGCAGACACACACGACGGCTCACACAGACGGGCAGACGTGGGGCAGATGAGAGAGAGGCACTCTCAGGATCCAAATCAAGACAGTGGTGGTCACCTGATGACGCCGGGTTTGAAGTGCGCGAAACGCTCCTCCTGCTCGTTGTGATATCGCTGGGGATTCCTCGACTTCGGAGAATTGCTGAACGATTCGAACTGACGGCGCCGCAGATTTATCCCCGCCAAGTCTCGCTTCTGCAGACGCGCAGAGGGAAGCCAAGCGCACACGCAAAGACACAAAGTAGCATGTGGCGCGGTGTATAAAAACATCAAGCAAGGGGCATAAACCGACATCGTCACGCAAACTCCTCCGGTCATCCTTGCAGTGGCTTTTGGCGAACCGTTGAACAAACAAGGTCATCGCCTTGCACGCTTTCAGATGCGCGCAGAAGCCGTCTGGAACGCTCTTCACTCCGATATGAGGAATAGACTAGAGCATTGCACTTTTAAATCATCATCTAGATTTAAAGCTTTAGAACTGCTTTGTGCATTTGGTTGGTTGTCCTTCCCCCCGCATATCCTATTAGCGCGTACATAAAGGTGGCCTTACCCTCCTCCTTAAACTAATAACAAGTAAAAAAAACTCACGTTCTTCAAGAACAATGAGTGGCGTATCCAGAAGAATTACGTAATAGGCGATGTTTTGGGTAATGGGTCTACTTCATAGCACGCAGAGGCCCATGAAGAAGGGGTCGGAGAACTCCGGTTGATTAGAATCATCTTCCGGAAGACACTTCTCCGTCGCAGATAAATGACCACCCCAGAAGTGCCGACGACACTGCCAGCCGTTCATAAACCATCACCACCGGCAAGACATCTCTAACCAATCCAAAGCAGCGTCCACAATCTTGAAAGAATGAACAATTTTTTATTATTATACCAGGTAAAGCCCACTGATCAATGTAGCTCTTTTAATAAGTGAACTGTCAACAAATGATAGCTCAACGAAATGGCTGATTATGTGGACTGACACCCGCCAAATTCTCTAAACGCAAATTAATTCTAAACGGGTAGGGAAAAACTGGAGGACCCGGAGAAAAATCCACATGCCCACGGAGAGAGACACGCAAACTCCAAATATACAACAGGCGTCAGGGTCGGGATCGAACCCACGACCTCCTTGCATACCAGGCGAGGTAGTTAACATCTCCTAGCCACCGTGGCACCCTTGGAAGACGGTGGCTCCCCATAGCAAGACTATTCTTCCGACTATTAAATACCTTTTTTTTCTTTCAAAACGAACCCAGACTTTTGGGGGTATCCGTATCTCACTTTTCCAGAGTGTCGTAAAACAATCCGGAGAAAACCGTCAGGGGGACAACGAGAGTTCCCAAACGCACCTGGGGGCAGGTGCGCATGATGTGATCCTCAGAGCCGCAGTTAAAGCACATCCCCTTGGGCCTGCGGGGGCACAGGGCAGCAATTAGCAAGTGAGCACATGTGCAGTGGCCATTTGCATGCACGTGTGTGTGTGCAGGGAGCGGTAGTGAAGCGGTGAGGACGCTGCACTACGAACCCGGCGACCCGAGGTCGATTCCCGCTCATGGACAACACCGGTGACAATTATCTGAACCGGTCCTGGGCCTCCCCTAGGTCGACTCAGCCTCAAGCGAGTACCTGGCGATGCGGCGTGTAAACATCGCCATTGGGGAGACAAAGGCCTTCATAGGTGCTGCTCGCCAAAAGCACTCGCACCCGACAGTCTGTTAAGGCTGTACGGGGGATCTTTGTCTTTGTGCGACTTGTGTAACGTGTGTGCAGGACCGTCACCGTGCGATGAAACGGTCAGTGCCTGCTGGGCCAAGTCCTCATCACGTGACTTTCCCGAGAATGATAATGTACAGTGCGAAAGCAGTTCAATGTATGCACGTGCATACATAACCACGACAGTAGCGATGACAAGCAGAGGCAACGGATTGCCAGCGAGCGAGTGACGGGAATGAACACAAATGAGTGCCGAATCTTCAATCACCTTCACTGCCTTACTCTGAATCCTATCAAGTGCGGTGCGGTTGGAACTGGGTGCTTCACCCAGGCGCGTGTGTGCGTGCGTGCGAGCGTGGTGTGCATTGGTGAACACCGCCAGCGTCTGGCACTCACCTCTGAGGCTTTGCCTGCCCCTCGCTGATTTCGTTGGATAAGATTTGCTTGAAAATCGTCTGATACCTGCATATTCATGTGCGCACCACGTGTGTGTACACCACGTGCGTGCGTGAGTTTTGATGTTGATGTGGCAATGCGTCAGTGTGTGGGGAACCATAAAAAGAAACAAGTGTAACGATGACAAAATAAGTCTGATTGCTTGGTGCTGCTGCCGTTGAGTTGGAGTGGGTGTGCACACAAGCACGAATGACTACAAGCTCACGTTTGTCAAAGAACGCCGTGGCCTTCAAAATGAAAAGGTACAATCAGTGACATCTCAGGCAACGGCCCTTCGCAGCAAATTGGTAATTTCCTGCAGTTCCAACAGCCCTGAACCAGCGGTGCAAATTCCACAATACTTTGGCGGGGAGAGAGTCTACCCCTTATCAACTTCCCCACAAACGGTATAATAATTTTACCGAGCCCGCAGCATCTACAAGACACCACACCCTCACGATGACGTCAACGCGTTACGAGGCGGACCCCTTCCGTGCGTGAGAGTGTCCAAGCGGGCCATTCGGCACCAACCCGGTGTGAACCGAGTTTGACTCCCACTCACGGCCAATTTAAGTGATGAATACCTGAACCGGTCCTGGGCCTCCCCCCAAGTCAGCACTTGCCGCAGTGTCCTGCCTTCACAGATGCTACTCGCTCACAACACTTGACCCAGCAGTCTGGTAAAGAGATATTAGTGCGCGTGTGTGTGCGTGTGCGTGCGCACATACTGCGGGATGTTCCAGCCTTCCGTGATCGCGGGATTTCCACGCAGAAGCGGGCGGCCGATGCTGTCCAAGCAGAACGAGCGATAATAGCGCACGTTGCTCACCACCTGGCACACGGCGCATTGGGCACACGGCCACTCACGTCCGCGCGCAAAGTACGGTCGCAACACGAGGGTGGTGGTGTTGTTGTCGGCTCGATCCTCACGTGTGGGTCGATTGTGCATTTCACGTTTCGCGAAGCCTCCAGCGCAGCGGTGTCCCTTAAAGCCCAACGTTGTCTTGTAAATAACGGAGAGACCCCATTAAACCAGGAGAAAAGCTTCATGCAGGCGGGTAACTAAATGGAAAAGGCAGCAAAGGTGTGCTGCCGCTGCTCACACAGCAGGTGCTGGAATGTTTAAGGACTCCCCATCATGCCTTGCACGAAACACCATGTGACCACCACAGTGCACGTACACATTTCTCAGCCTTGTCAAGAACACCAGCTCAATGGAGCTGAACATGCACGTGGGCGTATTATTACAACAACTGCCAACTTACTTTTTTCTTTAATGTGGCCGTCCCTTCAGGCAGCAACAACATGGCCGCACATGCACTCTATCTAGTTGGTGGTCTAGAGAAGGCTGTGCTCGTGTGCCCGACCGCCCGACCGCCCGACCGCCCGCCCGCGCGCCCGCCCGCGTGCTCACCTTGATGCAGGCGTCTGCATCTTTCCCCTTGGTCCGATTCCCCAGGACCACGCTGGAGGGCTGGGAGAGAGGGCCCAGAGATCCGCATACACAGGCACAGATAAATCCACTCGCGATTAACGTAAACGATCTCTTCGGCGGCAATGAGATTATTGATTTTAGCAATTCATAAGAGATCGCTGGGTTAGGCGGCACAACGATTTGGCTAAATGTCTAACCTTAAGTTTGTCCACCAACCCACGTGGCCAAACAAATTAAATTGTCACGTGTGCAAGCGTTTAACAACGCATCAATTGTTATAGTTTCAACCAAATTTGGCACCAATTAGATACGCGGCACTCGGCTTGAAACTTCGGTGTCGAACTTCCTAAGGATAAGATCCACAAACTCCAGAAAGCTAGAATGACCATCTCACCTCACCCAACTTCTCATTGATTGCACGTGTGAGTATTAAAGGCATCGTGGCACATGCGGAAGCAGTGGCACTGGTACCACAAACACGGAGATGCCCCGTATCGCCTATAACAGACTGTTGGGACAAGTGCTGTTAGCGAGAACCTATGAAGGCCGACACGGCACAAGAGGGGGTGGATGGCCAGCACCACGCTCAGCCGCCTTTGTCTCCCGAATGGGTGCACCAGGTCCTCATTTTAGGCCGAGTCAATCTAGGGGAGTCCCAGGACCGGAGTTAAATTCCTGCTCACGGTGTTCGCCGTGAGCAGGAATCTAAATCGGGTTGCTGGGTTGGTACGGCGGCAGCACGCTAACCGCTACCCTACCGCGCTCCCCGCTGGTACCACACGCGCACCGAGACACAAACAACTCGTATTCCACAACGCCTAACCTGCGATGGAATGGGATCCCGCTCCCCTCCACTCTGATGCATCAGTTGCAGAAGGATCCCCTCCAGCTCAGCTTGGCAGTGCCTGAACACAGCCACCACCACCACACGAGAGAGAGAGAGCGCCCATCCATTAAAACGATCACCATCTCGCCAACCGCTCGACCCACCAACAAGTAGTTCAACATACGTACGTATCGGGAACTCCGCAATCGCCCTCTCACGAAGTCCTTAACACAATGCAGAGTTTGTGACGCCGTGCGGCAATGAGGTCACCACTCACGTGCTGCGCGCGCCGTCCATGTAGAGGACGTGCAGGAAAGGGCCATCCTTCACCGGATCTGGGATCAACAGATCGCTGGGAAAAACAAACGCACGCACGCATGCAGGCGACACACGTTACACACGCGCGCGTCAGTCACATCGCCACCAGCGGCCCTCGCCGGTCTTGCCGCGCGCAATTCGATCCTGAAGCGAGGTACCAGAGTGGCCCGAGTCCACGTCAGCTGCACCGCCAAACGACTCCATCTCTCGCGTCGGAACTAATTAACCGCAACATCTGACGTGTTCAACATAGGGCAACGTATTCTCCGGAAAGTCAGACACACCCAAACCTGCGTCCGGTTTCAATAAAGTTGTGGAAATCTGGTTGCACGCACGCACACACACTTATCGATTCATCAGATGCAACCCCGCCCCCCCCCCCCCCAACTTTCGCTTTAAAAATGCAGAGGGGAAAAGTGCATCTTAAACTCCAGAGAATACGGGAACGGATAAGAAGGTTGCACAAGTGAAGGTGCTTTCGTTTAAAAGGGTGAGAGCTCGACAGACCAGGATGAGGCTCATTGACAAGAGTGACCTTGCATCACCAACATTGCTAAATAACACAAATAAAAATCAGTTTTGTCCCGCGAGAATTTTAAAACTCTTAAGCATAAGTCGACCATCTTAGTGTAGTGGTGATACGCGCTGGGGTAGGGATCGTGTGCCAGCACGTAGTGGTTGGCTGTGTATGTGGTGACGCGCGCTGACGGTGAAGGATCAGGGGTCAGCGCGGGGTCGTGGGTTACGTGGTGCTGATTGGCTGTGTGCCGGTGACGCGCTGAGAGGGAGTGATCGGGTGGCAGCGCGGTGTGATTGGTTGAGTAGTGGTAACACGCGCTGGGGAAAACGGATCGTAGAGATAGCGCGTCGTCATTGGTTAACTAAGGAGCGATGCTCACGTCGACGTCCGCATCAGCTCCGTCTCCCGTGAGCAGGGGCTATAAAAGGGGATGCACACAGGCGTAAGGGCAGTATGTAACCAGCGAAGACTGAAGACGGAGACGAAGAGATAGGGCCCTGCGGTACCTAGTCCCGCTGTCCTAACGGGACCGGGACTCTGTGTAACCCAGAGGCGAATGCATTGTGTGTAGCCATAGGCATAGGGTCTACACGAGTCGAATGCATGGTGTGTAGCCAGAGGCATAGGGTCTACACGAGTCAAGTGAAGTATGTGTAGCCAGAGGCATAGGGTCTACACGAGTCAAGTGAAGTATGTGTAGCCAGAGGCATAGGGTCTACACGAGTCAAGTGAAGTGTGTGTAGCCAGAGGCATAGAGTCTACACGAGTTAAGTGGAGTGTATAGTAAGAAGGATAGAGACCACACGTTGTATTGTGACACGTCAAGATTTAATAAAAGTGTGTTACCCGTCAAGAAGTTCCTGCCGTCATTTCCAATACTTCATTAGTAATAATAATATGTAAACAGACAAGGATACATGTCAAATGGGTGGCACTTACCTGCTCTGTTGCAGAAGCTGCACCTGCCTCCGCAGCTGATCATTTGCGACTGGCGTCAAGGATTGTCGCGATACCAAAACATAAAAAACATAACAGACACACACAACATGAACCACAAACAGCAGCCGCCAGTGGCGGTGATGTCTCCGCAGCGCCCGTGTCAGGCTAGGTGCACTTTGAGGTCATCACACGAAGTGTCAAATATTAAGAGGCAGACCCATGTTCTGACAAATCACCTGACGAAGCTTGTTGTAATCACCAGCGAAACGTCGTACTAAACTTGCAAATGTTGTGGGTTTACTCTCCAACAGACCCGATGTGCCGAAGTAGTCACCAATTGACACGTTTTGTTTACGTAACAAACCTCACGAATTGGCTGTGTTGGGTGGTGGCGGGTTTAACGACACATTTATATTTACGCAATCTAACAAAAAAAAAACCTTAATTATCGGATGTTAAGTAAGGGGTATACGGACTGAGGGGGAGTGGGAGTTAAAATCCTGGTTGATGGCAAACTCAGCCCATCATCCCTAAGGGGTCAATAAAAGCAGTACTACTTTGTGGTCAAGTCAACAGCATATTCTCGTCCCTGCCGTAGGAATGTGGACTGCCTACCCCTCGGCTCAGAGCTGCAAAACCCTCATTAGTCAATGAGCACAGGCGAGATATTTCAACAGTGCTTTGGTACCACCTGAAGTGGAAGTTAACGTTACTGGTTTCGATTTCTTTGCGTGGCCAACAAGAACGAATTACGTGGCAGCCGCTGTACATGAGCGGTGTTGTCAAGTGATTGACTCCCTTGATTTTAAGCTTTCGTGACTGCACGAATCCACTCTTTGGTTCTTTCGGTAAAGTCACACGGTGGGATATTGCTGCAGTGTTTGCTACCTTAAGTGGTACCACTTTCGACTCTGGCCCAAGGACTACATGCCTCATGCGAGCCAGTTACGTGGTGATGATGATGCTACATGGCCAGTGGTGCACTAGTATTCTAGTATAGCAAAATATAGCGTAGAACATTTAACAAAAAAAAACTCTTTGGTTCTTTCGGTAAAGTCATGTAGAAAGAAAATAAATTAAATAGAATACAAATTTAGCAATCTTTGGAAGAACGTAATCAACCAGGTAAGGTGCTGTCGTGTTAGCCGACTGTGTGTTGGATTGCGGTGTATTTCTAAGTTCACTAGCTTTGTTTTCTATCTGATGACGATTGCTTGTGTTGCAATCGAAACGTCGTATTCTATTATTTAATTTATTTTCTTTCTACGTCACTTTACCGAAAGAACCAAAGAGTAATTCCCGCAGTCACGAAAGCTTCAAATAAAGTTTAAAATACAAAATGTTCATAAAAAATATCGTGGTCTTACATAGAAAAATATATTAGGCACCGTTTAGGAAAATTGCCCTCATTAATTGCACATTTTGTTTTAATTTCATAAGGCATCTTGCTCAAAACGTCACCTATGCACCCCCTACTGTGCCAGGCTAGGTGCAGGAGGTCTCAGGACAGACCCTGCAGGTCCCATGGGTCGGCTGAGATGACCGGTAGATACACCCCACCAGCTGTACCCCCTACTGTGCCAACTTGCTACATTTTCGCCGTCCGGCGCTCCGCTCGTTGTTGTGAGCATAAGGCCACACACACACAGTGTTGTTGTTATTGACGTACGTTAGAGTAAGTATTTGTTTTTGTTGTTGTTTGTCAATCCGAGCAGCAAATCACTGCGGACTTGAGCGAGTTTGACTAGGAGACGCACCGCCTGTGCCACACACCACGTGACAGCCGTTCAGCACTCAGTGGCGGCGACGTCACCACGGCGCTCGTGCCAGGCTACGTGCACTTTTGAGGCCACGTTAAAGTGACGAAGGTGGCAGCAGCAGCAAATACACAAAGATCCCCCGTGTAGCCTTAACAGATTGTGGGGGCAAGTGCTGTTAGCGAGCACCTATGAAGGCCGGCACGGTGGCACACGAGGGGGTGGGTGGCCAGCACCACGCCCGGCCGCCTTTGTCTCCCCAAGCACACACCGCACCAAGGCCAGGTGCACGTTGAGGAGCACAGCGAGGCGTCGAAGGCTCGCGGCTGGCAAGAGGTCACGGGGGACAAACCCAGGTGGTGCCATGGGTTGCCCGACTGAGATGGCTGGCAGATGCACCAGCTATGGGCCCCCCTACTTTGCCGACACACGACAAAGACCCCCCCCCCCCCTAGTCCTGTATAGCCTCGGCAGACTGCTGGGACAAGTGCTGTCAGCGAGCAGCGCTTGAGGCGGTGGGGCGGCGAGAAAGCACCACGCTACACACACAACCCACACAACACAACACCACACAACAACCCACAACACAACACCACACAACAACCCACAACACCACACACAACACAACACCACACACAACACAACACCACACACAACACAACACCACACACAACACAACACCACACACAACACAACACCACACAACAACCCACAACACCACACACAACACCACACACAACACCACACACAACACAACACCACACAACAACCCACAACACAACACAACCCACAACAACCCACAACACCACACAACACCATACAACACCACACACAACACCATACAACACCACACACAACACCACACACAACACCACACACAACACCACACACAACACCACACACACACAACCCACACAACACAACACCACACACTACACCACACACAACACCACACACCACAACACCACACACCACAACACCACACACACACACAACCCACCACACACAACCCCACACACAACACCACATACAACACCACATACAACACCACACACACAACCCACACAACACAACACCACTCACAACACATCACACAACAACCCACACACACCACACAAGACACACCACACAAGACACACCAACACACACACAACCCACACACAACACACCCAACACACCACCACCACACACAACACCACACACAACACCACACACACCACCACACCCAACACACCACACCACACCACACACAACACCAGGCCACACACAACCCACACACACAACAACACCACACACAACACCACACACAACACAACACCACACACAACACCACACAACACCACACACACCACCACACCACCACACACAACACCACACACAACACCACACACAACACCACACACAACACAACACACCACACCAGGCCACACACAACCCACACACACACAACACCACACACAACACCACACACAACACCACACACAACACCACACACAACACAACACACCACACCAGGCCACACACAACCCACACACACACAACACCACACACAACACCACACACAACACCACACACAACACCACACACAACCCACACACAACCCACAACCACACCACACAACACTCTGCGAACGTCACAGCCTTCGACGAGGATATTGTCGGCCTGCAGGCGGGCGAGCTGGGCTCGCAGCTGAACCTCGCCGCGCTCCGTCTCCTCGCTCGCCGTTCCCTTCTTCTCCTCCTGCTGCTTCTCCTCCTCCTCCTGCTGCTGATCTGCGTTCATCTTCCCACTGCCGGAAGCGGCCATTGTGGCGACCTTTGACCCCCCCGCCCTTCGGTCCCGCCCATCGCCAACATTATATAGGCGGCGATGTCGTCACTACACCCCCCACCACCGCATGACGTCATGTAGCCATCCTCTGCGTCGTCGTCAGACGAGCGCGATGACGTTTATAGATACCGACGTCATTCGCTATTGTTGCGACCTTTGACCCCCCATTACCCCCCCCCCCCCCCGTTTCGCGTGACGTCACCGCGGCGGGGCTCTACAAGAACCGGTGGGGACGTCGGGAACCGGGTCCGGGAGGAACCGGCGGAACCGCTCAGGGGGTCCATCAGCAGCAGCGGCAGTAGCAGCAGCAGCAGAGTCGGGGTGTCTGACCCCTTGTCGGGGTCCCTGGGGCGAGGTGTCTGACCCCCTTGTCGGGGTCCCTGGGTCCGGGGTCTCTGACCCCCTTGTCGGGGTCCCGGGGGCGAGGTGTCTGACCCCCTTGTCGGGGTCCCTGGGGCGAGGTCTCTGATCCCCTTGTCGGTGTCCCGGGGGCGAGGTGTCTGACCCCCTTGTCGGGGTCCCTGGGTCCGGGGTCTCTGACCCCCTTGTCGGGGTCCCTGGGTCGGGGGTCTCTGATCCCCTTGTCGGGGTCCCGGGGGCGAGGTGTCTGACCCCCCCTGTCGGGGGTTTCCCTGGGTCGGGGGTCTCTCTCTCGTCGCTGAGTTGGGTTGTGGTGTGTGTGGGTGTCTACGCCTGGGTCTCTCCCCCCGACGAATCCCCGTGTTGTGTGTGTGTTGTTGTGTGTGTGTGTTGGGGTGTGTGTGTGTAGTGTGTGTGTGTGTTGGGTGTGTTGGGTGTGTGTGTGTTGGGGTGTGTGTGTGTAGTGTGTGTGTGTAGTGTGTGTGTGTTGGGTGTGTGTGTGTTGTTGTGTGTGTGTGTGTTGGGGTGTGTGTGTGTAGTGTGTGTGTGTTGGGTGTGTGTGTGTTGTTGTGGTGTGTGGGTGGTGTGGTGTGTGTGGGTGGTGTGTGTGGGTGTCTCCCCCCGACGAACCCCCCCCCCCGCGTGTTGTTGGCGATGGAGGCGCGCGGCTGCCGCCAGACGGAGCTCCGTGCCCGCTACAAGCGCTGCCTCGCCCCCCCCGCCTGGAAGCAGCAGCTCCGCGAGGTACAGAGACAGACTCTGGGGGTGGTGTGGGGTGGTGGTGTGGTGGGGGGTGGTGGTGGGGGGTGGTGTGGTGGGGGGGTGGTGTGGTGGGGGGGTGGTGGTGGGGGGGGGGTGGTGTGGTGGGGGGGGGTGGTGTGGTGGGGGGGGGTGGTGTGGTGGGGGGGTGGTGGGGGGGTGGTGGTGGGGGGGGTGGTGGGGGGGTGGTGGTGTGGTGGGGGGGTGGTGGTGTGGTGGGGGGGGGGGGGTGGTGGGGGGGGGTTGTGTGGTGGGGGGGTGGTGGTGGGGGGGTGGGGGGGGTGGTGTGGTGGGGGGGGGTGGTGTGGTGGGGGGGGGTGGTGTGGTGGGGGGGGGTGGTGTGGTGGGGGGGGGTGGTGTGGTGGGGGGGGGTGGTGTGGTGGGGGGGGGTGGGGTGGTGGGGGGGGGTGGTGTGGTGGGGGGGGGTGGTGTGGTGGGGGGGGGTGGTGTGGTGGGGGGTGGTGGTGTGGTGGGGGGTGGTGGTGTGGTGGGGGGTGGTGGTGTGGTGGGGGGTGGTGGTGTGGTGGGGGGGGGGGTGTGGTGGGGGGGGGGGTGTGGTGGGGGGGGGGGGTGTGGTGGGGGGGGGGGTGTGGTGGGGGGGGGGGGTGTGGTGGGGGGGGGGGGTGTGGTGGGGGGGGGGGGTGTGGTGGGGGGGGGGGGGTGTGGTGGGGGGGGGGGGTGTGGTGGGGGGGGGGGGGTGTGGTGGGGGGGGGGGGTGTGGTGGGGGGGGGGGGGTGTGGTGGGGGGGGGGGGTGTGGTGGGGGGGGGGGTGGTGGGGGGTGGTGGTGTAGGGGGGGGGTGTCGCAGGAACCCAGTGGGGGCCGGAGAGCCCGAGACGAAGAGCAGCCCCCCCACCCCCCCCCACCACCACCCCCCCCACCCCCCCCCACCACCACCCCCCCACCCCCCCCACCACCACCCCCCCACCACCACCCCCCCACCACACCCACTCCCTTCCACCTCGTAACCACGTCCGTAATGAAGGGGGTTGTTTTTGTTATTTTGTTGTTGTTAGACGCTTTTCTTTAACTCACTCTGTTGTATCCTTAAAAAAATCTTGGAACTCAACTTTTACCAACTTCCCAATGTCGTATCGACTGCAAACTTGGTATACTTATGTCATACTGATGACAATACCATATTCTATCATGAAAAATATTTATTTTTTTACATTATTTTGTGTATGTTATGTTTCGGCTTGGGTCTAATTGTCCACGCTAAACTCACGTTGGCTGTAATTGGCCACGGTCCCTGCGTTATAGCAAGCTTCGGGGCCCCTTCCTGGAGTCGCGGAGTTCCTCCATTACCAGTACATTTCATAAAAGCGTGTTTTAAAAAAAGTTTATTTAAATATTACTTATGGTGTTATTGGGGTTGGGTCGCGTAAATGTGCCCCCCCTCCCCCCACACAGACAATTATGGGGGGGGGGGGTGGGGTTTGACACGGAGACATAACGCGGTCGATCGTGTTACTAGTTCAGGATGTACCGGTGGCGTTACAGCAAATGGACCCATCTCCCAAATGTTTCCATCTGTACGGGGATCGAGCGTTGCTCCCTCGTGCGTGTTGGGTTTCTCCGGGTCTTCCGGCTTTCTCCTGCACGTAGTGTATAATAATAATGCAGATAAATGATCGTTATTGTCTGGAAAGATCTTGAAATGTAAACTCGGTGTAGCATGACCCTCCTGAAAAAGTACTCGGGTGAGGCTTTCCCGGATAAATCCATAATTGCGAATTATTAGTATAATGCGACACTGACGAGCGTGTGTCCGTGTGTGTTTGTGGTCTGTGCAGCGCTGTGTTACTCGCTTCAGGGAGTCGCGCTACGACCTGTTGTCACGCTTCCGCCACCTCGCTCCACACCCCGAACAAGATCAACAACATCTCCCCACGTGCAGCGGCACAGGTCCCCCAGACGGCTCTGGCATCTTCCCCACCAACACCGGCTCTCACCGGCCCTCACCAGGCCCTCACTGACAACACAAGCTGACAAACTCGTGGGGCAAGTGCTCTTGGTTAGCGAGTAGCGGCTATGAAGGCTGGCACGGCACACGAGGGTGTGGGTGGCCACGTGTACGTTGAACTTCTTTTGCACCATAATCAACGTTTTTGGGTTTAGATCGCGTTATTTATAAATGTGTCGTAACCCTCCACCACCCGACACGGCCAGTCAGTAAAAATGTGTCACGTTGACAAAGACAAATAGTTCACTGCTTTAGCCCACCGGTGTGTTGAAGCCACAACATTTACAATTTGAGTACGACGTTTTGCTGGTAATTGCATCCAGCATCATCGGGTAATTCGCCAGAATGGTGAGGCTCTGCTGTGTCTCCCGTTCTTATATAGAGCAGCAGCAGAGTGACGTCATCATTAACTCATCAGGTGCAAAGATTCAAGGGGGGAGTGATTGTAATTATATACTAGATTAGTAATCAGGCTATTGTTACGATGCGAGTTGTAGATTAGTAATCATTTGGAATGTGTTTTATTGTGATTATGCTACATTAGTAATCAGTTAGTGGTTGTTTCCCTTATAAGGAATTGTAATGTATCTTATTTAATAATACGCTTCCAGGCTGCACTAAGCCTGTAGCTGTCTGAGCGATTAAAGTTATTTCTGTTTCTCTCAATTTCAATCGATTCTCTAATTAGTCTTTGCCAGTAGTAACTAGTTTTACACAACACTTCCACGTTGTCAAAATCAATTGAGTGTCCCTGTTGGCATGCATGTTCTGCTACTGCCGACAGTTGTGTTTGTGATAGTTTAATATTTCTCTGGTGTTCTTTTAGTCTTACACTAACGTTACGCCTTGTCTGTCCAATATAGCATCTGCCACATACACAATTAATCCGATATACACCTTCTGTTGATAATTTAGGTAATTCGTCTTTAGTGCACGTTACTAGTTGTTGAATTTTGTGTACTGTACCAAATCTTACTGTAATGTTTTGCTTTTGCAAAACACGGGCTAATTTATCAGTTACTCCTGAGATAAATGGTATTTTTATTGTTTTAATAATCTGATCGCTTTCAGCAGTGTTGCTTTGCGATCGTGATTTGGCTTTTAGTGCTCTGTTAATTTGAGCATTATTGTAGCCATTCTGTCTTAGTGCTTCTTTAACATGTTTAATCTCTCTCACTAGACTTTCACCATCTGACACTGTTTTAGCCCGATGTATGAGCGTCTTGATAAGAGAGGATTTCTGAGCTGGGTGATGATGCGAATCTGCATTCAGATAGGCATCAGTGTGCGTTTGCTTTCTGTAAACGCTGTGTTATTTTACCATTTAGGCCATGCCCAAGTAAAATATCCAGGAACGGGAGTGTGTTATTCACCTCCATTTCCATGGTGAACTGAATGGCCGGGTTTTGTGCATTGAGATGATTTAGAAAATCGTTAAGTGTATCTTTGCCATGTGGCCAGACAACCAAAGTGTCATCCACATATCTAAACCAAAAGCACATTAAAACCATCCTTTTGGTTTAGATATGTGGATGACACTTTGGTTGTCTGGCCACATGGTAAAGATACACTTAACGATTTTCTAAATCATCTCAATGCACAAAACCCGGCCATTCAGTTCACCATGGAAATGGAGGTGAATAACACACTCCCGTTCCTGGATATTTTACTTGGGCATGGCCTAAATGGTAAAATAACACACAGCGTTTACAGAAAGCAAACGCACACTGATGCCTATCTGAATGCAGATTCGCATCATCACCCAGCTCAGAAATCCTCTCTTATCAAGACGCTCATACATCGGGCTAAAATAGTGTCAGATGGTGAAAGTCTAGTGAGAGAGATTAAACATGTTAAAGAAGCACTAAGACAGAATGGCTACAATAATGCTCAAATTAACAGAGCACTAAAAGCCAAATCACGATCGCAAAGCAACACTGCTGAAAGCGATCAGATTATTAAAACAATAAAAATACCATTTATCTCAGGAGTAACTGATAAATTAGCCCGTGTTTTGCAAAAGCAAAACATTACAGTAAGATTTGGTACAGTACACAAAATTCAACAACTAGTAACGTGCACTAAAGACGAATTACCTAAATTATCAACAGAAGGTGTATATCGGATTAATTGTGTATGTGGTAGATGCTATATTGGACAGACAGGGCGTAACGTTAGTGTAAGACTAAAAGAACACCAGAGAAATATTAAACTATCACAAACACAACTGTCGGCAGTAGCAGAACATGCATGCCAACAGGGACACTCAATTGATTTTGACAACGTGGAAGTGTTGTGTAAAACTAGTTACTACTGGCAAAGACTAATTAGAGAATCGATTGAAATTGAGAGAAACAGAAATAACTTTAATCGCTCAGACAGCTACAGGCTTAATGCAGCCTGGAAGCGTATTATTAAATTAGATACATTACAATTCCTTATAAGGGAAACAACCACTAACTGATTACTAATGTAGCATAATCACAATAAAACACATTCGAAATGATTACTAATCTACAACTCGCATCGTAACAATAGCCTGATTACTAATCTAGTATATAATTACAATCACTCCCCCCTTGAATCTTTGCACCTGATGAGTTAATGATGACGTCACTCTGCTGCTGCTCTATATAAGAACGGGAGACTCAGCAGAGCCTCACCATTCTGGCGAATTGCCCGATGATGCTGGATGCAATTACCAGCGAAACGTCGTACTCAAATTGTAAATGTTGTGGCTTCAACACACCGGTGGGCTAAAGCAGTGAACTATTTGTCTTTGTCAACGTGACACATTTTTACTGATTGGCCGTGTCGGGTGGTGGAGGGTTACGACACATTTATAAATAACGCGATCTAAACCCAAAAACGTTGATTATGAATAACATTGGTCGCGAAAGCCTACGTGTTTAAACTTATTTTGCACCGTACGTAGCCAACCGTGCTAATCGGAGGTGCGGGGGAAGGACAAAAAACTAAACACAAGAAGCAGTTTTAAAGAGATGAGTTTTCAATTTAGATTTACAAGTGCACAGCTCCCAGTAGCTTCCTAATATCGTTCCAGACGGCACACCACGCGCGCCACATGCTAATTTACTCATGCCGAGTCGAATATTCGCCACCGTTGTTGGCTGCAAGTGGGAATCAGACTTGGGTCGCTGGGTTTGCAGTGTGGTGCGCTTACCGCTGCGCCACCGTTCCCCCACTTCACTGACAACAACAACAACTGCCGTTCGCCACACTGACCTGCGCGCACACGCCGCTCCTCGCCGACACAATTATGGCGACGTGTGTTCCTGCAGGGAGCCCGGTTAGCGTTGATGCTGCCCGAGATGGAGGAGTTGCTTTGGCGATGGTGAATGCCGTGCTGCAGGAAGAGTGGGATGCTCTGCAGAGCTCGTATAGCGACGTAAGTATCCGTTTGATGTGGTTTTAAGCCAAAAGACCAGGATAAAGTCTTGTTTGCAAGAGTGACCTGGGGCACGGGACTGAGGGTCACGGGACTGACCGAGTCGTTACGGGTCTCCTGACTGAGATAACTGGCAGATGCATCACCTGTACACTCCACTTTGGTTCTTTCGGTAAAGTCACGTAGGTGAAAAAATAAAAATAGAAATAAATTAAATCACGACATTTCGATTGAAACACAAGCAATCATCATCAGGTGTGACAACCACAGCAAGAAATGTTATTGAAGTGGGAGAGATGCCGGAGTCAAGGGGTTTATACTGGGCAGGGTGGGGGGGAAGTTTGAAAGATGGGTACAAATTGAGCAATCATTGGAAAGATGTTATTAACCAAGTAAAATGTAACAGTTCATAGTTCCATCTTATTTACTGGGTACTAGTCTATTTTACCGAGTTGATTACATCCTCAGCGTTCAGCAGCGTGGCTATTTTGTTGTGAGTGCCATCATCTGTTTTGGCGGCAATCGTTGTAGATGCGTCGCCCCCCCCCGCGCACCTCCTGGCACCGCATCATGTTACTTACAGCCCCACCCACTTACCCCCCACCATGCCCAGTATAAACCCCACTTCAGTAAAATGTATTGCTGTGGTTGTCACACCTGATGATGATTGCTTGTGTTGCAATCGAAACGTCGTGATTTAATTTATTTATTTCTATTTTTTTCACCTACGTGACTTTACCGAAAGAACCAAAGAGTATGGATCCTTGCAGTCACACAAACTTAAAATCTAGAATCACCTGTACACCCCACTTGCCAACACGTACGAACACGGGCGATACATTGAATGTCTGCGGTGATGACCGGACCCAACTCGTACTGACGCAATGACGATGGCTGCCCGTGTCTTTCGTTTACCCACCCCGGGTTCTCCGATCTTCAGGGCTTCCCGGAACCGGAGGATGCGCCGTTTGTGGAAGAACTTCGTCAAGAGCTGCTATCCGAAGGTGAAGAAACGATTTGGATGTTTTTTTTACAAACTATTTGGTGACGCTGCTGCTGCTGTAGTGTACGAGCACAAACAACAACAAACTCTACACATTCGTCGATGGCACTGCGGCCTTAAAAGGAAAAAAATAATATATAATCGGCGACCGACGTTTCCAGGAATTGCCGTTCTTCCTCACTAATTTCTGTAAACGTCATTGGCGTCGCTATCGGTGCGGGCAGGTGTGTAAAGACGTTTGCGTTGCGGTGTGTACGGCTGTGTTGTGAGTCCCCGCGGAGTTGTCCGTGTGCGGGTAGCGGCAGCGGTTAACGCACGCTGCACTACGAACAAACCTGCTGGACAGAGTTCAATTCCCACTCGCGGACAACATCCGTGACGAATATCTGACCGAAACATTCCTGGGCCTTCCCTTGGCTTGCTCGATCCGAGCACCTGGTGCTGCGTGTAAACGGCAGCACTTGGGAGACCAAGGCGGCTGGGCGTGGTGCTGGCCATCCACCCCCTTGCGCGCGGCTCCAACCTTCCTAGGTGCTCGTTAAGAGCGCTTTCCTCGCCAGCTTGTGCAGCCGTCACGGGAAATTTCGTCTCTGGTCCCTGCCTGGCAGCACTGTCGTACGAGCTGGAGGAGCTGCGCCGCCTGGATGAAGAGATGCTGCACGAGGCGGTGGGGCGGCTGCACGACCACGAGGGGGACCTCCTGTGCCCCGCGTGTCTCCGGTAACTCCCCGGCACCATCGGCACACCCGTGGCACCGCCGGTGCCGTGCCTGTGCCCGGTTCGTAATGCGAGGAATGCCCGACGCACGCAAGCGGAGAGGCTGCGGGCGGGAGCTCGGGCAAGTGACGTCGCCATGCGTCGATACCAAAACTTGACTCGCACACAAATGAGCACCTGGTGCGGTGTGTAAACACATCGGCACTGCGGAGAAAAAGGCGGACGAGGCGTGGTTCTGGCCACATGCCGGCCTTCGTAGGTGCTCGCTCGCAGCCCTTGCCTCAAGAGTGTGTTAAAGGCATACACGGGGTATTTTTGTCGTTTCAGGGGTTACGTGCTGCAGGGAGAAGCTCGCCTGACGTGTCCATGCGGCTTGGACCTCCGCACTCGGGTAATGTTTCACACTCGCCAACGTCGTTATATTTGACGCCGCTTGCGCGCCCTGTTGCCGCACCGAGTGGGTGTGAATCACAAGTATTTTGGATCTCATTCGTCAGCGCCAGAGTCGGGAAACGGGTACGATCAACAATTTGGAAAAACTCTGAATTCACCATTGGAGCCTCCTTTGCCAGTAGCAAAACATGATAATTGGCTTTTTACCCTTTTATCTGGAAACAAAACCGACACCTTTTTTACAAGGAGTCCTTGTAAAAAAAGGTGTCAGTTTTGTTGCCAGATAAAAGGGTAAAAAGCCAATTAACTCTGAATTCAATTGAACACGTAGGCTTTCGAGACTAATATTCATGATAAAGGTTTTTGGGTTGGATCGCGTAAGTATAAATGTGTCGTAACCCTCCAACGCCCGACACAGCCAGTAAGGTTTGTCACGTTAACAACGCGCCAATTATTCAAACTCGCACAATGTATGGGCCACAACTATCCCAGTGCTGCAAAATGACATTTAAAATTTCTCAATTTGGATCGAGCGCAGCAGCAGCAGCGACATAGCTCCCACGACTGTGAAACGCTTGGCAGGACCCTCCTGAAAAAAAGTCTTGGGCGAGGCTCTCCCGGCTAAACGAGCGTTAATAGAGATGAACATTTAAATACCTTTTTGAGGTGCACGCGTTTGGTGAAATGTCAAGAGTTTGACGAGGCCTCGGCGTCTCCTGCGGGTGGCGTTCTCGCGATGACTGAAAGCAGGAGTTGCCGCCCGATCTGCCCGCGCCTGAAATATTACGATGCAATAAATACAACGCTCTCCGAAGCTGATCTCAGTCGGTCTGTTTGTTTATATCGGGTAATCCCCATTCAGCTCATGAGCCCTTTTTTTGTTGTGTCGACCCAGCCAAAACAGCTGGTACGGTAGAAGTAACATGGGAAGAGGGAGGGGTTGCATGGAACTTGTGTTCTGAACACAGCAAATGTGGTTCCTGGTGTGTGTCCCCACCTCCAAATAGTCCCTGGCCTAAAGCTGACCTCATCACCACCCACGTTGGCAAAGCTTGCGTCGTTCCGATTTATCGACTCGGCCATTTGAGAGAGAACTTTGACAACCAGACTCGTTTCAAACGGGTCTCGCGTAAGCCACTGCCGTTGGGCTCAGTAAGAGAAAATTTGAACGGGCCAAGCGATGCCACTCCCCGGTGGTGCCGACAACTGCGGTGGATCTCAACTGCCAATACCAATGCCCGCCACTCGCCGCTCGCCAACGGTGACGTCACCGCGGCCCCTGTGCCAGGCCAGGTGCACTACTATCGTGGCAGCAGCAGCGGCGTCGCCACACGAGTGAAAAATCTGTTCTGGGCTCGTGGACTAAAAATCTTTCTCGTGTGTGCGTGATGCCGGTTTGTGTCGTACTGTGCCCGTGTTTCCGTGGGTTCAGGTCAGCGCGCCGGAACTGCGAGCCCGGCTGTGCGCCGTGATGCATGCGCACGGCCAGGTGTGCGCGTGTCGGCCCAGCTTCCAGCAGATGGACAACACGCTGATGGCGTTCTGCCAGGTACGCCCGTAAGACGCACGGGACACGCGCGATCAGCGGGGTGCGGGGGGTGGTGGTGGCAGAGCATCGGGCACGGGCGGCGTGGAGCGAGCGGCTCTTAGTCGGAAGGCCCGCCGCTTAAAATCTTGGTCGGGGGGTTGACTCGGCCTATCGTCTGTCCCAGGGTCGATGAAATGTGGAAACGCTTTGTGGGGAAGTCGGTGGCGGTTGTTTGTGTGGATAGACACTCGTCCCCGACACGGGAAGGCGCAAGCTGCACCACGGCCTCTGCAGGGCTGTCCGCGGCAGACGGGCACATTCAGAGCGGCAGCAGGAAATCACTTTGACTTTTCCATGCCCACAACTGTGTATATGTGCCCCAATCCTTGTTGTGGGCACCCATCGTTCACCCCCTGGGTCCACCACAAGCTCTCCCGCGGCCGTGGCGCGAAGAGGAAGATGAGCAACAGTATCCACGGAGCAACAGGGGTGGCAGAATTCACTTTATCGGTAGCGAGTCTCCCGCAAGGCCACGCGGGAGGGCGCGTGGCACGGTTTTTGGCGCCGGCTATGGCAGAGTGCGGCAGTAGTGTCGCTATGGTTCGCTGCGGTGTGAGTAACGACATCTGAACAGCGACGCTGCTGCGACGCCTCTCTAAACAACAATGACGCCGAGATTCGGCGGTGAAAGGGGAGACCCACCATCCCTGACAAACGTCTCGGAAATGGCTGAGGTCGCTCTGAAATCCAGGTAGTCCTCGACTTGCGATGGAGATGCGTTACGACGAAGATGGCCTCGCCTACCCAGGAGTCTTAAAGAATGGTGATAATGTAGCAAAACAGAGCAATTTACAGTAGCGTACTGTGTCAACTATATACTGTGTGTATTTATTAAGTACAATACTGTATTGCACAGTAAAATGTAAAGTAAAAACAAGGTAAATTCTGAGCCTACCTATATGAACTGCAATTTAATAGAAAGTTTTTTTCAGGAAACAATCCTATCTGCTATAAAAACTTTAACATGCAATTGAACGTATCGTATCGTGGTAACCTTAAAATGAAATCGCTAAAGCTACGTATCACACATGCATTGAACGTATCGTAACGTATCCTATTTTACTGTACTCGCCAAGATTCTGTCTGTCTGCACACTTGAACGATGTTAGTTTGTTGATGGCAATTTTGTCATCGCCATCATAAGATCGAAATATCGTATTTCGCCCGATTCAAGACGCACTGGTCTCTGCTCCCCCACGCCCCTCCCCTGGTTTAAAGCGAAAGGTTTTGGGTGCGAGTGCACATTTTCATCCGACAGCTGGTGGACGTGTTGTGTGCTAGACCCATACAGTAAAACCTTGGATTGCGAGCATAATTCGTTCCGGAAACGTGTTTGTAATCCAAAGCACTCGTATATCAGTTGTGATCACGTGACGCTGGGCAGACAAAGCGTATACACTATGTACTACTCGTATTGCAAGACCTCGCTCGTTTATCAAATTAATATTTATTTAAAAAAATTGCTCGTCTTGCAAAACACTCGCAGACCAAGTTACTCGCAATCCAACGTTTTACTGTACTTGTGAAACTTCATCGAAACCGCGCGTGCGTTTAGCTAGGGGGGGGGGGGCGGAAGGCTTCGTACTTTCTTACTCCGGATAATCTGGAGAACGCGGTGGCGCGGAAGATTCTCGCGCCGTTTTGTTGTTGTGGTTTTTTTTTCCCCTCCCCAGGTCTGCGACTCCCTTGAGGTTGTGCTGTAGAGGGCGGCTCGGCCCCGCAGAACGCCGTCCACTCTGCCCGGCACGTTCCAGCAACGGGGGGGCAAGAGGAAGTCGCCTGCCCCCCCCCCCACCACCAGCGTGCCCCCCCCACCCATCCTCTGTTATTTTTAGATGGTGGTTTGTCAATTTTTTTTTAGAGAATAAATAATGTTTCAATGAAGTTGAATGGGCTGCAGAGCAGGTTTCGTTCAGTTCGTTTGTATTTAAGGTCTGTAAATACTGTGGAGTGCTTTGAAATAATAAACGTGTATTTTTGAATTTGGTTCTGCAGAATTGGTGTGGTTTATGTTCACTCTGCACGCAAACCACAGGCGCAATCTGCCCTGTACACTACACACCACATGCCCTCCACACCACATCACACACACACCATGCCTTGCACATCACACCACATGCCCTGCACACCACACACACCACATGCCCTCCATCACACACACACCCCACATGCCCTCCACACCACATCACACACCACATGACACACACCACATGCCCTCCACATCACACACACACCACATGCCCTGCACAACAATTCACTCGCCAAACGGACCACCACACTTCCGACACAAACCACCACATTCCTTGCGCACACGGCACGCGAGCCATCGGCCGTGTGCCAACAACCACCCGCGGCCGCCTTTGTCTCCCCCGGCGCCTGTTTCTCGCCGCGCCAACGACACAAACGCGCACGTGGTGGTGGTGGTGGAGCAGCCGGACGCGGGGTGACGCCACGCGCGAGGCCCACCAAACATCGGTGTCGACCAATCAGGGACGGGGTGGGAAGAGGGGGGACGGGGTGGGTGGGGTGGGTGTTGACGGATTGGTTGGGGGGGTGGGCGGGGACTGGGTGGGGGCGGGGACAGTGGGGGCCCCCTCCTCCCCCGGGCTGATCCGCCAGTCACGTGGCCGGAAGCGGTCTGAGACGGGAGAAAGAGGCAGAGACGGAGAGAGTTAGAGAGACGGGGAGAGGTGGAGAGAGTCGGAGAAAGACGAGGAGAGTCGGGGGGGGGGGAGAGAGACCGAGAGAGAGACAGGGGGAGAGAGACGGGGAGAGACGGGGAGAGAGTCGGAGAGAGAGACGCAAGAGACAGGGAAGCTGCGCGACAGACGAGGAGACACGGAGGAGAGCAGCGAGAGAGCCGCGCAAGCCGACACGGAAGGTGCAGAGAGAGGCGCTGTGTGCCGATGGTGCCGTGTGGTTGCTCTCCGTGGTACCGGTAATGCTGGGTGGTTGCTGTCCGTGGTACCGGTAGTGCTGGGTGGTTGCTCTCCGTGGTACCGGTAATGCTGGGTGGTTGCTCTCCGTGGTACCGGTAGTGCTGGGTGGTTGCTCTCCGTGGTACCGGTAGTGCTGGGTGGTTGCTCTCCGTGGTACCGGTAGTGCTGGGTGGTTGCTCTCCGTGGTACCGGTAATGCTGGGTGGTTGCTGTCCGTGGTACCGGTAGTGCTGGGTGGTTGCTCTCCGTGGTACCGGTAGTGCTGGGTGGTTGCTCTCCGTGGTACCGGTAGTGCTGGGTGGTTGCTCTCCGTGGTACCGGTAGTGCTCTGTGGTTGCTCTCCGTGGTACCGGTAGTGCTGGGTGGTTGCTGTCTGTGGTACCGGTAGTGCTGGGTGGTTGCTCTCCGTGGTACCGGTAGTGATGGGTGGTTGCTCTCCGTGGTACCGGTAGTGCTGGGTGGTTGCTGTCTGTGGTACCGGTAGTGCTGGGTGGTTGCTGTCCGTGGTACCGGTAGTGCTGGGTGGTTGCTCTCCGTGGTACCGGTAGTGCTGGGTGGTTGCTCTCCGTGGTACCGGTAGTGCTGGGTGGTTGCTGTCTGTGGTACCGGTAGTGCTGGGTGGTTGCTCTCCGTGGTACCGGTAGTGATGGGTGGTTGCTCTCCGTGGTACCGGTAGTGCTGGGTGGTTGCTGTCTGTGGTACCGGTAGTGCTGGGTGGTTGCTGTCCGTGGTACCGGTAGTGCTGGGTGGTTGCTCTCCGTGGTACCGGTAGTGCTGGGTGGTTGCTCTCCGTGGTACCGGTAGTGCTGGGTGGTTGCTGTCTGTGGTACCGGTAGTGCTGGGTGGTTGCTGTCCGTGGTACCGGTAGTGCTGGGTGGTTGCTCTCCGTGGTACCGGTAGTGCTGGGTGGTTGCTCTCCGTGGTACCGGTAGTGCTGGGTGGTTGCTGTCTGTGGTACCGGTAGTGCTGGGTGGTTGCTCTCCGTGGTACCGGTAGTGATGGGTGGTTGCTCTCCGTGGTACCGGTAGTGCTGGGTGGTTGCTGTCTGTGGTACCGGTAGTGCTGGGTGGTTGCTGTCCGTGGTACCGGTAGTGCTGGGTGGTTGCTCTCCGTGGTACCGGTAGTGCTGGGTGGTTGCTCTCCGTGGTACCGGTAGTGCTGGGTGGTTGCTGTCTGTGGTACCGGTAGTGCTGGGTGGTTGCTGTCCGTGGTACCGGTAGTGCTGGGTGGTTGCTCTCCGTGGTACCGGTAGTGCTGGGTGGTTGCTCTCCGTGGTACCGGTAGTGCTGGGTGGTTGCTCTCCGTGGTACCGGTAGTGCTCTGTGGTTGCTCTCCGTGGTACCGGTAGTGCTGGGTGGTTGCTGTCTGTGGTACCGGTAGTGCTGGGTGGTTGCTCTCCGTGGTACCGGTAGTGATGGGTGGTTGCTCTCCGTGGTACCGGTAGTGCTGGGTGGTTGCTGTCTGTGGTACCGGTAGTGCTGGGTGGTTGCTCTCCGTGGTACCGGTAGTGCTGGGTGGTTGCTCTCCGTGGTACCGGTATTGCCGTGTGGTTGCTCTCCGTGGTACCGGTAGTGCCGGGTGGTTGCCTTACGTCCTGTGTCCTCAGTTGCGTCAAACGCAGCAAAATAGAATCTCCTGTTATTGACACTGAATTTAGCAGGGGCATCGGGGAATGTACTTGAGTTGGTTTGTGCAACTCACCGCATGATACCGGGCCATGCTGGGGGGGGGGGGGGGGGTGTGTTAGCTGGCACTTGTGAGCGTGTGTGCAGTCACTGCTGTGAACGCAAACACAGCGACCCCGTGGGCCCCACACAGCCACAGGTCGCCGCGCTCACCTCCTCATCACAGGTGGAGAATTAAGGACAACCCACGGCGTGACTGCGGCCACCCGAACCAGACCCACGAACCACGTTGCGAACAGCCGCGGGACTGAGCGGTATAAGTCGCGCTGCTCATGGAGCTGCGGCACGGCTCGCAGGCTTAAACTGGGACGCGTGATTCGCATGCACTTGCCATACGCTAGGGAGAGAGGTCGATCCTAATTCAGTGGCACTGGACGTGCTATTCAGGGAACTCTGAGCCTCCGAGCGCGAACGCTTCAACTTAATCGTCCTAAGGTGGCCGGCTTCCCCCGAAGCCTCCCGTGGCGTGGCGGGTACCGGCCTGGCGCCGTGACCGGACTGTGGCTGGGCACAGCACACGGCCGCGTCTCCAAGGGGTCCAAGGTGGCTTCACGGCTCCTCAAATGAACGTCTCCCCCGGCGCGTGGCCCCGCCCGCAGAGCCGGCGGTGGAAATTCCACGTTGCCGTGAGAAGGGAACTCCCCTCGATTTCGAGTCGGCAAGGCGGGGAGACGATCGTGGCAGGCCTCTGGCGCGGCGCATTTTAGCTCCGACCGATTTTCACTCGACGGAAACCGCTCTCACTGCACCGAACTAAACAGAACGGGGGTGCCGACTGCGGCCGTCACCTGCCGATCATCGTTCTGCGAGTGCGCGAACAATGGAGACGGGAGGGTGGAAGATGGGGGGTGGGCGGTAGTAGCGGGGAGGTGGGGGGGGGGATCGGCCACTGAACGGCACGGAGGGAGAGTTTCTCTGCCTCGGCTTGAGGACAGCGTGGCGGTGGTAGAAGTTGCGTTCCTGAAGAACGCCGCGTTATGGGAAAGAAAAAAAATCGCGTTCTAATAAATCATCAATAATATAGTGGGCGGAGCACAGTTGGCGATAACACGCGCGATGCATACACAGGCCGAACAGAGACCGAGGTTTGCGCGCGGGTAGCAGCATCTGTAAACCATCCAGCAGCATCCCGATGGCTCGTGTGACGACGATGCCGGGGCAGCCGTACAAGCCGCTAGTTCCCGCTCGCGCGATCGCGTTGTGTCCCAATCCGCATTCCGCGTCGTGAAAGCCACGCGCCGTCGTGCAGGAGAACTGACTGCGATTGCGAGAGACGCCTTGCGCTGGCAGCGCCACCCGCGCCGGGACACTGCTGCGGTGGTATTGCCAAGTCTGCCCAGGGAGCACACCGGTCGCAAAGCGCCGCTCTGGGGTTGAGTGTCAGATTCCGCAGAATGCTGATTCCTGGATTTTTCAGATCATTATTTTCATCGTTTTTTTTACTTAAGCAAAAAATTTCGGACGTTATTCTTTCCGTGACCTATCGGACGCTGGCAGCGCCGTCGCGACGGCTCGTTTTGTGATGTCGCTTTGCCACGTCGTTTCCGTATCCACAGCCCGGAGAATAATGACTGCATGCTGGGCAAGCCGCGTGTATCAATTCTATCGCCATCGTCGGAAATAATTAAGTATATTGACCGATTTACAATGATTTTTAGCCGTGGAGGAGTGAGAATGATGAGCTTTCGTAAAAGCATTCAAACTGATGTTTGGCAAAACACTTTCAGTTCATGGGTCCAGGGCCCCTTAAGCTACACGGACCTCTACGTTTAGGGTCACCGGTGTCGCTGAGACGCTGAAACCCTCCATGGTTAATGCGGCCCTCGGTTACCGTAACTCTCCTACGGATTGTCTAAATCCCTCAGCTCCCGATGTTGAAATGCTGTAATCCCCAATGCTGATACTGTACTAATCTCACCGGTGAATTCACGCACAATCTCCCGTTGCGGTACCAGCACGCCGCTCTTTAGCGCGTGTCCGTACGCGCCGTCACGAATCCCTGCTACTTGCGAGCCCTCCCACCGCCCGTTCGAATTCCTCAACCTGCTCGACAAATCCCTCCGTGGTCTCGCTCCGCTTGTGTCGTCCCAACGCGGGGCCTTGTCGCCCTCTGCGTTCCCAATCTTTTCCGTCTCGAGCAGCCCCTTCACTGGAACAGACTTCCCCCTCCACGTTAGGCGGTCGCCTTCGCCCGCTAAAGTTTCCGCTCCCCACTCAGAGCTCACTTCTTGTTCCTGAGCTCACCCCACGACCCCCACCCCTTAATCTCCCCCCTTGTAACCACCACCACCACTGTGACTGTTTCCTCTCCACATTCTCATGACGCGGCTGTCACTCATTAACCACGTTCGTTCAACCCACTCGTCATCATTCACTGTCATCAGCTTCGCCCTCACCGAATTGACGAGTCATCCCAGATTCGCCCGCATTGCTTCCTTTTATTTACTTTATTCACTTCATCCACCACCGTTACATTCATGCGTTGTGCCGTTGTTAATTCCGTGTAAAGCGCCTTAGACAAGGCGCTATATCTGCATTATATTAAGATGATAAGATTTCCACAAATTCCGGTTCTTATTGACGGTGGAAGTCATTTCTTATCTTCCATACGGAGCTCTCGCTGGAATTTTAAATTTTTCATAGCTGGCGGGGGCAAAAGCCTCCATAAAAAAGCCAACCACCACCGTTTTTTACCTCCGCACAAAGCGGAGAGAGGGATGATCGCCCGAGTCAACCGTTCCCGGACCGGGGTTCGAACTCGCCACCTTGCCATTCGCGATCCGCTCGCACCACCGTTGATCCACGCGACTCTAAACGGCAAGGGAGAGCACGCGGGCATGCTGAGCCGCGCACGCTGAGCCACGCGTGCGCGCATGCAGCAGCGTCCGCTGCTGAATACAAATGAGTGCCCCGCGCGTCTCCTGCGAGCCCGCCGTGAGCTCGACAGGGAGAGATGCACGCAGACGTTCCCGACGTTCCTGTTGTGTCGCTCCAGCGAACGTGTCAGAGGGGTGTCTGCTCAGCGGCCGAGCGAGCGGAAACCCCCGGGTCGACCCGGGCCCCAATCGTCGCCTCCGCTCGGAGGTTCGATGAAACGAGCGCCGCTTTAACGGGGATGTCAACAGCTTTTTTGTTCTGCGGTGAAACTCGCCCCGCCACCTCGCCACCCGCCACGTGAACGTGGAATTTCCCAGCGCCGGCTCTGCGGGGCTGCAGACGGGGATACGAGCAACGATGCGTCGGCGCTCGTTTGAGCTGCATCAGCAGCAGCAGAAAATGAAAATTCACTGTGGATGCGTCGTGTTTGTAGGCGCAAGATCGAGCACCGACGGGAACCCCCCGAGGGAAGCTCGCCCTCGAGCGCCGTGGCTTTCACGTCCCCCACGGCGTCCCCCCGGGCCTCCCCGCACAATGCGGCATCAATATTGGATGGCGGGTTTTGTTTTTTCTCTCTCTCTCGAGACGATTGCCAGGGGGGATCCGCGTAGAGAACCGTCGCTGCAGGCAAAACCCCAAAGCAGCCGGCACTGCGGCCGCATCATCATCATCATCACGGTGGCTAGGAGATGTTAACTACCTCGCCTGGTGTACAGGAGGTCGTGGGTTCGATCCCGACCCTGACGATGCCGGCTGCTGTATATTTGGAGTCTGCGTCTCTCATCAACATCACGGTGGCCAGGAGATGTTAACTACCTCGCCTGGTATACAGGAGGTCGTTGGTTTGATCCCCGACTCTGACGATGCCTGCTGCTGCTGTATATTTGGAGTTTGCGTGTCTTTCCGCGTCATGGTCGCCGCTTTTTCCCTCCACATTTAGAATCCACGTCACGCATTCAGAGTATTTGACTGCTGTAAGTGTCCACGTGATAATTAGCCACTTTGTTGGGCTATCATTTGTGGTGGCCGGCTCGCTTCTGAACATGAGCTGCGTGGCTTAGTGGGCCCTTACCTGGTGACGTAAAAAATAATTTTGTAGTTTCGTTTTCGTTTGCCGCCTCAGTCACCGACGCAGGTGGAGGTGCGGCCCGTCCTCCCGTAACGCGAGGGTTTTCACGACGCGAATTTGAAATATATATTTCACGCGACGAATCTACGTGGGAACACAGTTTTGTCGTGACGCGGATTGCGGATTTGGACACAACACGATCGCGCGAGCGGGAACGAGCGGCTTGTATGGCTGCCCCGGCGTAGCATTGTCGTCGTCGTCGCACGAGGCATCGGGATGCTGCTGGATGCTTTACAGATGCTGCTACCCGCGCGCAAACCTCGGTCTCTGTTCGGCCTGTGAACGCATTGCAGCGTGTTATCGCCGACTGTGCTCTGCCCACTATATTATTGATTATTTATTATCACGCGATGTTTTTTTTTCCTATTACGCCGCGTTCATCAGGAAGGCAACTACTACCACCGCGTCGCGATATGAGACCCTCACTTTAACACGTTGGAGGCTTTCGCGATCAATATCATCCATAGTAGAGGGTTTTTTTGGTTAGATCGCGTGAATATATAAATGTGTCGTTTAAACCCGCCACCACCCAACACGGCCAACTAGTGAGGGGGTTGTCACGTAAACAGAACGTGGCCAATTCGTCACGAGTACAGCGCTAGTGTGTAGTGTCGCCCTGACGCCTCGCTCACCACGCGCCCTCTCACGCCTCGCTCGCCCTGACGCTCGCCCTGACGCTCGCCCTGACGCTCGCCCTGACGCTCGCCCTGATGCCTCGCTCGCCCTCTCATGCCGTGCAGGCAGCCGGCGCCATGGAAGCGCCACAGCCTGGGGCCAGCGCGGGAGCCAGCGCGGGAGCCAGCGCGGGAGCCAGCGCGGGAGCCAGCGCGGGAGCCAGCGCGGGAGTGGGGGAGCTCGCGGAGCCCCTGGCGGCGTTGGCGCTCCGGGGCGGAACGGCGCCCGCCGACAAGGCGTGCGCCGGCGGGAGCGCCGACGGCGCGGCCTGCTCCTCCTCGGCGCCCGTCGCGTCTCCCGCTCCGTCTCCCAGCCCCTCGTCCCGTCGCCCGGGGCTCGGCCGCTCCGCGGGTGGCCCCGCAGCCGGCGTCTCGCCCGGTGGCTCCTCGCGGCCGGGCCGCCGGCACACGGTGCAGTCTCACCGCGTGTCCGTCACGGACCTGCAGGTGAGAGAGAGAGAGACGGTCAACCCCCCCCCCCACCCCCCAATCGCCTCCGCGACCGGGTTCGTGAGTGGGACGAGGTCTCGAATTTCGCGCTGTCGGCCGGCAGCGATGCTCCTCCGCCGAATTGCTCGACGGCGATTCTGTTGCGTGCCGGAATCGCCCGGGTGTGGACCGGGCCAGAGAGGCTCCGGAAAGGAAAGATGCACCCCGAAGGTTGGGGTCATTAAAACAAAAATCTCTAAAATCTATTTAATTCGAAATCGGCGAAATTTAAACTTCACGGGACGTAGCGTGGACACTGGGGGGGGGGGGGGGGGTGTGGGGGAGAGCCCAGCTTCTGACCCAGAGAATACGAATGATCAGACGCACACGCAGGCACCTGTCCGAATGATCAGACGCACACGCACGTCCCTGTCCGAATGCGTGGAATGCGAGTGACAATCCGTGTGGATGTGGTTCCGACAGCAGCGAGCGTGCGATTAGTCCGAAGCGACTGCGGAGGGCGGTTAGCCTCGTGGTCGACGCCACCGCCACCTACACACCCGGCGGACCCGAGTTCAGTTCCCGCTCGTCGCGACGAATATCAGTGGCGAGTCTCCACACCGGCCCTGGGCCTCCCCTAAGTCCACTCAGCCTCAAATGAGTACCTGGCGCGGTGTGTAAAAACATCGGCACTGGGGAGACAAAGGCGGCCGGGCGTGGTGTTGGCCACCCATCCCCTCGTGTGCCGTGTCGGCCTCCACAGGCGCTGCCGCTCGCTAACAACGCTCGCCCCATGAGTCTGTGAAAGGCTACACGGGGGATCTTTCTGTGTGCGTGTGTGCGTGCAGGACTGCATTCAGCTAAACCAGTACAAGGTGCTGGGCGAGATTGGAAAGGTAAGTTCACGCCGCCCGTGACTTTACCCTCGCCTCGAGGTCGACGCGATGTCCGACGTTTTGCCGTGCGTGTCACGGGCTTCGTCAGAAATTCATTTTTTTTTTCAGAAGCTCACGGTTTCCCTCTTTCACGGAGCGTCGCTGGAAACCCGTGCTGCTGCTGCTTCTGCGGGTTGCCACAGCCCAATAAATGAGTTCCGGATTTGATCTGAAGCTTTCGTGACTGCAGGAATCACTCTTTGGTTCTTTCGGTAAAGTCACGTAGGATTACTACACAAGCAACTGTCATCAGGTAGAACTAAATTTGAGAGAGAGACACAACACAGACACGGAGACACACAGACAGACACACAAGCAGAGAGAGACAACACAGAGACACAGAGAGAGACACACAGCACTGACACACAGAGAGAGACACACAACACAGACACACAGAGAGAGACACACAACACAGACACACAGAGAGAGACACACAACACAGACACACAGAGAGACACACAACACAGACACACAGAGAGAGACACACAACACAGACACACAGAGAGAGACACACAACACAAAGACACACAAAGAGAGACACACAACACAGACACACAGAGAGAGACACACAGAGACACACAGAGAGAGACAAAACACAGACACACAGAGAGAGACAACACAGAGACACACAGAGAGACACACAACACAGACACACAGAGAGAGACACACAACACAGACACACAGAGAGACACACAGAGAAAGACACGACACAGAGACACACAACACAGAGACACACAACACAGAGACACACAGAGAGAGACACACACAGAGAGCGACACACAGAGGAGTCACGAAAGCTTCAAATCAGGTTTGAGCTCCGGATTATTTCGCATCAGTGGCCAACGTGGTGGCTGGCTACGCTGCTGCTGCTGCACGTGCCGTGGCCTGCAGCGATCCAGGGGCTGTTGTGGAACTCCCTTCTAACGGGATCGAGCGTGGCCCCCTCGCACGCGTGCGGCTGTCTCCAGGCGCTCGGGTTTCCCGCCGCGCGCACGATAAACACTCGTTCGTTGCGGCCGGAGAAAACATCTTGACGTGTAGAGGACCGCCAATCTCGGGCAATGTTTCGGTAGCTCCCCGGCGTGTCGCCCGCGTGGCTGCTGCTGCTGCCTTCACGCTTGTCGCCTGTGGCTCCCCCGGCGATTGTGGGAGACGCGGTTTGCACAAAGGACGCTCACGCGGCGAGTATGTCAAACGACACGCCGCTATGCGTCACGGTTCCGACTCTATACATCATAGTGATGGCCGGGTCCGAATTCACGCCCTCCACTCCCTCGGGGGTCTGCGTGCGTGGCGGTGACGGAGTGTTTGTCTGCAGGGGTCCTACGGAGTGGTCCGGCTGGCGTACAACCAGGAGGACAACGTCCACTACGTACGTGACGTCAACACCACGACGGTCGTCGTCGTCGTTATTGTTGTCGTTGTTGTCGTCATCGTTGTTGTCGTCGTGGTCGTTGTTGTTGTCGCCATTGTTGTTGTTGTCTTCATCGTTGTTGTTGTCGCCATTGTTGTTGTCGTTGTTGTTGTCGCCATTGTTGTTGTCTTCATCGTTGTTGTTGTCGCCATTGTTGTCGTTGTTGTTGTCACCATTGTTGTTGTCGTTGTTATTGTTATTGTCATCGTTGTTGTTGTTGTCATCATTTGTTATTGTCGTCGCCATCGTTGTTGTTGTCGTCGTTGTCGTCGTCGTTTGCCCGGCAGTGAATTACGTGAATGACGCGAGACCCATTTGAAACTATTCTCTCTCAATGGCCGTACGATTGAATCGGCATCATACTCTTTGGTTCTTTCGCTAAAGTCACGTAGATAGAAAAATAATAATAAAGTGAATAAAAAATAAATAAATAAAAGCCACGACGCTTCGATCACTACACAAGCGGCCGCCATCAGTTTCTGCGATCGAAACGTCGTGGTTTTGATTCTTTCAATATGTTTGCATTCTGTTTTTTATTCACTTCATTCGCATTTTTCCATACACGTGACTTCACCGAAGGAAACCAAAGGACACGAATTCCCGCAGCCGCGAAAGTTTTCAGTCAAAATTGAATCGTTATCACTCAAATGTTCGCTACGTGGAACTCAACGACGATTTGGTCCGTTGGACGCGGCAGGGTTGTCAACAAGTTTCATCCAACCCTGGTACACCGTTCCCACGTAGCTTGCCTGCTACCGTACCGGCCGTTTTGTCTGGGTCACCTTCACAGGAGACAGCGAGATTCATCTTCTTGGTTCTTTCGGTAAAGTCACATAGAAGGGAAATAATAAAATAATAAAAATAAAACATAATAAAATAGAATTCTCACGACGTTTCGGCCACAACGCAAGCAGCCGTCCTCAGGTGAAGAACAGGTCTGTCGGAAAGACGCTGTCTTTTCTCACGTCGTGAGAATTGCATTTTATTATGTTTTATTCTTATTATTTTATTATTTCCCTTCTACGTGACTTTACCGAAAGAAGTCACGAAAGCTTTAAATCGAAATTTAGCGGGATTATTGTGAGCCTCGTGACATTTCACAAACCGTGCGCACCACAAGAGAGCCTCGGACGAGTCTCAAGACGTTTTTGGTGTTGCTCAGGAGGGTCCTGCCGAGTAACTGGGTACATTTTCCCGTCTCGGAATTTTTCACGCTCGGCAAAAGCCGCTCGCTCGCCGGGTTGCCGACATCCGCCGCGGCGCGTGGGTATTAACCAGGGTGGCCACTGGGCTCGAAGCCACACCGCTCGGGGGGCCGTGTCGTCGCCACGAGGAAATCTCTGCGACGACGATTTGGTCTGTTGGACGCTGCGGGCGTTACCCACACTTTGACCCCCTCCCCCCCCCGTGGACTGACTGTGAAGGACCCATTCCTGCCGTTGCCGCTGCTGCTGCCAGAGGAGGCGGCGGTGGCGGTGGTGGTTGGGCGGGCGGGCGGGCTTAGGAATCCGCTGACACCGAGGGTCGGTCTTTTCCAGGCCATGAAGGTGATGTCCAAGAAGCGCCTGGTGAAGCAAGCCGGCTTCCCGCGTGAGTTGCGTTTGCTGCGATCGCGCGCACACTGCGCAAACACGCGCTAACAAAGACACAGATTCCCCGTGTAGCCTTCACAGACTGTTGGGGCAAGTGCCGTTAGCGAGTAGCAGCGATGAAGGCAGGAACGGCACACGAGGGGGCGGGTGGCCAGCACCACGCCCGGCCGCCTTTGTCTCCCTAGCAGCGATGTTTATACACCGCACGAGGCTGAGTCGACCCGAGTTCGATTTCCGCTCGCGGCCGATTATCTGAACTTGTCCTGCACCTCCCCTAGGTCGATTCAGCCTCAAATGAGTACCTCGCTAATCTCTACACCACCGCTCCCCACGCACACACACGCACATCGTTCGGATTATACCATCGGTCGCGTCACCTAGCGATTTACCCTGTGCGCTCGCCACCTCGATGCCGCATCACGCCACCGGTGGTGGCGGGAACATTGCGAACCCGATGACGTCGAAGGGACGTCACTTTCCCGGCGTCGTCATATCCCCGTGCAGCTCCCGAAAGATCCCACTGTTCGGACGATCTCACGTGTTGCGTGTGGGCCAAAGCTTCCAACCCCCAGGAGCACCGCGTCCGTGCGTGGGCCTTCGTGCGGCAGCGCGGGGAGCGGCGGCGGTTAGCACCCAGCAGTGCTGCGAACCCGGCGGCCCGAGTTCACTGATGTGTTGCCGCTCGAATATCTCTGACCCCCGCCCCCCGTTCGCTGAGGCTTGTCCATAAAAACAGCGGAACTGCGGATGATGGGAGACAAAGTGCTGCCGGCCACCCCCGCCGGCAGCACTTGCCCCGTGCTGCCGGCGAGGCTGTACGGCGGCGGGGGGAATCTTTGTCTTTGTGCCCCACGTGTCGTTTCCCCACAAGGTCGGCCTCCCCCACGCGGCAGGGCGGCCGGAGCGGCGGCGGCGGCGACGACGGCGACGACGGCCCGGAGCCCCCTGGACCGGGTCTACCAGGAGATCGCCATCCTGAGAAAGCTGGACCATCCCAACGTGGTGCGGCTAGTCGAGGTAACGCACGCACACACGCGCACACACACACGCACACACACGCACGCACACACACACGCACACACACACACGCACGCACACATACACGCACACACACACACGCGCGCACACGCACACACACACGCACACACACGCACACACACGTGCACGCACACACACACGCACACACACGCGCGCACACACACACGCACACACACGCACAGATGCACACGCATGCACACACGCACACACACGCACACACACACACACGCACACACACACACACGCACACACACACGTGCACGCACACACACACGTGCACGCACACACACACGCACGCATACACGCACACACACACACACGCACACACACGTGCACACGCACACACACACGCACACACACACGCACACACACACACGTACACACACACACACACGCACACATACGTGCACGCACACACGTGCACGCACACACGTGCACGCACACACGTGCACACACACGCATGCACACACGCGCACACACACACACGTGCGCACACACACACGCACGCACGCACACATGCACACACACGCACGTGTATGTACGTGTATTTAACACGTAGGCTCTGGCCGTCGCCTGATGCTGGTTGTTGTAATCGCCGGCGAGGCGTCACGGTAAATGTTGCAGTGGCTTTACTCTCCAACACACAACCGGTGTGGTGCTGAACTAGTAACGTTTTGTTTACGTGGCAAACTTGACTAAATTGGCTGTGTCGGGTGGTAGTGGTGGCGGCGGGATTAACGGCACATTTATACGATCCAAACCAACAAAAACACCTCTATTATGGATATATCTACGTATGTTGAACTTATTTCGCACCATACGTAGCCAACAACAAACTAAACGCGCATGTCTTGTGCGCGCACACTCACGGTCGCACTTACTACGCCGCTCGTTCACTCAGCCAGGCCTCGCCGAGTCTCATGGCACTTTTTCAGCGAGGTCCTCTTAAGTTTTCGCTGTAGGCCGGGGGTGGGGGGGGGGGGCGATGGGGAGCACGCGATGATTGCCATGTGTGACGCTTGATGTAACAACTCATTGATTGGCCGATAATCGATGCGATCGCCACTCCCAGCCGGAGAATTGTTGCGCCGCACGGAAACGATCATTGGCTCTCGTACCCGCGGAGGAAACGATCGGCATTCCGATATATGTGTAGTAGGTTCAATGAGACGTAGACGACGTAGTCGGAGGCACACTTATTTATTATAACGTTCACTTCTGCACAGGCCAATGTATACAATACTCGAAGGGGTAACGGCCCCTTCACCCGTCTAACAGGGAGACCCCAGTAACTCTAACCGGCTAGCCTACTCCCAGGTCCTCCACTCGAGAGCTAGGGGAGGTTAGCTGATCCAGCTCTGGCCAAGCTAGGATCACGGCACCCTGAGTCACCAGACCGGCTCTTACATGAACATCGGCTCTGGGCTCTCGGGGCCACGCCACTGGCTTGCCCTGGTCGGTCCTTAGAAGGACAGCGATCCAGGGGAGTCCCAGGGCCTATCTAGCCGGTCTTCTCTCTTCACTGGTTTAAGCTGAACCCTGAGCCCACCGGCTCACCGCCTTATATAGCAACTCCCCCCCGAGAGGTGGGGCCGTGGGGGATCACAGCGCCGTTACAGCCCCCCAGGGCTAACCGATGTGGACGTGGATGTAAGCATCCTTCCGCGTGCGGGCATAACCACCTCTTGTGTGTTTGTTCGCCCTCCCGTAACACCCCTACATATGTAGCACCGGGTAATCGTCCACACTGTGGGTGTCAGGGGAGCGGTAGTGTCATGGTTAGCGCGCTGCGCTACGAACCCGGTGACCCGGGTTCAATTCCCTCTCACGGCCAACACCCGGTGACGATTATCTGCACCGGTTTCTGGGCCTCCCCTAAGTCCACTCGGCCTCAAATGAGTACCTGGTACGGTGTGTAATAACATCGCCACTGGGGGAGACAAAGGCGGCCGAGCGTGGTGCTGGCCATCCACCCCGTCGTGTGCCGAGTCGGCCTTTGTAGGTGCTCGCTAACAGCACTTGCCCAACAGCCTTTGAAGGCTATACGGGGGATCTTTGTCTTTTTTTGTGTGCGTGCGCAGGTGATGGATGACGCCGGCGAAGACAACTTGTACATGGGTAAGCGGCCCCGATTACCCGCGTCGTGGGTTTACTTCCACGCGAACATAAAAAACGCCCGTTAATTCGCGGCTGAAAGCATCTTCAACGTGCGGAGGAGCGCAGGGCCCCACCGAGTCTCACGATTGCGATCCAGGAGGGTCCTGCCAAGGCTTCAGTCGAGCAATACGTGGGAGCGTTTTCAGAAATTGGGATGTTTAAGACCGGAACAGGGGGAAGAGGAAGACAGGTAGTCCCCATGTTACGATGGTGCGACTTACGATATTTCGATCTTACGGTGGTGATAGCGATAAGACAAAATTGTAAAATATTAAAAATTTCGCGCGGCAGGCAAACGCAGCGGCATACGAGGTACAAATCTTGGTGAGTACAGTACAATATGATACGTTACGATACGTTCAATCAGGGGCGGTTTCTTCATTAGGGCGATTGGGCGACGCACCACCAATGTCATTCAACCACAGTCACGCTAGCCGTCACTGTGCAGCCTCTGGATATAGTCCAATCAGCGTCATGTCACGTTCTGTGGAGTACCGCCTCTTTTGGGGCGATTTCACTCCGGCTGAGAATCGCCCCGAGTGGCCCCATAGACTTACATTGAAAGATGTTTTTTTTCGAACGGGGGCGCTCCAATGCATTCTCTATGGCTTCCGGAAGGGCAAGCCCTAACGTGCTTACGTCATCATACGTGCTAACGTCATCATACGTAAGCACGTTTCATCCAACAATATAATTTATCGCTACCTAGTGGAATCTTTAATAAAATAAACTTGAGTGGTTTGTTTTAATAGTGAGTATATAAACAAACAAGATGTATTGTAAGAGTCACTTTATTTTGCATTAATATTAAAGAAGTGAAGTTGCCTTTACATGCTTAAGCTGTTAATTTATTCATTGCATGGGTGGACCTTATCCTTATCAATCATCCAGACATTTGCCCCCCCTGAGAGATTTTGCAGGAGCCGCCACTGCGTTCAATGCATGTATGATACGTAGCTTTAGCGATTTAATTTTAGGGTTACCACGATACGATACGTTCAATGCATGTTAAAGTTTTTATAGCAGATAGGATTGTTTCCTGAAAAAACTTTCTATTAAATTGCAGTTCATATAGGTAGGCTAAAAATTACCCTGGTTTTTACTTGACATTTTACTGTGCAATACAGTATTGTAATTACCAAATACACACAGTAAATAGTTTATACAGTACGGTACTGTAAATTGCTCTGTTTTGCTAAATTGTCACCATTCTTTAAGACTCCTGGGCAGGCTAGGCCATCTTCGACTTGCGATATTTTTGACTTGCGATGATGGGGTCGTCGTAACGCATCTCCATCTTAAGTCGAGGACTGCCTGTACTCCACAACTCTGGCCGTCGCCTGACGATGCTGGTTGTAATTACTGGCGAAATGTTTGTGCTCATGACGAATTGGCGCGGTTTGTTTTACGAGACATGAACCTCACCGACTGGTTTAACACGTCGGCTTCGTCACCGCCCGGCGTCGCCACCGCTGTATTAGTAGGCCCAGCTATCCAGGCAGTTAGCGACGTCGAGCTTGAAGGTCAGCGTTGCCGTTATGTGCTCGGTGAGTCGTGCAGTGTGAAGTTATTGTTTCCGGAGTCCGACATTACACTCGTAACGAATTGGCACGTTTTGGTTACGTGTCAAATGTTTCGGGTCGGCCGTGTCGGATGGCGGTGGGTTTAACGTCACATTATTATTGTGATAGGTTTTTACCCTTTAAACTGGTACAAAAACCAGTTTAAAGGGTAAAAACTATCACTATATTTTGCCACTGGTAAAGGAGGTCTCATAGTGACACATTATTATGTTCACGCGATCTAACCCGACAGAAACCTCCATATTGGTGGCGAAAGCCTCTGTGGCCACCTCCCTTCCCTTCCCTCGCCCCTCCACTCCTCCCCGTCCCTCCCCCTACCCCGTTCGTGATCCCCAAACCCCTCTCCTTCGCTGTCGCTCACTCCTCAATCCCCGTAGCATCGCCCCTGCCATCCCAAACCACTCCCCTGTCTCCGTCACCGTCTTGAAAGCGGCGCCATCAGGGAGCCTTGAGCGAAGGAGCTCTGCGTATAACTTCGTACATTCGATTAGAATCGGATCGTGTTGTGTTGCGTGCCGGCACATGTCCACGCACGGGTGTTGGACGAGGGAGTTGAAGGGACGGGACGAGCGGGGGGGGGAGTTTCACTCCGGTCCCCTCCACGTGTCCCCGCTAGACTCTGACGTCGTGATTCTTGTGTCTCTCTCCCCCCCCCCCTCTTGCCGCAGTATTCGAGCTGGTGCGCAGGGGGTGAGTGTCCACCACTTCTTGCAACGCCCCGTCGTTCGTGTGTCTGTGTGTGAGTGTCAGTGTGTCTGTGCGTGTGTGGGGAGCGGTGATGTTGCGGTTATCGCTACGCTGCGCTACGAACCCGGCGACCCGAGTTCGATTCCCGCTCACGACCAACACCACCAGTGACGATTATCTGAACCGGTCCTGGGCCTCCGCTAGGTCGACTCAGCCTCAAATGAGTATCTGGTGTGGTGTGTGAGCATTACCATTCGGGAGACAAAGGCGGCCGGGCGTGGTGTTGGCCACCCACCCCATCGTGTACCGTTCCAGCCTTCATAGGTGCTCGCTAAAAGCACTTGCCCCTACAGTCTGCTTAGGCTTTGTCTTTGTGTGTGTGTGTGTATCTCTGCGTGGGGAGCGGTGGTGTAGTGGTTAGCGCGCTGCGCTACGAACCCGGCGATCCAAGTTCGATTCCCGCTCACGGCCAACACCACAGTGACGTTTATCTTAACTAGTCCTGGGCCTCCCCTAGGTCGACTCAGCATCAATCGAATGAGTATCTCGTGCAGTGTGTAAACATCAGCACTGGGGAGACAAAGGCGGTCGGGCATGGTGCTGGCCACCCACCACCTCGTGCACCGCCTTGTCGGCCTTCGTAGGTGCTGCTCGCTAACAGCACTTGCCCCAACAGTCTGTTACAGGCTACACGGGGGATCTTTGCGTCTGTGTGTCTGTGCGTGTCTGTGTGTCTGTGCGTGCGCTCAGGCCCGTGATGGAGGTTCCCTCTGAGTGCCCCTTCTCGGAGGAGCAGTCTCGCCAGTACTTCCGCGACATCCTCATGGGGATCGAATACCGTACGCACGCACACACACGCACACACACGCACACACACGCACACACACGCACGCACGCACACCCCGCGTCGCGCTCGCGCGTGATTGGCCAAAATCGTGCGTTGACTAATGTGATCTAACCGAAAGAAAAAAACAAAAACCACCTCTATTGTGGCTTCGTAATGTCGGAGCGTGTGCGTCGCTAGCTGTGCTGCTGCTTGCTGTGGCCACGCTGGTCCGGCCACTATGTTAGTCTGATAACTTTAATCTACATTGTCTTACGGTTGTTATTGTTCGACTTGCATCCCACTGGGATTTGTGCACGCAGCGTTGAAACGCGGTGGCTTTTGTCTGGAAGACTTTGCTGCTATTTCCTGGATGTTTCTGTTTGCGCGTCGTCACTTTGAGATGTTTTCTTGTTCACGTTTTTGTTTGTTGCGGTTGCACCCAAGTCAAGAGCCGCATGGCTCACAGGGTTACACCTTCTGGGTTCTTTCGGTAAAGTCACGTAGAAGGGAAATAATAAAATAATAAAAATAAAACATAATAAAATAATTATCACGACGTTTCGGCCACAACGCAAGCAGCCGTCCTCAGGTGAAGAACAGGTCTGTCGGAAAGACAGCGTCTGATGACGCTGTCTTTCGTAGCGTTGTGGCCGAAACGTCGTGACAATTATTTTATTGTTTTATTTTTATTATTTTATAATTTACCTTCTACGTGACTTTACCGAAAGAACCAAGAAGATGAATCCCTGCAGTCACGAAAGCTTTAAATCGAGGGTTACACCTCACACATGAAACTGAAACACGGCGTTCACCGCCCAACGCCCGGCCCCCCCAGTGCACCACCAGGGCATCGTGCACCGTGACGTGAAGCCGTCCAACCTCCTGCTGGGCGACGACGACCACATCAAGATCTCGGACTTCGGCGTGAGCGACCGCTTCCACGGCGACGACGCCGTCCTCTGCGGCTCGGCCGGCACGCCGGCGTTCTGCGCCCCCGAGACGCTGACGCACGCGCGCACGCGCTTCACCGGGAAGGTGCGCGTCACGCACCACCCCCCCCCCTCACCACCACCCCCTCACCACCCCCTCACCACTTGGAAGACTGACCACTTCCCCCCCCTGTGCAGGCACTGGACGTGTGGGCCATGGGAGTGACTTTGCACTGCTTCGTGTTCGGAATCGTGAGTGCGCACGCGGGGACGAGCGCACGCACAGACGCACCCGTCCACGCACGCTCCACCACTTGCCCCCCGAACAGCCCGTTGCAGGCGGCGGGGGAGATAGTTGTCTCTGTGGCGTCACCGGACGTGTTCCTCTCACCGCTCGCTCCGTGCGCGTGCCCCCCCCTCTCTGCGTCCCCCCCTCTCTGCGTCCCCCCCTCTCTGCGTCCCCCCCTCTCTGCATCCCCCCCTCTCTGCGTCCCCCCCTCTCTGCGTCCTCCCCAGTGCCCGTTCAGGGACGAGCACATCCTCGCCCTGCACAACCAGATCAAGACGCAAGCCGTCACCTTCCCCGAGCAGTGAGTTTTGTTGTTGTCGTTTTGAATCGCCCAGCTGCACGGGGGGGGGGGGGGTGGCAGAAGAGAAGACCCCCCCGAGAGGAGGTCGCGTGTCCGCGTTGAAGGTCGGCGCGACGAGACGGAGAGACGTTGGGGTCGGGCGATGTTGCCGTGGTGTTTCCCCGCCGGGGGGCTCTGCGACATCCCTCGCCCCGCCCCCCAACCACCCCCAGCGCCGCCAGGCCACTTGCGCAAACGAACCGAGGGTCGGCGGATCGCCGCCGCGCTAAAAACAAAACCTCGGGAAACTGCCCTCGTCCCAACGTGAGCGGGAGTCGAGTGGCTGCGACCGTAGGCCCCCGGCTCGCCAGGGGCGGGCGGTGCAGTCGGCGCGGACGATCGCCGTCCTTGTCCGTCCGCGGACCTGATGGTGAGACCGGCGAGGTGCCACCGGTGCCACCGAAGTTCATTCGCGGCGGGCACTTTGAGTGCGACCTCACCACGTGGCATTCGTTTACCGGAAAAGCGGAAAAGCCGGAGGGCGACGCCGGCTTGGCTCGCTTCTTAACATTTGATTATTGACTGCCTGGTCCGCTGTGCCCCGGCAGGCCCGCAATCGGTGAGCCGCTCAAGGTGCTGCTGCTGGCCATGCTGGACAAGCGGCCGGAGAGCCGCATCACGGTGCCCCAGATGAAGGTGCGACGGCGCGGCAACGTTCCCCCGCCGCATTTCTCAATAAATAAACAAACCAGTCGCCGTGACGTAGAAGGTGCGGCAGGAGGGCGTGGGGCCCGGGCCGTTGCGTAGGCCTGGAGGGTGGCGCGTGGAACTTGTTTCGCACCGTACGTAGCTCAGCGCGCGCCAATCGGAGGCGCAGACTCGTCGGCCCGCTAGGGCTGCCGCACGGGCGACCATTGTTTGCCCCCGCAGTGTCACGGCTGGGTGACCCAGGGCGGCACGGACCCGCTGCCCCCACTGCACTGCGCCCCCGTGGAGGTGACGTGCGACGAGGTGCGGGACTCGGTGCGTCACGTCGTCAGCCTGGCGACGCTGGTAAGCCACGCCGGGCGTTCTGAGCACAACGCTCGCTGCTTCTGCCGCCCCCCCGGCTCCCACCGTCGCCGCTGCGTCGGCGAGGATTCTCTCGAGCGAAACGGCGGCGACCGGTGACCCAGAAACTCGGCCCGGTCGGCCGGTCGCCTCCGTTTGTCTCGCCCCCTCTTCCGCGCAGATCATGGCCAAGCAGATGCTGCGCAAGCGCTCCTTCAGCAACCCCTTCGAGTCGAGCAGCCGCAAGGAGGAGCGCAGCATGTCGGCTCCGGGAAACCTGCTCATGTGAGTCGGGGGTAACCCCCCCCCACCACCCCGCCCCCCCCCCCCCCCCGCGCCAACGACGCCCCCTGTAGACTTGAAACGCACACGGGAACCTACTGCAAACTGTCGGGGCTGTTTGCGAGCACCTATTAGGGGCGGGCGCGACGCTCGAAGGGTCGGCGTGGCTAGCGCCACATCCCGGCACGGCCCGGCCGCCTTCGTGACGGGTAGCCGTTTCACGGCCGGAGCCGGCCCAGGACTCGGGCCTAGCGTTGCAAGTCCCGGCAGCCACACTCACACCTTCCCCTCTTCGCCTGCCTGTGCTCCTCCGGTCGCTTTCAGCCACATTTCATGCATCGGCGCTTTTGCTGTTTGTCCATTTTTGCAGCCTGCTCCCCTTCCGCTGTTGTGGATCAGCACGAGGCCACGCTCCGAGTCAAAAACCTAACCGTTTAGAGTTTGCTCCGCGTTTTTCGCAGGCAGAGAGAGAGAGAGACAGAGAATGATTCAGATTGTCAACTTGTTATTGAGGAGGGGTCCTGCCAAGTCTTTCGCACGAGGTAGGGGGGCGATGTTGCCGCTCTGCGGTCATCCTCGCAGCAGCAGCAGCAGCAGCAGCAGCAGCAGCAGCTGCTGCTGCTGCTGCTGCTGCTGCTGCTGCTGGCTGCTGCTGCTGCTGGCTGCTGCTGCTGCTGCTGCTGCAGCGGCTTTTGGCTGCCAGCCATCTAACAAAGACGGTGGTCGCCGCATCACGGCGCTTTCGGATGTCCCTCTGCGGCCGTCTGGAATGCTGTGCCTTCCGATATTAGGAAGCCACTTTGACATCACCATCGAGATTGACGAACTCATTTCTTTAGAACTCATTTTTGTGCCTAGTTAGTTGTCCTTCCCCCCGCATCTCCGATTAGCACGGTTGGGTACGTACGGTGCGAAATAAGCTCATCATGCACACATGCGTACAATCCCAACGGAGTGATTTGCGGGTCAGTATTCAGCATTGGGATGTTTGTTCGGATGCCAGAACGGGCGGAGAGAGAGAGTGGGGGGGGGGGGGGGGGGGCACAAACTCCACACAGAGTCGGGAATCGAACCCGGGCAGGGGCCAACAGAGATACGGTGACAGCCGAGAGAAGAGCGATGGTTGCGGTGCGGGCAGCCGACCCCGCTGGTGATGGTGGGAAGCCAACGGAGGAGGGGTTGGCGGAGGAAGGCGAGGGGCCATAGCTTCAGATGTCACGACCTCGCGCTCTGCCGCCACCGGCGCCATCTTCCCCGTTGTGTTATAACTCCGCCACGTGTACACTCTCTCCCTTTCCTCTTCCTTGCTCTGCATCTCTTGTCTGCATGCCGACAGGGACCGCCAACTATCATTTCACAAACTGCACCCATCTCTAAGGTAACCGTGGCGGGCGACAGAGCGGCGCACGCCGTTGAGCCGTGCGTCCAACTCGCGGTTTACAGCCCTCTCCCCCCCGCCCCCCCTCCTTTGCTCCGGCTGCGATGCACACGCGTGCGCAACAAAGACAAAGATCCCCCGTATAGCCTTAATGGGCTTTTCGGGCAAGTGCTGTTCGCGAGCACCTACGAAGGCACACAAGGGGGTGGGGCGGCGATGTCGACGCACCGCACCAGGTACTCATTTGAGGCTGTGTCGACCTAGGGGAGGCCCAGGACCGGTTCAGATAATCGTCACTGTGGTGTTGGTGGCCGTGCGTGGGAATCGAACTCGGGTCGCCAGGTTCGTAGCGCTATCCGCTACTTACCACTCCACACACAACTTGGAAGATTTGGGTCCTGGTCCCCGAGATTGAAAACGAATTTCTTTAGAACCGCTTGTTGTGTTTAGTTTGTTGTCCTTCCCCCGCACCTCCGATAAGCACGTTTGGCTACATACGGTGCGAAAGAAGTTCAACATACCGTACATACACAGAGACCCATAGACTCATACAGAAACCCATAGACTCGTCACACGGAGACCCATAGACTCACACAGAAACCCATAGACTCGTCACACGGAGACCCATAGACTCATACAGAAACCCATAGACTCGTCACACGGAGACCCATGGACTCACACAGAAACCCATAGACTCGTCACACGGAGACCCATGGACTCACACAGAAACCCATAGACTCGTCACACGGAGACCCATGGACTCACACAGAAACCCATAGACTCGTCACACGGAGACCCATGGACTCACACAGAAACCCATAGACTCGTCACATGGAGACCCATGGACTCACACAGAAACCCATAGACTCGTCACACGGAGACCCATGGACTCACACAGAAACCCATAGACTCGTCACACGGAGACCCATGGACTCACACAGAAACCCATAGACTCGTCACACGGAGACCCATGGACTCACACAGAAACCCATAGACTCGTCACACGGAGACCCATGGACTCATACACTGCATCCGCGTGCTTTCAGATGCGCTTCTGCAGCCGTCTGGAACGTTCTTCCTTCCAACTTGGAGCTATACACACTTTTAAATCGTCTCGGTTGAAAACTCCGATAAGCACGGTTTGCTACGTACAATAATAATTGTATTTTATAGAACGTCATTCATGCAATTGCATCCCACAACGCCGCACGTCAATTATACAGTTCTGTGCACAGATAATATAACCACAAAATCCCACTGCCCAGCAAGTAAATAAAAATGAACAGATAAACAACGAGAAAAAAAATGCGCGCAAGAATGAAGTTCAAAAACGCCATACGTACAAACACACGTGACAGTTCTGTCCGGCTGCCAACGCCCACGGAGCCGCGGTCGGTGGCCACTCCGCTTCAGCCTCGGCCGTCAACGTCGCACGCAGCGGCTTCTCTTCAGACGCCGCGTCAGCGCCGCCGCTACCGGGCGGTGCGTAGGCTGTGTCACTGACGCTCGTGCGTCCGCTCGTGCGTCCGCGCGCAGGAAGCAGAACAGCGGAGATGCCATCGCGGTGGCCCCCGACCTGCCGGAGGTACAAGAAGGCGAAAATTCGTCGTGAAGCCGGAGAGTCGCCCTGCAGCGAACTTGGGCCGCGCCTGGAGGGAGAAGCGTCCGTACGTCCGTACGTCCGCCCACTGCCGCCGCCGCAGCAGCAGTGGCAGCGTTGAGCGGCGGCGGTGCGACGTGTCAGCCGCCGTCGAGGGGGAAGCGTCCAAGGGCCGTTGCCGCCGCCGTCGACCCTGCCGCGTACGGGGCTCCACGGTTCTTTTTGTTTTAAAAGAAAATGTTTCGAGTGACGCTCACAAGCTGAGATGTTTTTATTTTTGTTAACCCCGGGCGAGAACCGGATGAGTCTCGTTCGCGAGAGCGCCGTCTAGGGGGGGCGGGGAGGCGTGAGCCTGCCGCCAGCAGCCGGTGGCGATAATCGCCGCGCTGCGTGTGTGTGTGTAACGCATGCGCGATCTCAATCGAGCAATTTGCGCTGCGATTTTTTTTCTTCCCAATTTGGCAAATTTGCACCGTGACGCCGACACACGGCGGCCCTGCTCTTGCACGTGACGTCAAGGGATCATTACACACACCGCAGTAATAACCAGGGGCGGCCGCTGGATTCGAACCGCGAACTTCTCTGCCACGATGGGCGGTCGCGCGACCGCTTAAGCCGCGTCGTCGCGAACGCCACCCACCATCTCGCCGGGAGGAATCATGGAAGATATGCACTTTGTAACCGATGTCATTCCCTCTGCGCGTCTCGAGTAAGACTTCGCAGAAGCGGGAGCGGTCAATCGCTCCCCCCTCCCTCCCGACCGAGGTTCACGAAACGCGTGCGGCACGAAGCTGTGTGTCTACGTCGAACTTCTTTCGCACCGTACGTAGCCAACCGCGCCAATCGGAGGTGAGAATGCGTGGATCACCCACGCTCGGCGCGGGGGTGACTATTTTTCGAGTTAAAATTCACATCACTTTTTTTCAAGGAGCGTTCCTTACGCGCACGAGTCGCACCGTCAATGGCCACGGATCGCGGAGTTTCTACGAGGCAATATTCGCGCGTTCCCCCCCCCCACACCCACACACCGGCAGCAAAAAAATGATATCAGTCGGGTCACGAAGCATGAACTTTTGGGACGCCAAGGCCGCTGCAATGCACCATGGGAGCGGGTCGTTGGGGGGGGAAGGCACCCCCCCCCCCCCCCACCGCCGCTGCGCGCTGAGTCAGACGTAGACGATACCGCGGCCTGGTCCCGGAGGAAAACTGAGCGGAGGGGGGAGCGGAGACGGTGGCGAGAGGGGAGATGGACAGGGTGCTTCAAAAAGATGTTAACCACCTTCGAGAATTTGAAACAACGCCGCGAGAAATGTGCTGCCTCCGGGCTCTGGAGACCACCCGGAGAAGATTCCAGGCAACGTGTTGACAACGATGGGAGACGCTTTGACTTTTTGAAGCTACTGACATGCATTAATTATCACGTTAAGGCCCATTATCCGTTATTTTCCCATTAAAAAAACGATAGTCCAATGTCAGTGTTAACGTTTCTTTTGCAGCACCCTGGACACTGTGATAACCTCCTCAAGGCGACATTGAATCCTGGGCCTCACTTCATGCTGAGCCAGTGGGGAGCTAGCAGGGAAGGCTCAGCCTTGCTCTCACCTCAGTCCTCCTAGCGCGGTGTTTTCAGAGGCGGCGGGCGGGGGGGGCCACTTTCGCCGATAAGACATCACCGGTGTGGTGAGGGCCGCCACACATTTGAACCCATCGGGCTGGGTTTGACAGCAGCACGATGATGATGATGGGGGGCTGTTTTCACTCTTTGTGTATTGCTGGGGGGGCCGCACTAAAGGTCCACCAGCGGCCACCCAGTGGCCCGCGAGCCTTGGACGTGAAGGACAGTGGCCTAGCAAGATGACCTCTGGTCATCCGTGAGTGTAAGCACGCTGCTTATGATGATGATGATGCTAATGCTGCCTGCAAGGCTTGAGGTGTGGGGCCTGCAGGCGCCGACTGCTGCAGCCGCTACAGGCGTCGGTGTGTCAAGATGTAACCATGCACGTGTCTCTATGAGCAATGTTATATGCATGCGTGTAATTTGTATGTTACCGTATTATTTTATTAAAATGCCCTCAATGGAGCGGGAGTGGCTGCTGTCTGGCTGTGTGGACTGAAAGGAAGACACGTTTCATATTCGAAATTAAACTTTTTCTTTTACCAGGTAAGGCCCACTGAGCTAGAGAGCTTTTTTTTCAGAGTGACTTTGCCACATATGATAGCTCAACAAAGTGTGGAAATTCATAGCGGCAGCCAAATATACTGTAAAAGCATGTTTCTAAAACATTTAGAAAGACCCAGAGAAAAATCCACACGACCACGGGGAGAGAGACACGCAAACTCCAAATCTACAGCAGCAGCAGGCGTCAGGGTTGGGATCAAGCCCACGACCTTCTGTATACCAGGCGAGGTAGTTAACATCTCCTAGCCACCGTGATGATGATGAGAGAGAGCGAGAGAGACACACAAACTCCAAATATACAGCAGCAGGCATCGTCAGAGTCGAGATGGAACCCACGACCTCCTGTAGACCAGGCGAGGTAGTCAACATCTCCTGGCCACCGTGATGATGATGAGAGAGAGCGAGAGACACACAAACTCCAAATATACAGCAGCAGGCATCGTCAGAGTCGAGATGGAACCCACGACCTCCTGTAGACCAGGCGAGGTAGTCAACATCTCCTGGCCACCGTGATGATGATGAGAGAGAGCGAGAGACACACAAACTCCAAATATACAGCAGCAGGCATCGTCAGAGTCGAGATGGAACCCACGACCTCCTGTAGACCAGGCGAGGTAGTCAACATCTCCTGGCCACCGTGATGATGATGAGAGAGAGCGAGAGACACACAAACTCCAAATATACAGCAGCAGGCATCGTCAGAGTCGAGATCGAACCCACGACCTCCTGTACACCAGGCGAGGTAGTTAACATCTCCTGGCCACCGTGGCGAGGCAAGGGCCGCTGCTCTGCTCATCTGGACGCTTGGGGCTTAACGCCATTGGGGCTCCGTGAGAAGCCACAATAAAAAAAAAATGTTTCTCCCATTAATAACAGTGTAACAATACCCTTAGGTTTTATCGGTAAAGTCACGTAGGGAAAAATATAAATAAATAATAAAAATTATAGAAATAATAATAGTGATATTTTTGTGTAATTCCTTCACGTAAAGTCCTGGTCACAAAAGAAAAGTTTGTGGGGAGTAATAGCCACTTTCTGCACTTTAGAGGCACAACCAATTAGGAAATAACACTTCCTACCCAGGAACAAACAATCGTGTTACATCGTGTAATGTTCTTACATAATCCCTCTTAGTGAGGCGTCACGCCAAATTGTATCACAAGAACATTACGACTTCATCTGCAGTTTAATAAGAGATTTTCATTTGCACTATTGCTGTTGGGCAGTGTGTCAAAGCACAAGACGATGACGTCACAAGAAATGTCGTTGGGGTATCAGATATCGCGATAATCGAAGTATCGCGATACTTCCACCGTAAATCGCGATAATCGTATCGCGATATACGGTGGGAGAGGGAGGCGGAGGAAAGACGGAGCACGTGACCGCGCGCCGACCAATAGGAGAGCAGGTGCGCCGGGCCGCCCGCTCCGAGACCCGCTGCGTGGGCCCTGGTCGCGATGGCCGACTTCGCTGATGATCTCTTCGCCGTCTTCGAGGCGGCGGAGTCCCCGCAGCGGCTCCCGGGAGCCGCAGGAGGAGCCACAGCAGGAGGAGGAGGCAGAGGAGGAGGCGGCGGCGGCCGAGCAGAGTTGAGTGGCGACTGCAGCTTCTCTCACTCACACGCGGGCACGCGTACAGTAATAACCGTGTGTACAGTGCGTACACGTGACCACGTGGGTGGGTAACGTCGCTCGCACTGCGCTTGCCACGCATGGTCGGCGGCGTGCACCTAGCCTGGCACGGAGAGGGGGGGTAAACCCGCTCGCGCCGGTTCAAGTGTGCACCTAGCCTGGTACCGGCGGCGTGGTGACGATCCGGCCTCGCGTGAGCCCACGTTCACCGGATTATAAGACGCAAACAATTTGCTTGAAACTACAGGGGGGCTGTGGGGGGGGGGGTCTTACAGTCCGAAATGATGACGGCAATGGATGTGATCCTTCGTGTTCCTCATCATCATCACGGTGGCTAGGAGATGTTAACTACCTCGCCAGGTGTACAGGAGGTCGTGGGTTCGATCCCGACCTTGACGCCTGCTGTATATTTGGAGTTTGCATCTCTCATCATCACGATGGCTAGGAGATGTTAACTACCTCGCCAGGTGTACAGGAGGTCGTGGGTTCGATCCCGACCCTGACGCCTGCTGTATATTTGGAGTTTGCATCTCTCATCATCATCATCACGGTGGCTAGGAGATGTTGACTACCTCGCCAGGTGTACAGGAGGTCGTGGGTTCGATCCCGACCCTGAACGCCTGCTGTATATTTGGAGTTTGTGTCTCTCTCATCATTATCACGGTGGCTATGAGATGTTAACTACCTCGCCCGGTATACAGGAGGTGGTGGGTTCGATCCTGACCCTGACGCCTGCTGCTGCTGTATATTTGGAGTTTGCGTCTCTCATCTCTCCCCGTGGTCGCGTGGATTTTTTTCCTCCACATTTAGAATCAACATCGCGCGTTTTAGAGTATATTTGGCTGCTATAAATGTCCACATGACGATAAGCCGCTTCGCTGAGGAATCATTTGTGGCCAGGTCGCTTCTGAAAAAGAGCTATGTAGCTCGGTGTGCCTTACCTGGTAAAGTAAGAAGTTTGGTTTTTAGTTGAGTTGTTGCTCGCCCGAGATGGAAGTTACTGCAAGCGGGTATCAACCAGACCTTTGTCCAGTATTAATTACACAGCAGGCGTCACGGTCGGGATCGAACCCACGACCTCCTGTATACCAGGCGAGGTAGTTAACATCTCCTAGCCACCGTGATGATGATGATGATGAGAGAGACGCAGACTCCAAATATGCAGCAGGTCTTTACGGTCTGGATCGAACCCACGACCTCCTCTATACCAGGCGAGGTAGTTAACATCGCCTCGCCACCGTGATGATACGGGAGAGAGAGACGCAGACTCCAAATTTCCAGCAGGTCTTCACGGTCTGGATCGAACCCACGACCTCCTGTATACCAGGCGAGGTAGTTAACATCTCCTCGCCACCGTGATGATGATGATGAGAGCGACACAAACTCTAAATATACAGCAGGCCTTCAGGGTCTGGATTGAACCCACGACCTCCTGTATACCAGGCGAGGTAGTTAACATCTCCTCGCCACCGTGATGATGATGATGAGAGAGACGCAAACTCTAAATATACAGCAGGCCTTTAGGGTCTGGATTGAACCCACGACCTCCTGTATACCAGGCGAGGTAGTTCTAACATCTCCTCGCCACCATGGCGTCCAGCCTCGGGGGGTTTGGCCTCCAGATGGATCGGCGATCACCAACCTTGGCCCGCGTTTTCTCCCCTGCCAGGAGGAATGTCCGCGGCTCGAAAGCCGGGACGAGCGGCAGAGGGGAGCGAGGCAAGCGAGAGGTTGAGGAGGCCGAGCCGACGGCGGTGGTGGACAATGCCCCGCTCAGCAAGAAGATCAAGCTCTCGGAGGATTCCAAGTGAGCGCACCGTGGGGCCTGGTGGGCCCCACCCTGAGGGTCTCGGGTGGAGAGATTTGATTAACGTTGCGGGGAAGGATTGATGTGGATGGATGGATTGGAATGATTCTGATTCTGAATGCGTGTGGTGTTGTGAAGGTGAACTGTGCGAGTCCATGGGTCTCTGTGTGACGAGTCTTTGAGTTTATGTGTGAGTCTATGGGTCTCTGTGTATGTACTGTATGTTGAACTTCTTTCGCACCGCCGTACGTAGCTGACCGTGCTCATCGGAGGTGCGGGGGAAGGACAAGAAACTGAACGCAGCAAAAAGCAGTTTTAAATAAATTAGTTTTCAACCCATCCCTCTATCCACCATCGAAAAGATAGATGGTGGATAGAGGGATGGGACGGATGGATTGGATGGATGGGAGGGGGGGTGGGAGGGGAGGGAGGGAGGGATTCCACGTGAATTATAGCAGAATCAGAATAAATTTCGATTTAAAAATAATAGCTTACAACGTTTCGATTGCAACACAAGCAATCGTTGTCAGGAGTACAACGTATATCAAAGGTAAATAAATTAATTAACTTTTAACTCAACTTTTTATTTTGCCAGGGCAGGCCCACTGAGCTATTTAACACACTTTTATTTAACTCACTCTGTCTGTTGTCATATCCTCAAATCTTGTCACTACATTTTTAGCCACTTCCCAATGTCGTATCGACTGCAAACTTGGTATACTTATGTCATACTGATGACAATACTGGAAGGATCTGTGGGCCATGGAAGCGAGGCGGTTGAGCTTTTCCATCAGAGCAACATATGACGTCCTTCCAACACCAGTTAATCTTCACCAATAGTATGGTGAAGATCCGGACTGTGCACTCTGTTCCATGCCAGCCAACCTCAGGCACATTCTCACAGGGTGTAAAACAAGCCTCACCCAAGGACGCTACACTTGGCGTCACAACCAAGTCCTTAAAAACCTTGCGTCCGCCCTGGAGGACAAGCGAGCTGCCACCAACTCCCTACCACCACCCCCAGCAGCATCACACCCCTTACGGACGACCTTTGTCCGCGAATGGACTAAACCACCGAAGAGCGGCTCTACACCATTAGAGCGAGACCAGCTGCGCTTGGCCCGCGACTGGAAAATGCTAGCTGACATTGGCCGGCAACTTGTGTTTCCTCCGGAGATCACAACCACCACCCTAAGACCTGACATGGTGCTCTGGTCCCGTTCTCTCAAGAAGGTCTTCATCATTGAGCTCACAGTACCCTGGGAGGACTCAGTAGATGAGGCTTATGAGCGAAAACATCTGCGCTATGCCGATCTAGCTGCCGAAGTACGGCATCATGGCTGGAACACAGAAGTCCGACCAGTGGAGGTAGGCTGCAGAGGTTTTGTGGCAACATCTACAACCAGACTGCTTAGAGACCTGGGAATTAAGGGCCAGAGCCAGCGTTCGGCAATCAGAGCTGTATCGGAGGCGGCAGAAGGCAGCAGTCAGTGGCTCTGGATGAAGAGGAATAACCCCAGCTGGGCCCCAAAGTGAGAGGGCCAGGAGGTATGCAGTCAACAATGCTTGACTCTGGGAGGAGGATGCCCTTGCCATGCATAGTCCCATGGGATGTTGGCTATCAACAACAAGGCAACTCCTATGACTAATTGGGAATGGGACGCAAGCGTAGGATTGATCACCCTGTCGCTGGCCGCCTTTGGGGAGGGTGTATAGTATAAAAGGCCGAAACACCCTAGGAACCAAAGGTTCACTACTGACGATGTGCTCCCCAAATTTCACCAGGCTCACTGTTCATGAACTCTTGGAAGTGCTTGCACAAAGGATAGTAACATCTCATCCTGTGTTCTTGGAATCTATCATTAAAAATACAAATTATATATTTATAAACAATCTTTTTTATGGGTCTAATTGTCCACGCTCAACTAACGTTGGCTGTAAATCACCACGGTCCCTTACGTTATGGCAAGCTTCGAGGCCACTTCCTGGAGTCGTGGAGTTCTGCCATTACTAGTACGGTACATTTCATTAAAGCGTGTTTAAAAAAAGTATTTTTAAATATTCATTATTTTTATTCGGGAGTAACTTGGCCACTAATGATAGCTCAACGAAGTGCCTTGTCATCACGTGGAAATAGTCAAATAATCTAGATGGATGGGTGGGTGGATTGTGCTTGAGATGGCGAGCCGTTTGGGGAGAGAAGATATATTCTGTCGCATGTTGCAGAGGTTTGAATCCACTGGCCACTTGTATTATTACCGCGGCTGGCGTCGTGTTAACCGTAATATTGCTACGTGCCAACTTGTTTCACTCAATGTACGTGTCGTGGACTTGTTTAGCACCGTACGTAGCATGGCTGGCGACTCAAAGTGGACGTTAAAGATCCCTTGACGTCACGTGCAAGAGTAACGCCAACGTGTGCCATGCCTTGACGTCTCCTTGTCTTGCTAACTTTATCTGTCTCCACGTCTCCCGTCTTTCTGTATTTTCACACACCCCCCTTGGTGTTCCGAGTCACTGCGTCCGTGTGTCTGTGTCTCCTCGCCTCTCTTAAATTATCTTGGCTTCTCTGCATTGCTCGGCTTGTTTTTGCTATTGTCATCTTGGCCACCCGGGTCGGTCGCTCTCGCCAATCGAGGCTCTTTCCCCCGGTCCCTCGAGGCACACGCGTGACCTTTGAACCCCCTGTGCCGCAGCATGTCGGACCTCATGCCGAAGGTGAAGACGGTGCAAGTGGAGACGCTGGAGGGCTGCTTGCACGAGGTGCGTAGATCGTGCGGGCCGATGCCTGGGTGCTTGGGCCGGCATTGTGGTTGCGCAGGCCAATCGTTTCGCTTCGTACGTTCGTCTCTGCAGTTGCTTGCGATTGCCTTCGAAATGGATTCGATTTCGAACGCAATCGCAACTGCAGTTCCGATGACGTGGACGACTCGGAACGGAATCGGAAGAAAAACTGATGACGTAAACGTACGTCGGCGGAGCCGGGAAAGGGTGAATTGGTCACGCTCGATGACCTCGTGATGTTCCACTGGCTGGTTTCATTGGTGACACTTAAAGCCTGTTTGCCGACATGATGTTCAAGTCTGTTGTAATTTTGTCCCGTAGAAGCAGTTTGTTTCTGGCATGATGCGTTACTATTTTTGCTAACTCTGCGATAAATACATTTTGATCATCCAGGTTCTCCTTAATCTGAAACAAACTCCCTCTCACACGGTCGTAATGAAACGCTCATTCACGGAATTGACCAAACGTCCCAGTAATTGACCACGGAGTTTGGGCCAATTGTTTTGGCACCGGTTCTGGCTGCCTTTCCCACGTGTCTGGAGTGTGTCCCGCGCTTCTGAATCCCCATCCCTGCGAGAGTGAACGGTGACCGTGATCAACCGATTCGTTTATGAAAATAAACGAGTGGCGAATCGCAGCGATCACAAACACAAGTGTCTCGGTGCTCAAGCCACCACGTGATGGTCCCTCGTCACCACTGGCAGTCCGGAGCCAGTGGCGGAAATTCCACGTTCCCATGGCGGAGGTTCATCTGTCCACAGGGATGGCTTCACGCGGTAGTCGTAGTAGTCAATGCATTCCAAACAAAAACAGACTCATTCTAGATTTGAAGTTTCCGTGACTGCAAGAATCCATATTCTTTGGTTCTTTCGGTAAAGTCACATAGGTGAAAAAAGAGAAGAAAAAGAAATAAATTCAATCACGACGTTTCGATTGCAACACAAGCAATCATCATCAGGTGTGACAACCACAGCAAGAAAAAAATAGCTGTGGAAACGTCGTGGTTTAATTTATTAATTTTATTTTTTCACCTACGTGACTTTACCGAAAGAACCAAAAAGAGACTCGCAGAGCGAGACCGAGTAGCTCGTAGAGTAGTACACACACAATGTTGTCCCCACGCCCAACCGCGTGGCCGCGCAGCATCGCGAAGTTTGGCTCGAAGTAGATTAGCTCCGTTCGCGCACAATTGCACAAACCGCAAAGCGAGGGGAGCCTCGTGAACGCCGGATTCCGTCGGCGGATTTGACGGAGGGCGTGCGACGAACTTGAAACGCAACTCTTTCCGCTGCCCGACGCAGGTCGCCCTTCCGGCCAGCGAGGAGTACACGCCCCTGAAGCCCCGCGTGGGTCCTCCTGCCAAGGTGAGCCCTCGCCCCCACCCCCACCTGCGGTAGCCTCGTGGTTAGCCGCACTAAAAAATTATATTTTCTTTTTTCCATGTAAGACCCACTGAGCTATGTAGTTTTTTTTGCGGAAGCGACCTGGCCTGCAAATGATAGCTCAACGAAAGTGGCTTCTCATCGTCACGTGGAAATTCATAGCAGGAGCCAAATAATCTAAACGTCAGGGAGAGAGAATCGCACGCAAACTCCACTTAATAACGCAGCAGGCGTCAGTGTTGGGATCGAACCCACAGCCTCCGGTATACCAGGCGAGGTCGTTAACATCTCCTAGCCACCGTGGCGCTCTACAAGCGTTGCTCCGAGCTACTTCCCCCCGGTGGCCCCGAGTGAGATTTGCCCGACCAACGTCAGCGGCGATTATTATCGGAAGCCGTACCGGACCTCTCCTCTAGGACAACTCGGCCTTTTAAAATTGGGGGGGGGGGCCCGGTGTAAATCGGCTCTGGAGAGACAAAGGTGGCCGGGCGTGGTGGGTCAGCCAACATCGACCGACACAGATACCGCACCTGCCGTGCTCGCCCCCACCAGGGCGTGACATATTACGAAGTGCTGCTGCTGCTGCTGCGGCTGCACTAATGACATAAACGCTCGATACGTTCGTACAAATCAATGTAATAGACGACGTTTCGGGCGATGGCCCTTCTTCATGACGCCTTCTTCGCGGTGGTGCCGGCCACCTGTTTGCGCGCCGTGCCGGCCCTAACCGGTGCTCGCCGTAGAGGATGGACGGGGTGGGGGGGGGGATACAACAAACACCCTCGTCACTTGCGCTTGTTACCATCTCACCCCCCACTTTTGCCCCCCCCCCCCGACCTCACCCCCCTTCCCCCGCGTGCAGGAGTATCCCTTCGTGTTGGACCCGTTCCAGCGCGAGGCCATCGCGTGTCTCGACAACGGACACTCGGTGCTCGTGTCGGCGCACACGTCGGCCGGCAAGACCGTGTGTGCCGAGTACGTCTCCCCACCCCCCCCTCGGCACACGCCCCACGCAGATCGGCTCGGTCGAGCACGCCAATCCAATTGCCTCCCGGGTCCTCTGGTTTTTTCTTTTCTTTTCTTTCTCCCCCCCTCCGCGTTTTAGAATCGACCTGCGTTCGTAGAGTATTTGGCTGCTACTCTTTGGTTCTTTCGGTAAAGTCACGTATAAAGAGAAAATAATAAATTAAATACTTGCATACGACGTTTCGATTGCAACACAAGCAATCGTCATCAGGTATAAATTAAATAGAATCACAAATCTAGTATACTTAGAAATGTAATGTAGAAGGGAAATAATAAAAATAAAACATAATTATTATTTTATTATTTCCCTTCTACGTGACTTTACCGAAAGAACCAAAAAGATAAATCCCTGCAGTCACGAAAGCTTGAAATCGAAATTTAAATGTAATGTAATACAACAGAGAGTCGGATAACATAACAGTCATAACCCTACCTGGTTGATTACGTTCTTCCTGAGAATGCATTCTAGATTTGTGTTTCTATTTCATTTATACCTGATGATGATTGCTTGTGTTGCAATCGAAACGGCGTATGCTAGTATTTAATTTATTATTTTCTCTTTATACGTCACTTTACCGAAAGAACCAAAGAGTAATTCCTGCAGTCACAAAAGCTCCAAATTAAGTATTTGGCTGCTGCTTCAGTTTTCCACGTTATGACGGTTAGCCCCACTTCCTTGGGTATACAGGAGGTCGTGGGTTCGATCCCCTGACGCCTGCTGTATATTTTGAGTTTGCGGTGTCTCTCTCTCTCCACGTGGTCGCGTGGATTTCTCTCCGGGACCTCCGGTTTTCCCCTCCACATTTAGAATCAACGTCGCCATGCGTTTAGAGCATTGCTGCTATAAATTTCCACGTGATAAGCCAACTTCGTTGAGTTATCATTTTCCATAGCCAGGCCGCTTCTGAATAATGAGCTGTACAGTTCAGTGGGCCTTACCTAGTTTTGTAAATTACAAAAGTAAATTCGACACGTTGGTCAGCAAGCACCTCCTCTGTGTGTGTGGATCTCGACGCACAACGACGAGTGTGTCGGCAAACGGCGAGTCCTCGTTTAAAGCGGCAGATGCATTCCTGAAAAGATGGCAGGACAAATAACTGTGGGTACGCCCCCAGCGTTACCGTATCATTCCGCGCTTCGCCGCGCGGCTCAAGAAAGTAACAGAATCGGAATGTTTCTACTGGAGGAATCCGATGAGCTGTGAAGCTCTTTATTTTCCCCCCACACTCGAAGCCGGGGCACGGGCGATCGGAACGTTACGACGACAACAAACGATACAAAAACAACGCGAGGAGAGCATTCCGCGTCGAGCGGAAAGCGTTCCCGGGTGGCAGGAACACCGCCACGCTCTCGGCAAGGACTTGCCATAAAGTAGAAATGTCTAACAAGCGCCGTCCTCCTACACCCCCCCGCCCCGCCGCTCCCCGGCGCAGGTACGCGATTGCGCTGGCGCTGCGCGAGAAGCAGCGCGTGATCTTCACGAGCCCCATCAAGGCGCTGAGCAACCAGAAGTACCGTGAGATGTCCGAGGAGTTCCGTGACGTGGGCCTCATGACCGGTGACGTCACCATCAACCCCACGGCCTCCTGCCTCATCATGACCACCGAGGTGAGCCCGGCACCCAAATCCTTCCACCAGCTCTCTGGCCTCGTCATAAGCGGCCACGGGCGACGCTAGTGGCTGGACATAAGCTTACCCGGCTGAGCCTAGCTCTAACACTAACTCTTGCAACGAGCAGTAACGCTTGAACTACCTCTAACCCCGAGCCCGACGTTATCTCGCTCCGCTCCACCTCCCCGTGTCCCCCGCCGTCTCTCCGCAGATTCTGCGAAGCATGCTCTACAGGGGGTCGGAGGTCATGCGAGAGGTGGCCTGGGTCATCTTTGACGAAATCCACTACATGAGAGACGCAGGTACGGCCGGTGACCCGTGAGTCCGGAGGTCGCTCGCTTGTGTCTGTGTTGACCCAGAGGCCACGAGCGTGCGGCCTCATGAGCCTAGGAGCTGTGCCGCAGATAGGACTTGCCCCAGCAGCCTGTGCGTAGGCCGCATGGGGGAATCGTTGTGCTGTGTACACGGGGTGTGGCGTTGACCACCCGCCCGCTCGCGAAGGCCAACACGGTACGCAGGAGCTCGCTGACGGCCCTTGCCCCAACAGTGTGCTTGAGGTTCTGTGGGGGATCTTTGTGCGGGTGTAGAGCGCGGCGTGGTGTGGGAGGAGACGATCATCCTGCTGCCGAACAATGTGCACTACGTGTTCCTGTCCGCCACCATCCCCAACGCTCGCCAGTTCGCCGAGTGGATCTGTCATCTCCACGTCCAGGTGAGTGACACTCACCTGGCTGACCTCTCCTCTCCGCTCCCCCCTCCTCCTCCTCGCCCTCCTCTGCTGCTCCCCACGCACACACACACACGTGCTCCCACATGCACAATCACACACGCACAACAGCAGCCACCATTCATCACTAGGTCGGCGTTACATCACCGTCTCTCTGTCCTCCTCCACCACCACGTGCTTCCACCTCCACGTGTGTCTCTCCTCCCCGTGTGTGTTTCTCTCACTCTCCTCATCCTCCTGCTCCCCGTGTCTCTCTCCTCCTCCTCCCCCCGCTCCCCCATGCAGCCGTGCCACGTGGTCTACACGGACTACCGCCCCACCCCGCTGCAGCACTACATCTTCCCGGCGGGCGGGGACGGCCTCCACCTCGTCTTGGACGAGAACGTGAGCGAGCGCTGTAAACTCCGGCCACGGCCACGCGTGACGGCGGCGACGACGCCGCTGGACTGCGTGGGCGGCTCGGTGGTGATGGGGTGGCACCGGATCCGGATTTGCGGGGATTTTCGGGTCCCTGATTGGGGCGGGGAGTTCCCGGAGAAAGGTTCACGCGAGCAAGGCGGTGGGGGCGGGGGGAGGCTAACGCTTTTCCGTAGAGATGGAAATCAATGGATGTAATTGGCCTTCATCGGAATAAATGTATTTATAACTGCAGGAGGAATCCAATGAGCTGTCAAGATCTTTTATATAAGATATATCACAGATGTCCAGTCGGAGCACGGGGTAAGAACGTTACGACAACAAACGGTTACAAAACCACGATAGCAGTGCTAAGTACAAGAAAGTTAAACAAATCACCCAGACCCAGACAAACACAACTAAACCATCCCCATCCTGCCAGGCAAAGCCCACTGAGTTATTAGCATATTTTTCAGAAGCGACCTCGCCACAAATGATAGCTCACCGAGGTGGCCCATCATTTATCCAGGCCGTGTTGGTTTTTCCGGGACGGATCGTAAATATCTTGGGTCTGAACTGAAATGAATCCTTGCTCCAAGCTACACGGAATCTGATCCTGGATCCAGACTGCTTGCCAGTCCGCTCCTGGACGGGGGGCCGTCCATCCCACGCCGATGGCGAACGTTGTACGGATTGGACAAAGTGGATTGGTTAAAGCGGAGAGCAAAAGGCGCGGGAGCACGGGAGTACAGTACAACGACACGCCCCCGCAGCCTTGTTAACGGCCGTAACTCGTGATGGGTGCCCATTCGCGCACGATCCAGACTCAGCCCTGCTCCACTTCCGAGCCCCGACGATGTGTGCTGCATTGTGGGAGATTTCGACGTAGGCCTCAACGCCTGAGTTAAGATTCGGTCCGTGTCGTCCTCTGGCTCCCCCCGCCCCCCCCCCCCCGCTCCCACCCCACCCCCACCCCCCCCGCCGTAGGGATGTAGAATTTCCACCGGCGGCGGGGCTGTCGTGCGAGTGACGATTCACTCTCACCCCGACTTGTGTCTTTGTGCCTGCCGCCTCTCCCCCCCCACCCACCGTCCCCAAGGGCGAATTCCGCGAGGACAACTTCAGCTCGGCCATGCAGGTTCTGCGGGACATGGGGGACCTGGCCAAGGGCGACCAGAAGGGGCGGAAGGGGGGCACCAAGGGTGAGTCCGCTTGCGTACGGGAAGGGGGGGGGGCGGTGGCGTAGCGCTTCGCGAGCCGCGCTACGAACCCGGCGGACCGAGTTCGATTTCGCGGCCGCCTGAGTGCGGAAACGTCGTTTTTATTTTCTGAAACGTCGCGGTTTCGTCGCATTCCGTGCTTCCGCCGCAAGCAACGACGCCACCACGCGCCGTCGTCATCCCCCCCCCCCCGTCGTTCCTCCCCCGCCCCCCCCCCCCCACACCGAGAGCAGGCCCCTGCAACGTGTTCAAGATCGTCAAGATGATCATGGAGAGGAACTTCCAGCCGGTCATCATCTTCAGCTTCAGCAAGAAAGATTGCGAGGCCTACGCCATGCAGATGACCAAGCTGGACTTCAACACAGGTGCGGCCGCGTTTAAATCCACACACAGGCACAGGCAAAGATCCCCCGCGTAGCCTTAAGAGACTGTTGGGGCAAGTGCTGCTTTGAGCGAGTTGCTCCTATGAAGGCCGGAACGGCACGCGAGGGGGGTGGGTGGCAAGCCTTTGTCTCCCCAGTGCCGATGTTTTTGACACACCGCACCGGGTATTCAATTGAGGCCGAGTCGACCTAGGGGAGGCCCAGAACCGGTTCAAATGATCGTCACTGGGTGTTGGCCGTGAGCGAGAATTGAACTCGTGTCGCCGGGTTTGAAACGCAGCTTGCTAACCGCTACGCTACCGCTCTCCCCGCACACGCACACACGGCGTTATTGACTGAACGAGAACACGTTCCTTCGGAGTGGGCAGGTAGGAACTTGGTTGGACGGCGCATTCGTGCGATCCGTGTCACGCGGCACAAGCTGCGTGGGGCGGCGCGTCACGTGGTGCTGAGCCCGCCCGAAGCGTTCTATGAAATACAAATCGAGGGCGTGGCTATGCACGACAGACAGACAAATAATCCCTGGTGGGCAGTGTGGAACTGTTCCTACCTGTATTAATGGTCGGCTGTGCTTGTGCCGCCACTGCCAACGCAGCAGCAGCAGTAGTAGCAGCAGCAGCACCGCCAGGTGCTTTGTAACAAGGATCTCGGGGCTTCGTGCCTTTTTGTTCCGTGCCACGGGGACGTGGGGTAGAATCGAGGTGGAGAGAAAGGGGACGGCAGAGAGGGAAGAGAGAAGCGACGGAGTGGGGGAAGTGAGATGGAAAAGTGCGGAGAAGGAACGGAGAGACCGGGAGCGCAGCTGTCAAGGAGAGTTGAGACTGCGGACGTAGAGACCCGCACGAGGGCCTCGCCGCCGCCGCTGCTGCTGCACGGGGCGGCGTCTGTCCTCACAGTGGGCGGGGGAAGGAGAGGGGGTGGCCACACACAGACAGACAGAATGTCACGTGGTTCACGGGGGCAGCCCGAGCCGATTGGGATCCGTAGACGGACGTGGCTGCGGGTCGTCTCGCCGTGTTTCTCGCCGTTGCTTGTGAAACCGCCGCTCAGCCGTTGCTCACCGCCAACATCCTCCCCCCACCGTGTCGGGTGCAGACGATGAGAAGAAGCTGGTGGATGAGGTGTTCACCAACGCCATCGACTGCTTGTCCGACGAGGACAAGAAACTGCCGCAGGTGAGAGACAGAGAGGGAGCGAGGGAGTTCCGTGGGTTTCACTTCCTCAAACTTTTTTATTGGCACGCTTGCTGCGAGTACAGGCCACGAGCAGCACTCTGATTACCACTGTTGGCTACGTACGGTGCGAAAGAAGTTCTACATCCGTACAAACATCCGTGCGCCCCGTCGCAGGTGGAGCACGTGCTGCCCCTGCTCAGGAGAGGCATCGGCATCCACCACGGGGGCCTGCTGCCCATCCTCAAGGAGACCATCGAGATCCTCTTCTCGGAGGGCCTCATCAAGGTGAGACGAGGCCGCGGCGAGCTCACGGTGAATTTGTTGAACCTGAGTGAGAGCTCCAAGGGACCGGGATGTAGGAGTCTGCATGTACGTGTGTACGTGCATGTTTGAGCTCGTTTCACACCGTACGTAGCCAACCGTGCTGATCGGAGGTGCGAGGCTCATTCGCAAGTGTTGGGTGGGTGAATGGGTGAGTGAGTGGTGTGGGTGGGTGGGTGAGTGCATGAATGGGTGAATGGGTGAGTGAGTGAGTGGGTGGTTGGGTGAGTGGATGAGTGGGTGGGTGGGTGAGTGCGTGGGTGGGTGAGTGAGTGGGTGAGTGAGTGAGTGGGTGGTTGGGTGAGTGGATGAGTGGGTGGGTGGGTGAGTGCGTGGGTGGGTGAGTGAGTGCGTGAATGGGTGGGTGGGTGGGTAAGTGAGTGGGTGAGTGAGTGGGTGGATGAGTGGGTGGGTGGGTGGGTGAGTGGGTGGGTGGGTGAGTGAGTGGGTGAGTGAGTGAGTGGGTGGTTGGGTGAGTGGGTGGGTGGGTGAGTGGGTGGGTGGGTGGGTGGGTGGGTGGGTGGGTGGGTGGGTGAGTGAGTGGGTGAGTGAGTGAGTGGGTGAGTGAGTGAGTGAGTGGGTGGGTGAGTGAGTGAGTGGATGAATGGGTGAGTGGGTGGGTGAGTGGATGAGTGGATGAATGGGTGGGTGGGTGGATAGGTGGGTGGGTGAGTGAGTGGATGAGTGGAGGAATGGGTGGGTGGGTGAGTGCATGAATGGGTGGGTGGATAAGTGGATGAATGGGTGGGCAAGATGGTGGGTGAGTGGGTGAATGATTGAGTTAGAAGTTGTGATTGAGCGAGTGAGTTCAAGTTTATTTTATTTAACCTGCAGGTGGGAACTCTAGAGCCCAGGATGTTGGAGTCTCATTCGCAGGAGTTGACCTCTGGCTCACTGAAAATCAAAAGAAAGCGATGCAATGAAGCAAACCGCAATTGGAACAAAAATTAATAACAAAAAACGCGGTCACAATAACAAACAAATCCCCTGGCCACCCACCCCCTCGTGTGAGCCGTGGCGGTCTTCATAGGTGCCCCAACAGACTGTTAAAGCTTTCTCTTTCCGTGCGTGTGTGTGCGTGCGTGTATGTGTGTGCGTGCGTGCATGCGTGTGTGTGTGCGTGTGTGCGTGCGTGCATGCGTGTGTGTGTGTGTGTGCGTGCGTGCGCGTGTGTGTGTGCGTGCGTGCGGCGCGTGTGTGTGTGCGTGTGTGTGTGTGTGTGCGTACGTGCATGCGTGTGTGTGCGTGTGTGTGTGTGTGTGCGTGCGTGCGTGTGCGTGTGTGCGTGCAGGCGCTGTTTGCCACGGAGACGTTCGCCATGGGCATCAACATGCCGGCGCGCACCGTGCTCTTCACCAACGCGCGCAAGTTCGACGGCAAGGACTTCCGCTGGGTAGGTCGGGCTGTGGCGGTGGGTGCCACATTGGCGAGATGTGAACGACCTCGCCTGGTCGCGTGGATTTTTCTCCGGGCCCCCTCCGCTTTCCCCCCCCCACATTTAGAATCGACATCGCCACGCGTTTTAGAGCAATGTACATTTACACGCGATAAGCCACTTAGTTGATTTCTCATTTGTGTTGGGTGGGTCGCTTCTGAAAAAAAAGAGCCTCTATACAGCTCAGTGGGCCTCAACCTGGTAAAATAAAAAATAGTTTTAAGTTTGTGGTCGTTGTGCTGTCTAGCGGGGAGAGTAGGACGGCCTCCACCACCACCGCAATCGCCGCAGCTCCCTACACCGCACCTCTGCGCTCTGGAATTCGTCTCAATTTTAAAACGGCGGTGGCGTGGGGGGGGGGGGCGGTGGCGGCGAGGGAGACGACCTCGCGAGAGAGGTCGGAGCGTGCGGCCGTGGAAGGGGAACTGCGAGGCCGCCGCGGGTGAAGGATATTTTCCGCGCGGACTGTTTGCGTTTGATTAACACCTTTCGGAGGGAGGGAGAGAGAGTGGTGGGTGGGGGGGGGTTTAGAGCGTTAGTTCCTCACTTGTTTAACAAGATAATATTTTCACGTTGTGCCGGGGGGGGTTACGGCCGCCGAGATCTCGGTCACGCGACCCACAATGATGATGAATCGGTGCTTCTCGTGTTGGCGGTCCGCGGATTGTTCGCGAGCGAAACCCCCGCGCGGCAACGGCGGCGTCGCGAGTTGACAATTGTCGGGAGAGAGAAAGGCCCTCGCTGCCCGATGCTAACCGTGTCCAGCTGAATGGCCGTTTAGTCGTCTTGCCTTATCGACGGTTAGTTTAAAACAAAAAATGAAGGCGTGCGTGGGGCAATTGCCCCCTACCCTCCCCCCACCTATCCCCTTCCCGAGTCGAAACGATCAATTTCCTCCCCAACCACTCCCCCCCCCCCCCCGCCTCTAATGAGTAAACGAGCGGTTTCCTCGTCGCGTGGGGGCTTTAACTCGATTTGAGGAGCGAGGCAGCGCCCATCGGCGGGTGGCAGGCGGCTCGCGTTCTCGCTCGCCCGCCCGCTCTTGTCGACGCTGCGGAAGGGGGGGTCGAAACCCTCCGCTGATGGTGAGTCAATGGGCTTCCCGGAGCGTTGGCTTCCCGGATGCATAGGCCGCCGATGTTCCCGTCGCGCTATGATGGTGCATCTCGTGCTTCCTGATTTGAGGCGGGGGAAGCGTTTTATGCATCGGCTCTGCCCCGTCAGCCCCCTCGCGTGTTGATCCGTGGGGGGAGGTGGGCCGTGACTCTACGTGCGTACGTATGGTGAACTTCTTTCGCACCGTACGTAGCCAACCGTGCTGATCGGGGAGGTGCGCACGATAGGACGGCTCTCGTAGAGATGCCATCGGTACGACGAAGAGGGAAATTTGAGCGTCAAGTTGCCGTCGCGTTGAACTCGTACACTCACCACTAGTACACTCACCACTAGTACACTCACCACTACAGATCAGTCAACCCCTTATCAGTACCCTACCTTATTACTGACCAATGCAGACCTCATTGGTCACCCCGTGCCCTTATAAATCCCAACGTTCATCCTCTAAACTCTCATCACAAGGGAGAAACACACAAACACAGACACATTTTGTATGCCCGATTGAAACGGCTGTACGCCGTATGGACCTGAAAACTCAATTTCTTTCCTTATAAGAATACGTGGAAACCCATATGGGTTGACAGGTACGCTACTATACACTACACTGCTCTACACTACACTATACACTACACTACTATACATCACTACAAACCTGTCAACTCCTTACCAGAGCCCTACCTTATGACAGACCAATTCAGACCTTATTGGTCACCCCGTGCCCCTTATCCGACAAAGTTCCATCACCGGGGAGAAACGCAAACAAATTGACGCAATTGGTGATGTTTGCCGCCTGTATTAAAACGGCTGGACCCGGACAACTCAATTTCCCTGTTCAAGAAATGTCGGTGTGGCCGTGCGGGCTGGCACGGCGTGTCAGCAGGCTACGCCGCGCTCTCTGCTACCCACCGAGCCACCCTGCCCGTTTTTTAAATCCTTTATATTAAGTTCACTTGCTTGCTTGCTTACGACCGTGCAAATCTTTCGGTCGTTTTTTAACCCACTTCCCGTGATCCAATCGAGCTGACATTTTTTACACAGACTCGTTGTGCGTGACAATTAATAAAATTGGTTCCAAAATTCTACACGTTTTAGGACAAAAATATTATATTTAATTACCAATTGCTTAATGCTGCCATGCAATCATCTGACCCATAGGTGGCAGCCATCTCAAGCCAGAGGACGAGAGGACTCTAGCCGCCACGCATATAAAGGATTTATAGTGAAAAACTTTCTTTTACGGGTTATCTTATTACCTCCTCCCCCAACATTCGGTAAACGTGTGCTTTGAGATGATGTCGATAATTTTGCTCCTGTTAATGTGAAAACGATGGGGGCCCGATTTGTTTAGCGGCCATCATCGTTTGTGGTGGTGGGCAGGTTTCTTCGGGAAAACAAGTTAACAACCTCGGTGACGGGGCTTTGCCTGGTAGGGCAGCGATGGTTTAGTTGGTGTATTTGTATGTGTCTGGGTGATTGGTTTACCTTTCTGGTACTTTGCACTGCTCCTGTGGTTTGTGTCTTGTTTGTTGTTTGGAACGTTCTGACCCCGTGCCCCTAAAGCTTTTGTGATTGCAGGAATTCATGTTCTTTTGGTCTTTTGGTAAAGTCATGCCGATAGGTCGAAAGAAAATAACAAAACGTTCGTCATCATTTGACGACGAACATTTGACGACGAACGCGCGCGTTGTGATCGGAACGCCGCAGTTACGGGACTTGACCGAAAGACCCAAAGAATATTCCTCCCGCAGTTACAAAAACATTTATTCTGACTCCGATAGCCCCCACAGCTTCCGGTCGTCGTCATCCGGAACGTGCCGTGATTTTTCCCGAACGTGCGTTTGTGCGCGCGTGCCTCGCTAACCCCCCCCCCACCTCCCCCCCCCCACCCCTCCCCCCACCTTCCCCCCCCACCCCTCCCCCCACCATCTTCTCGCGGCAGATATCTTCGGGCGAGTATATCCAGATGTCGGGGCGAGCGGGACGCCGCGGGATGGACGATCGCGGCATCGTCATCCTCATGGTGGACGAGAAACTCAACCCGGCCATCGGCAAGGCCTTGCTCAAGGTGGGACAAAGTGGTGGCGGTGGCGGGGGTTGTGATGATGATGGTGGTGGTGGCGGGGGTGGTGGTAGTGATGGTGATGGCGGTGGTAGTGACGATGGTGGTGGTGGCTGCGGTGATGGCGGGGCTTGTGGTAGTGATGGTGGTGATGGCAGGGGTGGTGGTGGTGGTGGTGGTGGTGGCGGTGATGGTGGTTGCGGGGGTGGTGGTAGTGATGGTGGTGATGGCGGGGGTGGTGGTAGTGATGGTGGTGGTGATGGGGGTGGTGGTAGTAATGGTGGTGATGGTCATGGTGGTGATGGTGGTGGGTGGTGGTGGTGATGGTCATGGTGGTGATGGTGGGGGGTGGTGGTGGTGGTGGTGGTAATGACGGTGGCCGTGATGGTGGCGATGCACGGCAGTCTGTGACTTGCCATTTTTAGGGGGCGCGCGATTGGCAGATCGCACGAAGATTCATAAGATCTCTGGATCCCCCCCTCCCCCCCGTGAGACCCAAAGAATCCATTTGCCTCTCTGGTCGAGTGCTGCGCCACCCTTGGTGTTTGCGAACAGTCCCCAGAAGCGGACATCACAGAGCTACCCGTGACATCCCAGCAGAGCGGGGGGGGCAGCACTCCCCCACCCGCTCTGCCATGCGGCTGGAGTTGAGCCGAATGAAGCTTCTCGCTGGTGTCAGCGCCGCTCTCTGACCACCTCCATTCCACGCCGGGTCATCGTCGGTGTAGGCCGTGTGGGTCCAAATTCACCGAAATGAAATACATTGAAAAAAAAAATACCTGCAAATTTGTTCCGGTGGTGGATCTCTGAGCAGGCATCGCCTCCCGATTGCAAAACTACCGCCGCTTGCCGCGTCTGTGAACTCCGCCGCTTGTGCAGCAGCGACAGGCACCCTCCTTAAAAGGAACCCTGACCGACTCAGCGTGGTTCTCCTGGAGAAGTAAAATCTTTAAAATCACGGTTTGTCTCTTGACGGACCGGCTTTTCTTGCCGCCCCCCACCCCCCCCGATCATCTGTGCCCCCGCTCCCCCAGGGGCTGCCGGACCCCCTGAACAGCGCCTTCCACCTGACGTACAACATGGTGCTGAACCTGCTGCGCGTCGAGGAGATCAACCCCGAGTACATGCTGGAGAAGTCGTTCTGCCAGTTCCAGCAGTACAAGGCCCTGCCCGACATGATTACCAGTGAGTTCGCTCGCTCACCCTCCACCCCCCCCTCTTCCTCCATCCCCCTCCTCTTCCACCCCATCCTCCTCCCGCTCCACCCCCCCTCCTCCTCCACCCCCCCCTCCCCCCTCCTCCTCTACCCCCCCCTCCTCCTCCAACCCCGCTCCTCTTCCACCCCACCCTCCACCCGCTCTACCCCCCCTCTTCCTCCACGCCCCCCTCCTCTTCAACCCCACCCTCCTCCTCTACCCCCCCTCCTCCTCCAACCCCCCTTCCTCCTCCAATCCTCCTACTCCACCCCCACCTCCTCCCCCCCCTCCTCTTCCACCCCATCCTCCTCCTCCACCCCTCCTCCTCCCGCTCTACCCCCCTATTCCTCCACCCCCCCCCTCCTCCCCCCCCCCCTTCCTCCCCCCCCTCCTCCTCCTCTACCCCCCCTCCTCCCCTGCTCCTCCCCTCATCCTCTACGCCCCCTCCTCCGCCTCTACCCCCCCCTCCTCCCCCCTGCGCGTGCAGCATCGGCCAGGGAGATGAGATGGCCGATGCTTTGTGATCTCTGGGCATCCAGAGAAGGCCACACGGCTGTAGCCACCACCGCTACCCCCACAACCGCTAACCCCACAACCGCTGACCAAAACTCTTTCCTATTTTACCGGGTAAGAGCCCCTTGAGCTCCGTGGCACCTTTGTTTGTTTGTTTGGAAGTGACCAGCGACCTGCCCGTCGCAGATGATAGCTCAACGAAGTGGGCTCATCGTCGTCATCGTCGTCCGGGCTGTGGGCGGGAGGCGGTGGTGGGGGGGGTCTCTGCGAGGTGCGGCAAGCGACCGCAGCGACTCGGTGTCTCCGCCCAGCAGGGGGCACCGCTCGCCAACATCGCCAACGTCGCTCGGTGCCGCCCCCCCCCTCGCTACGGGGAGGGGGGGGGCGCGAGTCGTTTCCGTTTCTCGGTTTCGGCAGAAAAAGTTCCGGTTGCAGCGGCAACAACAACAACATCCCCCTCCCACCCACCAACCACCCACCACCCACCCCCTCCACCACGCTCCCCCCAAACTCTCGCTTCTCCAAGGGCAAGTTGACTTCGCCCACGCGGACTGAAGCAGCCGCCGTCATGATCATCATCATCATCGCCGTTCACTTGGCCTGGAGTTCTGTGTGTGTGTGCGAGTGTGTCTTTGGAGTGTATGTCTAGTTGAGCGTCTGAGCGTGTGAGTGTGTAGTGTGTGTGTATTCGCTGCACTACTGCACTGCGAAACCGGCGACCTGAGTTTGATTCCCACTCACGGCCAACACCGGTGACGATTATCTGAACTGGCCTTGGGCCTCCCCTAGGTTGACTCGGCCTCAAATGAGTACCCGGTGCAGCGTGTAAACATCGCCACTGGGGAGACAAAGGCGGTCGGGCGTGGTGCTGGCCACCCACCCCTTCGTGTACCGTGCCGGCCTTTGTAGGTGCTCGCTAACAGCACTTGCCCCTACAGCCTGTTACAGGCTACACGGGGGATCTTTGCCTTTGTGTAGGAGGGTGCAGGAACATTGCACACTCGTGAGAGCCTAGGTGACAAGATTTACGCGTTTATTAATGAATAATTAGAAGTACTTGAGTCTGTGTGTCTAGTGTGTGCATATGGTGTGGGTTTGAGGGTTTGTGTGTGTTTATATTTTGACTTAAAGCTTTCGTGACTGCAGGAATTCACATTCTTTGGGTCTTCGGTAAAGTTACGTGGATAGGTTCAAATAAAATAAACGATGACGTTTCGATCGCAACACAAGCAGTCGTCTTCAGGAAAAAGGGGACGTCGTAGTTTTTTGTTATTTTCTTTGAACCTATCGACGTAAATTTAGGAAAGCTTTAAGTCATTGTCTGTGTGAGTTGATGTGTATCTTTGTGTGTGTGTGCGCATAGAAAGTGTGTGTGCAGTGATGAACAAAGACAAAGATCCCCCATGTAGCCTGTAACAGGCTGTAGGGGCAAGTGCTGTTAGCGAGCACCTACTAAGGCCAGCACGGCACACGAGGGGGTGGGTGGCCAGCACCACGCCCGGCCTCCTTTGTCTCCCCAGTGGCGATGTTTACACACCGTGCCGGGTCCTCATTTGTCGACCTAGGGGAGGCCCAAGACCGGTTTAGATAATCATCACCTTGCGTTGGCCGTGAGCGGGAATCGAACCCGGGCTGCCGGGTTCGTAGCGCGGCGTAGCGCGGCGTAGCGCTACCCGCCACGCACCCAGCAACTTTACAGCTCGCACGTGAACACGCCGTGACCGCCCCCACCCCCCAGCAAGACGCTCAAAACATTCGGGGAGATGCTTGTCAAACGCACTTGTTTAGGCCCCTGTTTATTTTCCTTCCTGCTGCTGTTTAAAGTCGCCTCGTGTTTATTAACCGCCGGGGAAATGCTGACTGCGGGGTTTTTATACCCCCCCCCCCACCACCCTCGCAACAAGATTTCCACCAAAGGGTCTGGTGGCCCACGGCAACGCCTGGCCCCTCCCCCCTCTCACCTGGCCCCACCCCCCCTCACCTGGCCCCACCCCCCCCTCACCTGGCCCCTCCTCCCTCTCACCTGGCCCCTCTCACGTGGCCCCTCCCCCCCCTCACCTGGCCCCTCCCCCCTCTCACCTGGCCCCTCCCCCCCTCACCTGGCCCCTCCCCCCTCTCACCTCGCTCCACTCATTCCTAGCCACAGCGGCCTCTCGTGCACCGCGCCGTCGAAGCACTTGCCCCCAGCAGCGGTGCGTGAGCGGCTACCTGGGGGATCTTTGTCCGCGTGGCTCTGCGTGGGTCTTGGGGCCGCCGTGCGAACGCGGGGGTCGTGGTGGTGTGACCCCTCCGCGTGCGGGCGGGCGAGCGGGCGGGCGAGCGGGCGGGCGAGCGGGCGGGGGTCGTGGTGGGGGTCGTGGTGGGGGTCGTGGTGGGGGTCGTGGCGGGGGTCGTGGTGGATCCCAGAGCGTGCGGGCGAGCGCGTTCTGTTTATCCTCAAAACCAACTTGGCACTGGCGCAAAGAGAGCCGCTCCTTTCAATCATGATGGGGGGGGGGGACGGCAGGGGTTGTCACGACTTTTTTTCCCCCTCGCTCTTCCCCCCCCCCCCCCCCGCCGCTCTTCGTTACCACCGAACGTGCTGCGTGCTGGAGGAGCAGCCGTGACTCGTTGGGTCTCGTGCGGTAACAACAACAACCCCGGCCGCCCCCCCCGCGGGGTCACGAGGTTGAAGGGCACGTGGGGTGACACGGGGGGGGGGGGGGGGGGGCGCGGTGTCGTTGGAAGTGACAATTGGAGACAGACGCGCGGCGATCTTCCATTGTTGTCGAACACAAAGCGGCACATTGACAGCAGCGGGCGGTGAGACTGGGGGGGGGGTGGGGGGTCGGCTGGGGTCACGTGGAGCTGCCCCTGCCCCCTAAGTGACCACCGCTGGGTGGTTGACGATGGCGATGGTTGCCCGTTGCGTTGCCCGCGCCAATCGCCGTGCCCGCCGTGGCCGGACGCGTCACCCGAGCGGCGGTTCAAGCTCAAGTTCATGTATTAGGTGTAGAGCCCTGTGAGCCATTCGGCTCTTGAATCGGGTGCAACCGCAACAAACAAAAAACATGAACAAAAAACATCTTGAAGTGAATATGTAACTGAGTGCAAACAGAAAATCTAAGAAAAGACGGCAAAATATTGCAGAAAAAAACACCGTACGCCAACGCTGTGTGCAAAAATCCCAGTGGGATGCAAGTCAAACAACCAACAACAACCACAAGACAACTTAGATTAAGGCCATTAGTCTAACTCTGTACTACACCAAACAAACATGGCTAAACCAATACACTTTTCGAAATCACCAAAATAAAGCCATGAAACCAATGAAACAGTGGTCATAGGAACTGTGACGGTGGATTATCCCTCGCTGCGGGCTGTTGCCGACGCGAGCGGGATTTGGAAGGTCCCACTTGTGACGCTGACGGCACTAGGCAACTGCTGTTGACATTCCTTCCCTTTATTAATGCTACCCCTATCCCCTCCCTTTGATACTGCTATAATCCTGCATAATGCACGGGCATAATATGACTTTGAAACCCCCCCGCCCACCTCCTACGCATCTCACAAGTAGTACTAATCACATACCTGCATTTCCCATAAATATGCTAAATTCCTCTTGATATGCAAATTATTTTGTCAAGGCGCACCTTCCCACCTTCCAACCCAGCTTAAATATATGCTCCAAGCGTGGTGTTGTTTCATTCAGACGCTGTCTCCCCGACAGACCTGGTCTTCACCTGAGGGACTGCTGCTTGCGTTGTGGCCGAAACGTCGTGAGAATTATTTTATTATGTTTTATTTTTATTATGTTATTATTTCCATTCTACGTGACTTTACCGAAAGAACCAAGAAGATGCTGTTGATGCTCTCGCAGTGTTGACCAGGGCTGTCGACGGGCTCGAACCACAAGTGGCGAGCGCGCCACCGCCAGGCCGAGTAAAATCCTGTGCCACGTTTGTAATGCTGCTGCTGCTGATCATGATGATCGCCACGGTAGCGGGAAGTTGACCACCTCGCCCGGTATACAGGAGGGCGTGGGTTCGATCCTGACCCTGACGATGTCTGCTGCTGAATATTTTTAGTCTGCGTCTCTCATCATCGTCATCATCAGGGTGGCTAGGAGATGTTAACCACCTCGCCCAGTATACAGGAGGACGTGGGTTCGATCCTGACCCTGACGATGTCTGCTGCTGAATATTTTGAGTCTGCGTCTCTCATCATCGTCATCATCAGGGTGGCTAGGAGATGTTAACCACCTCGCCTGGTGTACAGGAGGTCGTGGGTTCGATCCCGACCCTGACGCTTGCTGTATATTTGGAGTTTGCGTGGTCGCGTGGATTTTCCTGCGGGTCCTCCGGTTTTTCCTGCGCATCAAGGAACGTGCTTTTAAAGCATTTTGCTGCTCTACATTTCCACATGACGAGCCCCACTTGATTGAGCTGTGATTTGTGGCCGGGTCGCTTCCGAAACAGAGCTACGTAGCTCAGTGGGCCTTCCCTGGTATATTAAAAGATAGTCGTTTGATGATGATGATGCTGCTACTGCTAACCACGATGCTGGTGACGCTGATGGTGAACCGTCGTGACGCTGAGCTTCTCGTGGAGCCCGGTTGGGGGGGGGGGGGCAGGGGGCTTCTCCCCCCAGCGGCAGCCGTCCCCGTGCGGCACAAGGCGACTCGGGAATTAGTCTGCCGGCGGGCGATGGCGCGGTTTGCCCTTGCTCCGATTTCTCTCGGTTTGCGTTCGGCGCCGTGGCGGTCACCTCCGGTCGCTCGTGCGAACGAGGCTCGTCCCGGCCTCGCCCGCCTGCGTGCGTGGAACTGTGGCCGTCCGTGACGTAGAACGCCCCCCCCCCCCCCCTGCCCCCTCCCGCCGCAGAGCTGAAGATGTTGGAGCAGATGTACAACGGCACGCAGGTGCCCGAGGAGGAGAGCGTCTGCGCCTACTTCAAGATCCGGCAGCAGCTGGCGCGCCTCGCCCGCGACGTCGAGGAGTTTGTCCGCCGCCCCAAGTACTGCATCCCCTTCCTGCAGCCGGGCCGCATGGTCAAGGTGCGCGCCGGTGGGGGAGGGCGAGAGGGCGAGCGAGTGAGAGGGCGAGCGAGTGAGAGGGCGAGTGAGATGAGCAAGTGAGATGAGCAAGTGAGATGGCGAGCGAGCGACCGAGTGAGTGAGAGGGCAAGCGAGCGACCGAGTGAGAGGGTGAGCAAGTGAGCGAGAGTGAGTGAGGGAGAGGGTGAGCGAGCGACCGTGAGTGAGTGAGAGGGTGAGCGAGCGACCGAGTGAGTGAGAGGGTGAGTGAGAGGGTGAGCAAGTGAAGGAGAGTGAGCGAGCGAGGGGGGAAGCGAGTGAGCGGGCGAGTGAGAGGGTGAGTGGGTGAGCGGGCGAGTGAGAGGCGAGAGGGAGCGGGCGAGTGAGAGGGTGAGCGAGAGGGAGCGGGCGAGTGAGAGGGTGAGTGTGTGTCCTAGTGTCTGTATGTGGAAAGTGATAGTGTAGGGGTTAGCGCACCGCGCTACGAACCCAGCAGAGTTCCCCGAGTACCCGGCGCGGCGTGTAAACATCGTCACAGGGAGAGACAAAGGCAGTCGGGCGTGGTGCTGGCCTCCCACCCGCTCGTGTGCCGTGCCGGCCTTCACAGGTGCTACTCGCTAACGGCACTTGCCCCAACAGTCCGTGAAGGCTGCACTCGTTTGACTACGATCCAGGCTGGGTTTCACCCAAGCTGGATTGTGCCGAGGAGCTCGTGAATCCTTCGAAAGATCTGGACGCACTCGCGTCACTGGGCTGTTGTTGTGTTGCGAGTCCGAGCGGGTGCGCGCACATCTGCTTGAGTGTGCGTGTGTGTGTATCTGCGTGTACCAGCGTGTGCGTGAGCACTTAGTCAATTCGATTCTCCCCCCACCCCCCCGCTACTCCTCGTCGCCCTCCGTGTTCCCCGGGAATCTGCCTTCCATTAGCGCCGTGATATTGACCACATAACTCACACGATGGCCGCTGCCCGCTGGGCGAGGGGGGGGTGGGGCTCCCAGGGGACACGAGCCAGCCTCAATAGGCGCTTGCTAACAGCACCTTGGAGATCCGTCTTTGCCGCGCCGACGCCGGATTGATGCGGTGGCTCGGAGCGGGGCGGGGGGGGCCGGCTGAGCGATGTGTTTTGCCGTTAACCGTAGCCACATTGGCCACGACCGTCCGCGCTCGCTCGTTCCCTTTGAGCTCGTCGCTTTGGCGAATTCCCCCGCTGGTTCGCGTTCGTTTTGGCACAGGGCACGGCCTCTCCGCAGAGCGGCAGGCATCCGTGCACGCGCGGCGATATTAGGGTACAAACAAAGAGAAAGATACCGCCCCCCCCCTCCACAACCTTTAACAGACGCTTGAGGCAACTGCGGGTTCGCGAGTAGCACCGATGAAGGCCGGCACGGCGCACGAGCAGTGGTGGAGCGGTTAGCGCGCCGCGAGTCCCGCTCGACGGCCACAGACACCGGCGACGATTATCTGAACTGGTCGTGGGCCTTTCCACGGGAGACTCGGCCTCAAATGAGTTACCTGATGGTGCGGTTGTGTAAGAAATGGCGCGGTGCTGACCACCCATCCACCAGCCTGCTTTGCATGCCACGGTGCCGGGCCTTCGTACGTTCTTACTCTCTTAGCAGCGCTTGCTCCATGCGTCTGTTAAAGGCCAAGCGGGGTGGGCAAGGGGGCCGGGGGGAAGCTCTTCGATGGACTTGATGACGCTCTGCCGGTTGTATGCACGCACGTATGCGCATGCATCTCTGGCGGCGGCAACGGTAGCGGTGAATGTGGTATTTGTGGGGTAATCGTGAATGTGACATTCAGGGGGATGTGCGATGCGGTGGCCACTGAGCTCCCCTTTGTTCGCTGCGCACGTGCGTGGGCTCGCGATGGGGCCACGAGCCTCCCCTTAAGCCCCCGCGGGCAAGGAAACGAGAAATGTCACCGGTGCCCCGGCATCGTTCGGATCAGAGAAATCCACCCAGAATTTGTAGCGTTTATTGCGTTTTTGGCGAAACCGGATGATTCCAGCCAGCGTTGTCGTTTTTTTTTTCTTTCTCAACAATGCGTTTGATACGGGGGGTGGGCAGAGAGAGAGATAGGGGAGCGTTTCATGAAATGGCAAAGGCTAAGAAAAAATGTAACGGCCGCTTTTATTTTGAGATGCGAGCGAAGGGCCCTGCCGTGGAATCAACCAAAGGATGAATTTATTTATTTTTCCCACCGAAGCGTCGAGGCCTCTGCCTCTCGTGCCACCCCCCCCCCCCCCAACCCCGCTCAGTCCATTGGACAACCTCCCCCCCGACGAAGCGGTGCGCCTGCTTTATCCACCGCGGAAGGGAGGGGGATGATGGGCCGAGTCGACCCCCACAACGACCCCGATTTTAACATCGCCACCTTTCCGAGCGCGGAGCCGCCCCTTGGCGTGCCGCTGTCGTCGTTGTGGTGGTGGTGGTGCCGTGGGACCTTTTTTGTTGTTGTTGTGGCCAGTATCAAAGTGTGAAAAATAAGAATCGTTTTACCCTTTATGGAGATCAAACACCAAGTATATGATAGCGAGGGTGGTGGTGATGGGTGGTGATGGGTGGTTGTGAGTGATGGTGGTGGTGGTGAGGGTGGCGAGGGTGGTGGTGGGTGGTGGGGATGGGTGGTGGTGGGGTTGGGTGGTGGTGGTGGTGGGTGGTGGTGGTGGGTGGCGAGGGTGGTGGTGGGTGGTGGGGATGGGTGGTGGTGGTGGTGGGTGGCGAGGGTGGTGGTGGGTGGTGGTGATGGGTGGTGATGGGTGGTTGTGAGTGATGGTGGTGGTGGCGTGGGTGGTGGTGGGTGGTGGTGGGTGGTGGTGGTGGTGGTGGGGTTGGGTGGTGGTGGTGGTGGGTGGTGGTGATGGGTGGCGAGGGTGGTGGTGGGTGGTGGGGATGGGTGGTGGTGGTGGGGGTGGGTGGTGGTGGTGGTGGCGGTGGGTGGTGGTGGTGGGTGGCGAGGGCGGTGGGTGGTGGTGGTGGGTGGCGAGGGTGGTGGTGGGTGGTGGGGGTGGGTGGGGGTGGGTGGTGGTGGGTGGTGGGGGTGGGTGGGGGTGGGTGGTGGTGGTGGGTGGCGGTGGGTGGTGGTGGGTGGCGATGGGTGGCGGTGGGTGGTGGTGGTGGGTGGTGGTGGTGGGTGGTGGTGGTGGTGGGTGGTGGTGGTGGGTGGTGGTGGTGGGTGGCGATGGGTGGTGGTGGGTGGCGATGGGTGGTGGTGGTGGGTGGGTGGTGGTGGTGGGTGGTTGTGGTGGTGGGTGGTGGCGATGGGTGGTGGTGGTGGTGTCGTGGTGGTGGTGGTGGTGGTGGTGGTGGTGGTGTCGTGGTGGTGGGTGGTGGTGGTGGTGGTGGCAAGGGTGGTGGTGGTGGTCATTGTCTGCCGCTTTGCCAGCAGGTTAGGAACGAAGACGACGACTTTGGTTGGGGCGTCGTCGTCAACTTTCACAAGAAGACCAACACGAAGGTGACGACGCACGCACACACAGAGATCCATAGAGTTACACAGAGATCCATAGAGTTACATAGAGATCCATAGACACCCAGAGACCCACAGAGTTACACAGAGTTACACAGAGACCCACAGAGTTACACAGAGACCCACAGAGTTACACAGAGACCCACAGAGTTACACAGAGACCCACAGAGTTACACAGAGACCCACAGAGTTACACAGAGAACCACAGAGTTACACAGAGACCCACAGAGTTACACAGAGATCCACAGAGTTACACAGAGATCCACAGAGTTACACAGAGACCCACAGAGTTACACAGAGACCCACAGAGTTACACAGAGACCCACAGAGTTACACAGAGACCCACAGAGTTACACAGATACCCACAGAGTTACACAGAGACCCACAGAGTTACACAGATACCCACAGAGTTACACAGAGATCCACAGAGTTACACAGAGACCCACAGAGTTACACAGATACCCACAGAGTTACACAGATACCCACAGAGTTACACAGAGACCCACAGAGTTACACAGATACCCACAGAGTTACACAGAGACCCACAGAGTTACACAGAGACCCACAGAGTTACACAGATACCCACAGAGTTACACAGAGACCCACAGAGTTACACAGAGACCCACAGAGTTACACAGAGACCCAAGGAGTTACACAGAGACCCACAGAGTTACACAGAGACCCACAGAGTTACACAGAGACCCACAGAGTTACACAGAGACCCACAGAGTTACACAGAGACCCACAGAGTTACACAGATACCCACAGAGTTACACAGAGACCCACAGAGTTACACAGAGATCCACAGAGTTACACAGATACCCACAGAGTTACACAGAGTTACACAGAGACCCACAGAGTTACACAGAGACCCACAGAGTTACACAGAGACCCACAGAGTTACACAGAGACCCACAGAGTTACACAGAGACCCACAGAGTTACACAGAGACCCACAGAGTTACACAGAGACCCACAGAGTTACACAGAGACCCACAGAGTTACACAGAGACCCACAGAGTTACACAGAGAACCACAGAGTTACACAGAGACCCACAGAGTTACACAGAGATCCACAGAGTTACACAGAGATCCACAGAGTTACACAGAGACCCACAGAGTTACACAGAGACCCACAGAGTTACACAGAGACCCACAGAGTTACACAGAGACCCACAGAGTTACACAGATACCCACAGAGTTACACAGAGACCCACAGAGTTACACAGATACCCACAGAGTTACACAGAGATCCACAGAGTTACACAGAGACCCACAGAGTTACACAGATACCCACAGAGTTACACAGATACCCACAGAGTTACACAGAGACCCACAGAGTTACACAGATACCCACAGAGTTACACAGAGACCCACAGAGTTACACAGAGACCCACAGAGTTACACAGATACCCACAGAGTTACACAGAGACCCACAGAGTTACACAGAGACCCACAGAGTTACACAGAGACCCAAGGAGTTACACAGAGACCCACAGAGTTACACAGAGACCCACAGAGTTACACAGAGACCCACAGAGTTACACAGAGACCCACAGAGTTACACAGAGACCCACAGAGTTACACAGATACCCACAGAGTTACACAGAGACCCACAGAGTTACACAGAGATCCACAGAGTTACACAGATACCCACAGAGTTACACAGAGTTACATAGAGACCCACAGAGTTACACAGAGACCCACAGAGTTACACAGATACCCACAGAGTTACACAGAGACCCACAGAGTTACACAGATACCCACAGAGTTACACAGAGATCCACAGAGTTACACAGAGACCCACAGAGTTACACAGAGACCCACAGAGTTACACAGAGACCCACAGAGTTACACAGAGACCCACAGAGTTACACAGAGACCCACAGAGTTACACAGAGACCCACAGAGTTACACAGATACCCACAGAGTTACACAGATACCCACAGAGTTACACAGAGACCCACAGAGTTACACAGATACCCACAGAGTTACACAGAGATCCACAGAGTTACACAGAGACCCACAGAGACCCACAGAGTTACACAGACAATCTCGTGGAGTGACTTTGCGTGTTCCCCGTGCCAACGATGGTGCCACGCAGATCGTCGCCAGTGCGGAGCCGGAGGCGCTGTACGTGGTGGAGGCGCTGCTGCGCTGCTCGCGGGAGAGCGCACGGCTCCCCCACACCGAGGCCTCCAAGCCCCCGCGGCCCGGGGACAAGGGGGAGATGCAGGTGAGAGGGGCGGGAGATGCGGAGAGGGGAGAGAGGGGAGAGGCAGAGAGACTTACCCAAACTATTTTTATTTTACCAGGTAAGTGGCTCATCATCACGTGGCAATTCACAGCAGCCGGAGAAACATTCCACGTGACCACGGGGAGAGAGGAGAGCCAGACCTCCTGCGTACCAGGCGAGGTAGTCAACATCTCCTAGCCACCGTGATGATGATGATGAGAGAGAGACGCAGAATCCAAATATACAGCAGCAGGCGTCGGGGTCAGGATCTAACCCACGACCTCCTCCGCCGTGGCGAGATGCGTTTTTAAATGCGGGTGACAGGGATGTGAGAGGGAGTCTTGAGAGAGACAAGGGGGCTTATCGGTCACCGCGTGTTGCGTTCCACCAAATCGCCGGTCACACAATCCCGGTGTGACGGCGTGACGAGCCGACGATCGGTATCCACGTTTTTATTTTAGAGACGCGCCCTCGGTTCAGCCGGTTACCGCGACGAAAATCCCCGGCGCGATCCACGCCGACTGGCGAGTAGTGCGCTTCTCGGCCACGTGGCCCCCCCCACCACCCCTCCCCCCCCCGTCTGGGCAGGAACTACCGGGCTCTGGATTCCTCTCCGCAGGCTCCGTAGCGTAGAACAAACAAACAGGGCCCAGCAAAAACAAACGGCGCATGGCGAGGGCCCCGCACGGCGGCCCGCAGGCCTCGCCACCCCGCGGTGCCGTGCCAGAACGGTCGTCTGTGCGGCGCGTCCCCGTGTGTCTCGGTGTGTCTCGGTGTCTCCCAGTGTCCCCCAGTGTCTCTCAGTGTCTCCCAGTGTAAGTGTCTCACAGTTTCTCCCAGTGTCTCTCCCCCAGTGTCTCTCCCCGTGTCTCTCCCCGTGTCTCTCCCCGCGTCTCTCCCCGTGTCTCTTCCAGTGTCTCTCCCCGTGTCTCTCTCAGTGTCTCTCAGTGTCTCCCAGTGTCTCTCCCAGTGTCTCTCCCCGTGTCTCTCCCCGTGTCTCTCCCCGTGTCTCTCCCCGTGTCTCTCCCCGTAACTCTCCCAGTGTCTCTCCCAGTGTCTATCCCAGCGTCTCTCCCCGTGTCTCTCCCCGTGTCTCTCCCAGTGTCTCTCCCAGTGTCTCTCAGTGTCTCCCAGTGTCTATCCCAGTGTCTCTCCCCGTGTCTCTCCCCGTGACTCTCCCCGTGTCTCTCCCCGTGTCTCTCCCCGTGTCTCTCCCCGTGTCTCTCCCCGTGTCTCTCCCAGTGTCTCTCCCCGTGTCTCTCCCCGTGTCTCTCCCAGTGTCTCTCCCCGTGTCTCTCCCAGTGTCTCTCCCCGTGTCTCTCCCCGTGTCTCTCCCCGTGTCTCTCCCCGTGTCTCTCCCCGTGTCTCCCGGTGTCCCTCCGTATCTCTCAGTCTCTTCCGGTGTGTCCCCGCATCTCCCGTCTCCCCCACCTCTCTCCTCGCCCGTGGACCACCTCCTTCTCTTGCCCCGGCCTCCGCTGCCAGGAGGGGGTGGGGGCAGCCCCCAACGCCACCCACCCCCCCTCCTACTCACCCCCCAAGCAGCCCTTTGTTCAGTGTCATCCTTTGTTTTGTTCAAACTTTCCTTCCCTGACCCCCCACCCCCTATCTCCTCAGCCCCCCCCCCCCCCCACCATCTACTCAGCTCCCCCCCCCGCGTCCCGGTGCCTCCCGCAGCGGCGAGCTCCGCTCTCGCTTCCCATTCGCAGCGCCGGTCCGGAGCGCGCTGCTCCGTGCGGTGTCGGGTTTCTCTGCATCTGTGGTGCCGGATGAAGCGAGCGCGCGGGGCCTGTAGCATTACGTTATCAAGGGGCCCTGAATAAAAAAAAACGCATAAATGTGAAAACACATGATCCCTCGTATAAAGGTGTCAGTTTTGGTGCCAGCTAAAAGGGTAAAAACCTATTACTATATTTTACCACTGGTAAAGGAGGTGTAAATGCTTACCCCAAGCTCTCAATACTCTTGATAGTGCACCGTTTTTGAGTTGTACGCCTTTTGGCGTCATCTGGTCCAACACCAGTGGAGACTCGGCTCTAAGAAAAGAAAGCGTGGTGGGAGATCCCCGCGCGCTTTGAATTGCGTCGCGAGCCGTCACCTCGACAGAACGTGGGATTGGGGAACCCACGGCAGGTTCACGACGTCGAGGGGGGGGGGAGGGTGAAAGGCCGCTCACTAAAAAGCGAGTGGCGGCTGCGGCACGCGGCACGCGGCATGGCCAGACAGAACGGTGACGGCCGACGATCGACGCTAATAACGGAGCGAACAGACGCAGAGCGGAATGCGTCCAGAGAGAATACATCCGTCGCGAAGGTGGAGCGATGATTATTTGACTACTGTTTGCTATTTTTACTTTACCGGGTAACTGCCCACTGAGCCATAGAGCTCTTTTTGGTGACCTGGTTGTCACAAATGATAGCTCAACGGAAGTGGATTATCATCAAGTGGAAATGTATAGCAGTAGTCAAATGCTGTTAACGCACAGGTTGATTCTAAATGTGGAAGGAAAAACCGGAGGACCCGAAGAAAAATCCACGTGCCCACAGGGAGAGAGAGAGAGATGCAAACTCCAAATATACAGCAGCAGGCGTCGTCACGGTCGGCATCGAACCCACTGACCTCTTGTAAACCAGGCGAGGTAGTTAACATCTCCTGGCCACCGTGGCGCCCGATGAAATTCATTTCGCGTGCAGGCGGTGCCGTGCGGAGCGTCACATCGCCGGATCGCGGGAGGTCGCTGCGGCAGCTGCTTGGCGAGGGTCTTCATCCAGCAGTGGATCGACCGTGGCCGACGATGACGGCGGCTGATGATTCCGTTGTTTTTGTCGCCGGCGATGGCAGGTGGTGCCGATCACGCTGGGCCTCATCACGGCACTGAGCAGCGTGCGTCTCTACCTCCCCAAGGACCTGCGCTCCCACGACAACCGGCAGAGCGTCATCAAGTCCATCGAGGTACGAAGGCAACAGGTCCCCCCCGTGTGGCCTGCCACACACCGCGGGGGCAAGTCCTGCACGGGGAGACACGGAGAGACACGGAGAGACACGGGGAGACTCGGGGGAGACACGGGGAGACACGGGGAGACACGGGGGAGACTCGGGGGAGACTCGGGGGAGACACGGGGAGACACGGGGAGACTCGGGGAGACTCGGGGCAGACACGGGGAGACTCAGGGGAGACACGGGAGAGACACGGGGGAGACTCGGGGGAGACACGGGGAGACTCGGGGGAGACACGGGGGAGACATGGGGGAGACACGGGGGAGACACTGGGAGACACGGGGAGACACGGAGAGACACGGAGAGACACGGGGGAGACACGGGGGAGACACTGGGAGACACGGAGAGACACGGAGAGACACGGGGGAGACACTGGGAGACACGGGGAGACTCGGGGAGACACGGGGAGACTCGGGGAGACACGGGGAGACTCGGGGAGACGCGGGGAGACAAGGGGAGAGTAGCTGCCCCCGAGTGGCTGATGTTTTGTTCACACCGCACCTGGGTTCGCGTTTGAGGCCTAGTTGGCCCAGTGTAGCGGTCGGCGCTGCCCTGCGCCGTGACCCCAGCGTCCCGAGTTGGATTCCCGCTCACGGCCAACACCAGCGACGGATTACCCTGAACGTGTACCTGGCCCTCCGCTAGGTCAACTCGGCACGTACAAAGGCAAAGATCCCCCGTATAGCCTTAACAGACTGTTGGGGGCAAGTGCGCCAACCGCTGCACTACCGCCACACACAACGACCGCCATTCGCCACTAAGTGGCGGTGACGTCACCACGATGCTTGTGCCAGGCCATGTGCACCTTGAGGCCACGTGAAGTGTCGAACGCTCGCTGGCAGGAGATCACTGGGCAGACCCAGCAGGTGCCACGGGTCGACCGACCGAGATAACCGAGATGACTGGCTGATGCACCACCTCTGCCCCCTATTGTACCAACTTGCTGCGCTTTAGCCACCCGGCGCTCCGCTCATTGTTGTGAGCGTCGCTCCTCCGCCCTCCGTTGTTGCTGGAGGGCGACTGCCTCCAACTGCCCAGTAGCGTCCTTCACGAGCCTCCTCCACAGAGGCCGATCTTGACACCGCTGGTACCAGTCATCGACAAGTCCACTCAGCTCCACGTCCTTCTGTACCACGTCACTCCATCTCTTCTCTAGCCCGTGCCGCGCCCGTTTAGCCCCCTCGATCCGGCCAAACAGACACACGCACGCGCACACACACGCACACGCACGCACACGCCCCCTGAGTGGCAGAGTCGTGAAACTGGGGTTCATATTCTTTAAAGTAAAAAGCAAACATTGTATTTTTCTATTCTATCTCTCCGTGACTTTACCGAAAGAACCAAGAATATGAATCCCTGCAGTCACGAAGGTTTCAAGTCAAAATTAAACCGGACTTTGTTTGGGGTGGATGGGCTGCAAGGGGTCCTGGTGTTGAGGTGGAGGTCACTCGGTGGAGATTTTTTTGTTCTGTGTCGTGGCTGTGTGCGCGGCGGTTTCTCTGTGTGTGCGCGCGTTGTGCTTGTAATGTATGTAATGTATGTGATGTATGTGATGTGTGTGTGTGATGTGTGTTTACGCATCGCTGGGCGAACCGCGGGGCGCTCTCCGCTTGGTAAACACACGGCGCCCGTCCGTCCGTCCGTGCCGACTCGCTATCGTGAGGTCAGGGGTTCAAATCCCGCTCGGCGGTGGACTCGACACGTCGCCATTCGTTGTGGTCGACGTTATTGTGGTCGTGACTTGCAGCGATCGCCTTTCCCACTCCACTTGAACTCCGTTCGTTAACTCGTTCTCTCCCCGTTTCGCGCCGGGCAAACCGAGCGGAACGTGGCCGCAGTCACCGCCACCGTGGTTGTTGTCGTTGTTGTTGTTGTTGTGGTCGTTATTGTTGTTGTCATCGTTGTTGTCGTTGTTGTGGTCGTTATTGTTGTTGTCATCGTTGTTGTTGTTCGGGCATCGAAATCGACTCCTTCCGCGCAGCGGCGGCGTGCTGCCATCACGACGCAGTCCCAGAGACCCGGCTAGAGGCCATCTCAGCTGGTCACCCCGCTCTCAACGCCAGCTGCAATCACCCCTCCACTCACTCCTCCACCCTCCACTCTCTGCTCCACTCTCTCCTCCACTCTCCCTTCACTCTCTCTCCACTCTCCCTTCTCCACTCTCTGCCACCGCAACCACCACCACAACCGCCGCCACCACCACCACCGATCAAACGACCGGCCCTGGGAGAGATGGGGGGTGGGGGGGGCGAGAGGCGAGCGAGGGGGATCTTTAGCCGAGTGTGGGGGGTAGAGGGAAGCGGGTGGGTGGGTGGGTGGGGGGAGGGGGGGGGTTGTCGACTGACGGATTGAGCGGGGCGAGATGAGAGGGGAGGGGCGGGAGAGTGCGTGGAGGGGGGGTGAGAGGGGAGGGGCGGGAGAGTGCGTGGAGGGGGGTGAGAGGGGAGGGGCGGGAGAGTGCGTGGAGGGGGGTGAGAGGGGAGGGGCTGGAGAGTGTGTGGAGGGGGGGTGAGAGGGGAGGGGCGGGAGAGTGTGTGGAGGGGGGTGAGAGGGGAGGGGCGGGAGAGTGCGTGGAGGGGGGGGAGAGGGGAGGGGCGGGAGAGTGCGTGGAGGGGGGTGAGAGGGGAGGGGCGGGAGAGGGCGTGGAGGGGGGGTGAGAGGGGAGGGGTGGGAGAGTGCGTGGAGGGGGGTGAGAGGGGAGGGGCGGGAGAGTGCGTGGAGGGGGGTGAGAGGGGAGGGGCTGGAGAGTGTGTGGAGGGGGGGTGAGAGGGGAGGGGCGGGAGAGTGTGTGGAGGGGGGTGAGAGGGGAGGGGCGGGAGAGTGCGTGGAGGGGGGTGAGAGGGGAGGGGCGGGAGAGTGCGTGGAGGGGGGTGAGAGGGGAGGGGCGGGAGAGTGCGTGGAGGGGGGTGAGAGGGGAGGGGCGGGAGAGTGCGTGGAGGGGGGTGAGAGGGGAGGGGCGGGAGAGTGCGTGGAGGGGGGTGAGAGGGGAGGGGCGGGGAGAGTGCGTGGAGGGGGGTGAGAGGGGAGGGGCGGGGAGAGTGCGTGGAGGGGGGGTGAGAGGGGAGGGGCGGGAGAGTGCGTGGAGGGGGGTGAGAGGGAGGGGCGGGAGAGTGCGTGGGGGGGGTGAGAGGGGAGGGCGGGAGAGTGTGTGGAGGTGGGTGAGAGGGGAGGGGCGAGAGAGTGCGTGGAGGGGGGTGAGAGGGGAGGGGCGGGAGAGTGCGTGGAGGGGGGTGAGAGGGGAGGGGCGGGAGAGTGCGTGGAGGGGGGGTGAGAGGGGAGGGGCGGGAGAGTGCGTGGAGGGGGGTGAGAGGGGAGGGGCGGGAGAGTGCGTGGGGGGGGTGAGAGGGGAAGGGGCGGGAGACGCTGTCAGGAGTGCGTGGAGGGGGGTGAGAGGGGAGGGCGGGCGAGTGCGTTGGGGGGGTGATGTGATAGAGGGGAGGGGCGGGAGATGTGCGTGGAGCGGGGGGTGAGCGGGGCGAGGGGCGGGCGAGTGCGCTGAGGGGGGTGAGAGGGGAGGGGCGCGGATGAGTGCGTTGGAGGGGGGTGAGAGGGAGGGGGCTGGAGAGTGCGTGGAGGGGGGTTGGAGAGGGGAGGGGCGGGAGAAGTGCGTGGAGGGGGGGTGAGACGGGGAGGGGCGGGGGCGAGTGCGTGGAGGGGGGGAGAGGGGAGTGGGGGGGGAGAGTGCGTGGGGGGGGTGAGAGGGGAGGGGCGGGGAGAGTGCGTGGAGGGGGGTGAGAGGGGAGGGCGGGGAGAGTGCGTGGACTGGAGGGGTGTAGAGGGTGAGGGGCGGGGAAGATGTGCGTGGAGGGGGGGTGAGAGGGAGGGAGCGGCGAGGAGGGATATGTGCGTGGCGGGGGGAGTGAAGAGGGGAGGGCGGGAGGAGTGCGCTGGAGGGGGTGAGATGGGAAGGGGCGGGAGAGCCGTGCGTGGGGGGGTGAGAGGGGAGGGGCGGGAGAGTGCGTGGAGGGGGGTGAGAGGGGAGGGGCGGGAGGAGTGCGTGGAGGGGGGTGAGAGGGGAGGGGCGGGAGAGTGCGTGGAGGGGGGTGAGAGGGGGGAGGGCGGGAGAGTGCGTGGGGGTGGGTGAGAGGGGAGGGGGCGGGAGAGTGTGTGGAGGGGGGTGAGAGGGGAGGGGCGGGGAGAGTGCGGGAGGGGGGTGAGAGGGGAGGGGCGGGAGAGTGCGTGGAGGGGGGTGAGAGGGAGGGGCGGGAGAGTGCGTGGAGGGGGGGTGAGAGGGGAGGGGCGGGGAGAGTGCGTGGAGGGGGGTGAGAGGGGAGGGGCGGGAGAGTGCGTGGGGGGGGTGAGAGGGGCGGGGAGAGTGTGTGGAGGGGCGGGGGAGAGTGCGTGGGGGGGGTGAGAGGGGAGGGGCGGGAGAGTGTGTGGAGGGGGGTGAGAGGGGAGGGGCGGGAGAGTGCGTGGGGGGGGTGAGAGGGGAGGGGCGGGAGAGTGCGTGGAGGGGGGTGAGAGGGGAGGGGCTGGAGAGTGTGTGGAGTGGGGTGAGAGGGGAGGGGCGGGGAGAATGTGCGTGGAGGGGGGTGAGAGGGGAGGGGCGGGGAGAGTGTGTGGAGGGGTGGTGAGAGGGGAGGGGCGGGAGAGTGCGTGGAGGGGGGTGAGAGGGGAGGGGCTGGAGAGTGTTGTGGAGGGGGGTGGAGAGGGGAGGGGCGGGAGAGTGTGTGGAGGGGGGTGAGAGGGAGGGGCGGGAGAGTGTGTGGAGGGGGGTGAGAGGGGAGGGGCGGGAGAGTGCGGTGGGGGGGGTGAGAGGGAGGGGCGGGAGAGTGCGTGGAGGGGGGTGAGAGGGGAGGGGCTGGAGAGTGTGTGGAGTGGGGTGAGAGGGAGGGGCGGGAGAGTGCGTGGAGGGGGGTGAGAGGGGAGGGGCGGGAGAGTGTGTGGAGGGGGGGTGAGAGGGGAGGGGCGGGGAGAGTGCGTGGAGGGGGGTGAGAGTGGAGGGGCGGGAGAGT